CTAAGAAAAAAGACGTAAAAGAAGAGCCTCCAAAGAAACTCGATGATTCGAAGAAAGATGAGGATGAGAAGAGAAAGAAGGAAGAAGCCTTAAAGAAACAACGTGAAGCTGAAGAAAAGGAAAAAGCCAAAAAACTGGCGGAAGAGAAAAAATTAAAGGAAGATGAAGAGAAGAGAAAGAAGGAAGATGAAGCTAAGAAGATGAGAGATGAATTATTGGCTAAGAAGAAGGATGAGGAAGCTAAGAAAAAAGACGTAAAAGAAGAGCCTCCAAAGAAACTCGATGATTCGAAGAAAGATGAGGATGAGAAGAGAAAGAAGGAAGAAGCCTTAAAGAAACAACGTGAAGCTGAAGAAAAGGAAAAAGCCAAAAAACTGGCGGAAGAGAAAAAATTAAAGGAAGATGAAGAGAAGAGAAAGAAGGAAGATGAAGCTAAGAAGATGAGAGATGAATTATTGGCTAAGAAGAAGGATGAGGAAGCTAAGAAAAAAGACGTAAAAGAAGAGCCTCCAAAGAAACTCGATGATTCGAAGAAAGATGAGGATGAGAAGAGAAAGAAGGAAGAAGCCTTAAAGAAACAACGTGAAGCTGAAGAAAAGGAAAAAGCCAAAAAACTGGCGGAAGAGAAAAAATTAAAGGAAGATGAAGAGAAGAGAAAGAAGGAAGATGAAGCTAAGAAGATGAGAGATGAATTATTGGCTAAGAAGAAGGATGAGGAAGCTAAGAAAAAAGACGTAAAAGAAGAGCCTCCAAAGAAACTCGATGATTCGAAGAAAGATGAGGATGAGAAGAGAAAGAAGGAAGAAGCCTTAAAGAAACAACGTGAAGCTGAAGAAAAGGAAAAAGCCAAAAAACTGGCGGAAGAGAAAAAATTAAAGGAAGATGAAGAGAAGAGAAAGAAGGAAGATGAAGCTAAGAAGATGAGAGATGAATTATTGGCTAAGAAGAAGGATGAGGAAGCTAAGAAAAAAGACGTAAAAGAAGAGCCTCCAAAGAAACTCGATGATTCGAAGAAAGATGAGGATGAGAAGAGAAAGAAGGAAGAAGCCTTAAAGAAACAACGTGAAGCTGAAGAAAAGGAAAAAGCCAAAAAACTGGCGGAAGAGAAAAAATTAAAGGAAGATGAAGAGAAGAGAAAGAAGGAAGATGAAGCTAAGAAGATGAGAGATGAATTATTGGCTAAGAAGAAGGATGAGGAAGCTAAGAAAAAAGACGTAAAAGAAGAGCCTCCAAAGAAACTCGATGATTCGAAGAAAGATGAGGATGAGAAGAGAAAGAAGGAAGAAGCCTTAAAGAAACAACGTGAAGCTGAAGAAAAGGAAAAAGCCAAAAAACTGGCGGAAGAGAAAAAATTAAAGGAAGATGAAGAGAAGAGAAAGAAGGAAGATGAAGCTAAGAAGATGAGAGATGAATTATTGGCTAAGAAGAAGGATGAGGAAGCTAAGAAAAAAGACGTAAAAGAAGAGCCTCCAAAGAAACTCGATGATTCGAAGAAAGATGAGGATGAGAAGAGAAAGAAGGAAGAAGCCTTAAAGAAACAACGTGAAGCTGAAGAAAAGGAAAAAGCCAAAAAACTGGCGGAAGAGAAAAAATTAAAGGAAGATGAAGAGAAGAGAAAGAAGGAAGATGAAGCTAAGAAGATGAGAGATGAATTATTGGCTAAGAAGAAGGATGAGGAAGCTAAGAAAAAAGACGTAAAAGAAGAGCCTCCAAAGAAACTCGATGATTCGAAGAAAGATGAGGATGAGAAGAGAAAGAAGGAAGAAGCCTTAAAGAAACAACGTGAAGCTGAAGAAAAGGAAAAAGCCAAAAAACTGGCGGAAGAGAAAAAATTAAAGGAAGATGAAGAGAAGAGAAAGAAGGAAGATGAAGCTAAGAAGATGAGAGATGAATTATTGGCTAAGAAGAAGGATGAGGAAGCTAAGAAAAAAGACGTAAAAGAAGAGCCTCCAAAGAAACTCGATGATTCGAAGAAAGATGAGGATGAGAAGAGAAAGAAGGAAGAAGCCTTAAAGAAACAACGTGAAGCTGAAGAAAAGGAAAAAGCCAAAAAACTGGCGGAAGAGAAAAAATTAAAGGAAGATGAAGAGAAGAGAAAGAAGGAAGATGAAGCTAAGAAGATGAGAGATGAATTATTGGCTAAGAAGAAGGATGAGGAAGCTAAGAAAAAAGACGTAAAAGAAGAGCCTCCAAAGAAACTCGATGATTCGAAGAAAGATGAGGATGAGAAGAGAAAGAAGGAAGAAGCCTTAAAGAAACAACGTGAAGCTGAAGAAAAGGAAAAAGCCAAAAAACTGGCGGAAGAGAAAAAATTAAAGGAAGATGAAGAGAAGAGAAAGAAGGAAGATGAAGCTAAGAAGATGAGAGATGAATTATTGGCTAAGAAGAAGGATGAGGAAGCTAAGAAAAAAGACGTAAAAGAAGAGCCTCCAAAGAAACTCGATGATTCGAAGAAAGATGAGGATGAGAAGAGAAAGAAGGAAGAAGCCTTAAAGAAACAACGTGAAGCTGAAGAAAAGGAAAAAGCCAAAAAACTGGCGGAAGAGAAAAAATTAAAGGAAGATGAAGAGAAGAGAAAGAAGGAAGATGAAGCTAAGAAGATGAGAGATGAATTATTGGCTAAGAAGAAGGATGAGGAAGCTAAGAAAAAAGACGTAAAAGAAGAGCCTCCAAAGAAACTCGATGATTCGAAGAAAGATGAGGATGAGAAGAGAAAGAAGGAAGAAGCCTTAAAGAAACAACGTGAAGCTGAAGAAAAGGAAAAAGCCAAAAAACTGGCGGAAGAGAAAAAATTAAAGGAAGATGAAGAGAAGAGAAAGAAGGAAGATGAAGCTAAGAAGATGAGAGATGAATTATTGGCTAAGAAGAAGGATGAGGAAGCTAAGAAAAAAGACGTAAAAGAAGAGCCTCCAAAGAAACTCGATGATTCGAAGAAAGATGAGGATGAGAAGAGAAAGAAGGAAGAAGCCTTAAAGAAACAACGTGAAGCTGAAGAAAAGGAAAAAGCCAAAAAACTGGCGGAAGAGAAAAAATTAAAGGAAGATGAAGAGAAGAGAAAGAAGGAAGATGAAGCTAAGAAGATGAGAGATGAATTATTGGCTAAGAAGAAGGATGAGGAAGCTAAGAAAAAAGACGTAAAAGAAGAGCCTCCAAAGAAACTCGATGATTCGAAGAAAGATGAGGATGAGAAGAGAAAGAAGGAAGAAGCCTTAAAGAAACAACGTGAAGCTGAAGAAAAGGAAAAAGCCAAAAAACTGGCGGAAGAGAAAAAATTAAAGGAAGATGAAGAGAAGAGAAAGAAGGAAGATGAAGCTAAGAAGATGAGAGATGAATTATTGGCTAAGAAGAAGGATGAGGAAGCTAAGAAAAAAGACGTAAAAGAAGAGCCTCCAAAGAAACTCGATGATTCGAAGAAAGATGAGGATGAGAAGAGAAAGAAGGAAGAAGCCTTAAAGAAACAACGTGAAGCTGAAGAAAAGGAAAAAGCCAAAAAACTGGCGGAAGAGAAAAAATTAAAGGAAGATGAAGAGAAGAGAAAGAAGGAAGATGAAGCTAAGAAGATGAGAGATGAATTATTGGCTAAGAAGAAGGATGAGGAAGCTAAGAAAAAAGACGTAAAAGAAGAGCCTCCAAAGAAACTCGATGATTCGAAGAAAGATGAGGATGAGAAGAGAAAGAAGGAAGAAGCCTTAAAGAAACAACGTGAAGCTGAAGAAAAGGAAAAAGCCAAAAAACTGGCGGAAGAGAAAAAATTAAAGGAAGATGAAGAGAAGAGAAAGAAGGAAGATGAAGCTAAGAAGATGAGAGATGAATTATTGGCTAAGAAGAAGGATGAGGAAGCTAAGAAAAAAGACGTAAAAGAAGAGCCTCCAAAGAAACTCGATGATTCGAAGAAAGATGAGGATGAGAAGAGAAAGAAGGAAGAAGCCTTAAAGAAACAACGTGAAGCTGAAGAAAAGGAAAAAGCCAAAAAACTGGCGGAAGAGAAAAAATTAAAGGAAGATGAAGAGAAGAGAAAGAAGGAAGATGAAGCTAAGAAGATGAGAGATGAATTATTGGCTAAGAAGAAGGATGAGGAAGCTAAGAAAAAAGACGTAAAAGAAGAGCCTCCAAAGAAACTCGATGATTCGAAGAAAGATGAGGATGAGAAGAGAAAGAAGGAAGAAGCCTTAAAGAAACAACGTGAAGCTGAAGAAAAGGAAAAAGCCAAAAAACTGGCGGAAGAGAAAAAATTAAAGGAAGATGAAGAGAAGAGAAAGAAGGAAGATGAAGCTAAGAAGATGAGAGATGAATTATTGGCTAAGAAGAAGGATGAGGAAGCTAAGAAAAAAGACGTAAAAGAAGAGCCTCCAAAGAAACTCGATGATTCGAAGAAAGATGAGGATGAGAAGAGAAAGAAGGAAGAAGCCTTAAAGAAACAACGTGAAGCTGAAGAAAAGGAAAAAGCCAAAAAACTGGCGGAAGAGAAAAAATTAAAGGAAGATGAAGAGAAGAGAAAGAAGGAAGATGAAGCTAAGAAGATGAGAGATGAATTATTGGCTAAGAAGAAGGATGAGGAAGCTAAGAAAAAAGACGTAAAAGAAGAGCCTCCAAAGAAACTCGATGATTCGAAGAAAGATGAGGATGAAAAGAGAAAGAAGGAAGAAGCCTTAAAGAAACAACGTGAAGCTGAAGAAAAGGAAAAAGCCAAAAAACTGGCGGAAGAGAAAAAATTAAAGGAAGATGAAGAGAAGAGAAAGAAGGAAGATGAAGCTAATAAGATGAGAGATGAATTATTGGCTAAGAAGAAGGATGAGGAAGCTAAGAAAAAAGACGTAAAAGAAGAGCCTCCAAAGAAACTCGATGATTCGAAGAAAGATGAGGATGAGAAGAGAAAGAAGGAAGAAGCCTTAAAGAAACAACGTGAAGCTGAAGAAAAGGAAAAAGCCAAAAAACTGGCGGAAGAGAAAAAATTAAAGGAAGATGAAGAGAAGAGAAAGAAGGAAGATGAAGCTAAGAAGATGAGAGATGAATTATTGGCTAAGAAGAAGGATGAGGAAGCTAAGAAAAAAGACGTAAAAGAAGAGCCTCCAAAGAAACTCGATGATTCGAAGAAAGATGAGGATGAGAAGAGAAAGAAGGAAGAAGCCTTAAAGAAACAACGTGAAGCTGAAGAAAAGGAAAAAGCCAAAAAACTGGCGGAAGAGAAAAAATTAAAGGAAGATGAAGAGAAGAGAAAGAAGGAAGATGAAGCTAAGAAGATGAGAGATGAATTATTGGCTAAGAAGAAGGATGAGGAAGCTAAGAAAAAAGACGTAAAAGAAGAGCCTCCAAAGAAACTCGATGATTCGAAGAAAGATGAGGATGAGAAGAGAAAGAAGGAAGAAGCCTTAAAGAAACAACGTGAAGCTGAAGAAAAGGAAAAAGCCAAAAAACTGGCGGAAGAGAAAAAATTAAAGGAAGATGAAGAGAAGAGAAAGAAGGAAGATGAAGCTAAGAAGATGAGAGATGAATTATTGGCTAAGAAGAAGGATGAGGAAGCTAAGAAAAAAGACGTAAAAGAAGAGCCTCCAAAGAAACTCGATGATTCGAAGAAAGATGAGGATGAGAAGAGAAAGAAGGAAGAAGCCTTAAAGAAACAACGTGAAGCTGAAGAAAAGGAAAAAGCCAAAAAACTGGCGGAAGAGAAAAAATTAAAGAAAGATGAAGAGAAGAGAAAGAAGGAAGATGAAGCTAAGAAGATGAGAGATGAATTATTGGCTAAGAAGAAGGATGAGGAAGCTAAGAAAAAAGACGTAAAAGAAGAGCCTCCAAAGAAACTCGATGATTCGAAGAAAGATGAGGATGAGAAGAGAAAGAAGGAAGAAGCCTTAAAGAAACAACGTGAAGCTGAAGAAAAGGAAAAAGCCAAAAAACTGGCGGAAGAGAAAAAATTAAAGGAAGATGAAGAGAAGAGAAAGAAGGAAGATGAAGCTAAGAAGAAGGCTAAATCCATGAAGAAACTATCAAAAATTAGAAATTCCATAGAGCTTGATGTGTCTCTTTCACCTCTTCATGAACAATCTGAATTCCCACTCAGTTGCCTTATATGTAAAGAAGATTATGACCAAGATTACTTTACTGAAATCTCAAAAATTTTCCGTCAGAAAAAAATGAAGACTGAACGCATAGGTATCGGTGTTTGTTTCAATTCCGATATGAAAATAAATGAAATCGAAATGGAAGAGCATTTGATTCGTGAATCAGAAGAAGAATCCAATGAATTAATATTTGTTTATTCTGACTTTGATTCTGCTTCAGTTGAGCTTTCTGAAGCAAAACCAGAAGAGATTTCTGAAGAGATTCCTGAAAAAGTTGAAGAAGCACCAGAAAAGAGAAAACGAAAAGTAAAGAAGCAAGTAAAGAAGCAAAAAGAAGACGGTGAGGAAATGGAAGAATTGACTGTTCAAACACCTTCGCAACTTGATATAAATAAAATTAGTCGGGACAAGAGTCCAAGAGGTTGGAAAACTTTTCTGTTGAAATCTAGAAGGATATACATAGTAGTGTTGGTTGTATCTTGTAGCGAGATCCCCTATCTTTTTAATTCGAGAGCATCGCAAAACCCAATTGATGCTTCCTTAACCCAGTTGCCAAAAAAATTTAAAAATCTTATCTTAAATTGAGGGATATCTTGTATTATACCCTATAATGATGTATTGGATTTATTCTATAATGAGGTCCGACAGTCTTATAGTGAAGTTGGTGTGTAAATTCGACTTAAATAATTCTTTTAATTTTTAAAATCCTTTTTTAGGCACTCAATACCTAAACGTTGACGTGGACATTGAAGCAGGAGAAGAAGCTTCTAGCACTGACGGAATAATCGAATTAGAACAAATCGAGTACGCAGAAAGTGAAACATCAGTTCAATTAGCAGAAGAAGACTTTATGGATGTTGATGTAGTTTTGGAAGATTTGAAGAAAGATGATAAAATTGAAGCTATTTTACCTATTTCACCTAACTTGAAGGTTTTCGAAAATTGTTTTTGAAAAATTTCAAAATTATTTTTTAGGATATTTCTGAAAGGATTAGTTTAGCAAAAGTGGCAGAAGAAAAAGAAAAAATTGCAAAGGAAGAGAAAGGTGACAAAAAAAATTTCAATTTCTTGGTGAAATTAGTTATTGCTAGGCGCTTTCGTTCACCACATAAGGAGCTCTACCACTGAGTTACGGGAAAACATCGACTAATGCTTTCTCTTTTATCCTTTTTAGATCATTTATCCCCTGCCTAAGCGTTTTAAATGCTCTAGGTGAATCATCCTTACAATAAAAATGATAAAAACAAAAAATCAACATTGAAAGTTAAACGTTTTAATAGGGTTGAGCTTAGCCCGTCAAGTATCAGAAAAAAATTTTTTTAATTTAAATTTTTTTGAAATTTTCCAGGCCCTTTTTCCTATTTTTACAACATTTTTTTCATAACAAAATCAATCATTAGAGAGAGATATATATTTTTTACTTTAAGTAAACATTGAATATATCTATTAGCTTTTAGTAGTTATTTTAACTCTTCTACTATTATCATTTTTTTAAAGTCATATGAAGCTGCTATAAGTTAAAGTGTATGGGCAAACAAAAAATAAGTAAAAAAACAAGAAAAATAACTTATTATTTTGTAAGAAGCATAAAATTTTTGAGGCGCGAACATTTTTAATTTCTTATAATTAATTAAAAAAATATTTTTTAGATATTATTGATGTTGAAAATGCTATTGAGGGTATGTTAATAATTTTAAAAAATATTCAAAATATTTTCAAAAAATTTAGAAATATTAATTAAAATTTAGAAAAATTCTGTTGAAATTAATTTTAAAAATACTAAAAATTGTAAAAAAAAATTTTAATTTATAAATTAAATATTTAATACTAAGCACAATTAATTTTTTTGTTTTATTAACATGTTTTTGCTGTTTTTTTTTATTTTTTTATATTAACAAAATTAAATGACGGTTCATTTTATACATTTTATAGGGTTATTTTTGATGTAGTAAGTCGAAATTTTATTAAATTATTTTTAATTTTAAGATTAAATTAGAAAGTTGCTCATTTAACCCCTAAATTTAAGCAAAAAAAAGAAAGTCTTGATAATAATTAAATTGAATAACTTTGGAAAATTAAAAAAATACTCCGATTATTCGGAAATTTCAGCTTGATCTCGTTACCTTTTTTAATTTCAAACAAAATTTTTATCAAAATTAACAATTCTTGGCCCAATATCTCTAATTATGAGCAACCCCTAATTTTTCTAAATTAAAAAAATTTTTTTAAATTAAAGTTGTCAACAAATTAAGACGACATTCAATGCCAAAAACAAAAATTAAAAATGAAATAATTACGGAAGATTTAATTTTTGAAAATAAAGAATCTTCTTCTATATTTGTGGAAACAAAAATTAAAAATTTAATAAAGAAAGAAAAATCTACAGATTTTATTAAAAATTATTTACAAAATATTGAAGCAAAAAATTATGCTTATGAAAATGTTTTTGAATCATTAAAGAGTGGAGAAAAATGGAAAAGATTCGAGAAAAAAGATAATGATGAAGCAAAAAATAAAGCAATTGTTGATGTTGGTGAAGCAACAAAATTAATTAATTCAGGAAGTAAGGACGAAACAAAAAGTAAATATGAAGCAAAAAGTAAAGATAAAACAGAAAGTAAAGATGAAGCAAAAAATAAAGATGAAGCAAAAAGTAAAGATGAAGCAAAAAATAAAGATGAAGCAAAAAGTAAAGATGAAGCAAAAAGTAAACATGAAGCAAAAAGTAAACATGAAGCAAAAAGTAAAGATGAAGCAAAAAGTAAAGATGAAGCAAAAAGTAAACATGAAGCAAAAAGTAAACATGAAGCAAAAAGTAAAGATGAAGCAAAAAATAAATATGAAGCAAAAATTAAAGATGAAGCAGAAATACTCGAATCAAGTAAATCTGAAACAAGAGAACGAAAAGTAATCGAAACTGAAACAAAAAGATTTGAAGCACCTAAATCAGTCGTTAAACCATTAAAGTTGAAGCAGATATGTTTAGAAGAAACAAAGCAAGTTGCTGATGATAAAACGGGAATTAAAACAAATTTAAAGAATATAGAGAAAATACATGAAGCAAAATTTATAAATGAAATGAAGTCGGATTTGGAGTTGAAGCATGTTTCTGAATCAGAAAAATCAGATATATATTTAGAACTGAAGCATTCTGAAGAAGCATATTTTGAAACATTTTTGAAAGACAATTCTGAATTGAGGGAAGTAAATCAAAATTCTGAAGCAAGACAATTGAAGAAGAAAGAGATGAAGGAGATTTCAACAAAGGAAGAATATGATTCAAATAAAAATGTAATAAGAACGGAGAGTTCGTTAGAGGTATCTGAGAATAAGAAGGCAACTAAAATAGAGGAGCAAGAAGCAATTAGAACAAACTATGAAACAAATAAAAAAGAAGCAACTGTGAAAGGTAAATTAGAAATAATTAATATTGCTTGTTCTGAAGCAAGGAGAGAAGAATTAATTAAATCAGAAGCAAAACTCGAAGTTCAAGAAGCAAAGTTTCAAAAGGATAAAGCTGAAGCAAAACTTGACGAAGAAGTACTGCTTCAGAAGAACGAAGCTGAGGAAAAATTCGAAGCTCTACTACTTCATAAGAACGAAGCTGAAGCAAAATTCAATATCCAAGAAGCAAAGTTTCGGAATAATGAATCTGAAGCAAAACTCGATATTCAAGAAGCAAAGCTTTTGAAGAATGAATCTGAAGCAAGATTCGATGTTCAAGATTTACAATCAACGGAATTAGAATCCGAAATTAATAGACCAATAAATTATTCTAAAAAATTCGAAAAGCAACATGAGAACCTAGCAGATAGCAACACTTTAGTTAAACAAATAATACACCAACTCAGAGACAACCATGAAACTGAGGATAAAGAGTCAATAAATTCCTCTCAATTATCTACTAACAATTTTAGCCCATCCTCACTTACAAATTTATCAGAAACATTCCAAAAGTCTCTAACTGAAGATGAAGCAATCGAAGTATTTTTATTATCAAGACATTTTGAATATGACTGTGCTAAACCTTTAAAAGTGCTTCCACCCCCGAACGTTACAATTTTCGAATTTGATGAGAAAAAAATGAAAAGGAGAATTGAAGCAATAGAAGCATGCCCATTAAAGAAGTCTGTTCGTTTTAATATTGAAGAATCAAAAGAATTTTGTTTTTCCCCTTTTAATTGCTCTTCCGAGGAGGAGGAAGAAGCTGATGAGGAGAGAGAGGAAGACCCTTCATTAATTTCTCCTCCCAAATTTTTAACAAAGGAAAGGGGAATAGTAGCAGAATTAAATAAAAGGCTATTTGTTCATTTGGAACTTGTCTCAGTTGTAGAGCCTAAGGTTGATTAAAAATTATTTTCGAGAATAAAAAAATAAATTCAGATGTCAATTTATCACAACGATATGCATCTAGGTGATGACCCTTCCAAGTGCCGATTTCTTGTTGATAAAAATGGAGATTGTTGGGAAATTATGTTAATATTCCCCAACTTTGATATTGAACTTGTTGGAGATTATGTTTTTATTGCTAGTAATGAAGGAGGATTTGATAAATCAAAAATTACATTGAAGTTGAAGGAAGCCGAAGAAATGACTTCAAATTTAGGTAAATATTTTTGTTGTGTTGATCTTTAGGAGTAGAACTTGTTTTGAAACAAACAAAATGTTTTTGTTTGTTTTACATGTTTGTTGTTTTACGACAAACAACAAACATTGAAAAACAGCAAACATATAAAACAAACAAGAACATTTTGTTTGTTTTACAACAAAAACAAATTGTTTTTATTTTTGTAGATGTTTTGCAAAAAGAAGAGGAAAAAACAACACCAAAAACAACACCAAAAACATCAACAAACACCAACAAAACATTAAAACAAATTAAAATTACAACAAATGATGTTGAAACAACACAAAATTCCCCTTCTCAAAACTTCAACAAAACCCCAAAAATAATTGAAAAACCACCAGAAAATTTAAAATTAAATTTAATTGGAAAAGAATGTTTAAATTTTGTAATTGAAGGAGATCCTTTGCCTCATATAGAAATGTGGATAGAGAAACAAAGTGGAACATGTAAAATAATTGAGCCTTGGAGAAAAGTTTGTTTTGAATGTTTTGCTTGTTTTGAATGTTTTTATTTGTTTTTATTAAACTTGTTTTTCAGTTTAAACTTGAACGATTACAACAAAACAAACTTGGCGTAACTCTCTTACAAAAAAGTTTAAAACTCATACAAGTTGGGGATATTATTGTTCTTCAAGCAATTAATGTTTTTGGTGAAATAATTACAAAACATGTTGTTTTGAATGTTTTGTCTAATGTTTTATCCAATGTTTCTTTGTTAAACAAAAAAGTTTTTGTTAAAGGTGTGTTGTTTTTATGTTTGTTTTATGTTTTGTTTATATTTTGTTTGGCAAAATTATGTTTATATACTTGTTTTTAAACATATGTTTTTGGATGTTTATATACTTGTTTTTAAACATATGTTTTTAGAGGTTTTACTATGTTCTCTATTTTTAGCCTATTTTAGTTTAATCCGCTAATTTAACACAAAATTCAAAAATTTTTAAATTTAAAAAATATAAAAAATTAATTGAAATAAAGTAGGTATAAGATAAAAAAAAATTTTGGAATAATATTTAAAAAAATTTTTTCTATTAGAACAACCAAAAATCCAACAAGAAGAAACTGCTCCCGATTCTCCCAAAATTCCAGGAGAAAAAAGGGATGAAGAAAAGAAGAAAAAGAAGATTCCTAGCGCTTTGTTTATACCAAAGGCAAGATTTAAAAAAATTTTTATTCTCTTCAATTTTTGTTTTTAGGAAATCAATTCATTGTATGGCGATCCTTCTGTAAAGATTTCTCCAACTTCGAAAGAATTAGAGGTAATTGAAGCTAAATCTGAAGAAGAAAAATCGAAAGAAATGGAGAAAGAGAAACCAGTAGAAGATAAAATAAAAGTGAAGGATGAGAAGAAAAATGAAGAAATAAAGGAAGAACCAAGCTTAATGAAGAAAAAGGAGGAAGAGGAAAAGGCCAAAAAACTGGCGGAAGAGAAGAAATTAAAGGAAGATGAAGAGAAGAAAAAGAAGAAAGATGAAAATAAGAAGAAAAAGGATGAGTTAATGGCGAAGAAAAAAGAGGAGGTAGGAAAGAAGGAGGACGTTAAAGATCTTCCATCTCAAAAGGATTTGGAAATGAAACAAGCTTCGGAACCCCAAGAAGAAAAACAAAAAGTCAGCTTTGCTCAAGATGTAAATCTTGAAGAAAAAACTTCCGAAGAAGAAACAGAAAAGGAAGATAAAGGCTCTCGTCTTAAAAAAGCACAAAAATCCTCATTTGAACTACTTGATGAAATACATCCTGAAGGAAAATCTTTGCCTGAGTTGCTTAATGATCTGAAGAAAGTGGAAGATTTCTTAGGTGCTGATGTGGAGATTGATGTAATTGAGAGGGAACCAAAACACGAAGAATTTAGAAGGCCTGAAGAAAAGATAAAAGAAACTAAGAAAAGTGTCGAAGATAAAAATAGAATGAAGATTTCAGAAAAGGATGAAGAAACAATCTCAGAAGACGTTGGGGAAATTATTCCGGAAAAGGAAGTTGATACGGGTGTTAAAAAATTCGTTTTGGAAGATTTGCCAACACAATTTGAAAAATTAGATAAGACAAAGTTGGAAGAAATCCCAGCAAAACAACCAAAAGAAGAGGAAGCAAAGACACCCGAGACTAAAAAAGAACCAATGTCCTTAATGAAGAAAAAGATGGAGGAAGAAAAGGAAAAAGCCAAAAAACTGGCGGAAGAGAAGAAATTAAAGGAAGATGAAGAGAAGAAAAAGAAGGAAGATGAAGCTAAGAAGAGGAGAGATGAATTACTGGCTAAGAAGAAGGATGAGGAAGGAAAGAAAAAGGAAGTAAAAGAAGAGCCTCCAAAGAAACTCGATGATTCTAAGAAAGATGAGGATGAGAAGAGAAAGAAGGAACGTGAAGAAGCGTTGAAGAAACGACGTGAAGCTGATGAAAAGGCAAAAGCTGAAGCTGATGAAGCTAAGGCAAAAATGGATGAATTGGCAAGGAAGAGAAAGGAATCTGCTCAAAAGAAGATAGATGATGAACAAAAGAGGAAGCATGATGAAGAAGAAAAACGGAAGAAATCCTTGGAAGATAAGAAATTGGCAGAACAAAAGGCCAATGAAGAGGCTGAAGCTGCAAGGAAGAAAGCTTTAGAAGAACAAAAGGAAGTTGATACGGGTGTTAAAAAGTTTGTTTTGGAAGATGAAAGACCGAAGGATGTTAAGGAAGATTTGCCAACACAATTTGAAAAATTAGATAAGACAAAGTTGGAAGAAATGCCAGCAAAACAATCAAAAGAAGAGGAAGCAAAGACACCCGAAACTAAAAAAGAACCAATGTCCTTAATGAAGAAAAAGATGGAGGAAGAAAAGGAAAAAGCCAAAAAACTGGCGGAAGAGAAGAAATTAAAGGAAGATGAAGAGAAGAAAAAGAAGGAAGATGAAGCTAAGAAGAGGAGAGATGAATTACTGGCTAAGAAGAAGGATGAGGAAGGAAAGAAAAAAGAAGTAAAAGAAGAGCCTCCAAAGAAACTCGATGATTCTAAGAAAGATGAGGATGAGAAGAGAAAGAAGGAACGTGAAGAAGCCTTAAAGAAACGACGTGAAGCTGAAGAAAAGGCAAAAGCAGAAGCTGATGAAGCTAAGGCAAAAATGGATGAATTGGCAAGGAAGAGAAAGGAATCTGCTCAAAAGAAGATAGATGATGAACAAAAGAGGAAGCATGATGAAGAAGAAAAACGGAAGAAATCCTTGGAAGATAAGAAATTGGCAGAACAAAAGGCCAATGAAGAGGCTGAAGCTGCAAGGAAGAAAGCTTTAGAAGAACAAAAGGAAGTTGATACGGGTGTTAAAAAGTTTGTTTTGGAAGATGAAAGACCGAAGGATGTTAAGGAAGATTTGCCAACACAATTTGAAAAATTAGATAAGACAAAGTTGGAAGAAATCCCAGCAAAACAACCAAAAGAAGAGGAAGCAAAGACACCCGAGACTAAAAAAGAACCAATGTCCTTAATGAAGAAAAAGATGGAGGAAGAAAAGGAAAAAGCCAAAAAACTGGCGGAAGAGAAGAAATTAAAGGAAGATGAAGAGAAGAAAAAGAAGGAAGATGAAGCTAAGAAGAGGAGAGATGAATTACTGGCTAAGAAGAAGGATGAGGAAGGAAAGAAAAAGGAAGTAAAAGAAGAGCCTCCAAAGAAACTCGATGATTCTAAGAAAGATGAGGATGAGAAGAGAAAGAAGGAACGTGAAGAAGCGTTGAAGAAACGACGTGAAGCTGATGAAAAGGCAAAAGCTGAAGCTGATGAAGCTAAGGCAAAAATGGATGAATTGGCAAGGAAGAGAAAGGAATCTGCTCAAAAGAAGATAGATGATGAACAAAAGAGGAAGCATGATGAAGAAGAAAAACGGAAGAAATCCTTGGAAGATAAGAAATTGGCAGAACAAAAGGCCAATGAAGAGGCTGAAGCTGCAAGGAAGAAAGCTTTAGAAGAACAAAAGGAAGTTGATACGGGTGTTAAAAAGTTTGTTTTGGAAGATGAAAGACCGAAGGATGTTAAGGAAGATTTGCCAACACAATTTGAAAAATTAGAGAAGACAAAGTTGGAAGAAATGCCAGCAAAACTATCAAAAGAAGAGGAAGCAAAGACACCCGAAACTAAAAAAGAACCAATGTCCTTAATGAAGAAAAAGATGGAGGAAGAAAAGGAAAAAGCCAAAAAACTGGCGGAAGAGAAGAAATTAAAGGAAGATGAAGAGAAGAAAAAGAAGGAAGATGAGGCTAAGAAGAGGAGAGATGAATTATTGGCTAAGAAGAAGGATGAGGAAGGAAAGAAAAAGGAAGTAAAAGAAGAGCCTCCAAAGAAACTCGATGATTCTAAGAAAGATGAGGATGAGAAGAGAAAGAAGGAACGTGAAGAAGCGTTGAAGAAACGACGTGAAGCTGATGAAAAGGCAAAAGCTGAAGCTGATGAAGCTAAGGCAAAAATGGATGAATTGGCAAGGAAGAGAAAGGAATCTGCTCAAAAGAAGATAGATGATGAACAAAAGAGGAAGCATGATGAAGAAGAAAAACGGAAGAAATCCTTGGAAGATAAGAAATTGGCAGAACAAAAGGCCAATGAAGAGGCTGAAGCTGCAAGGAAGAAAGCTTTAGAAGAACAAAAGGAAGTTGATACGGGTGTTAAAAAGTTTGTTTTGGAAGATGAAAGACCGAAGGATGTTAAGGAAGATTTGCCAACACAATTTGAAAAATTAGATAAGACAAAGTTGGAAGAAATCCCAGCAAAACAACCAAAAGAAGAGGAAGCAAAGACACCCGAGACTAAAAAAGAACCAATGTCCTTAATGAAGAAAAAGATGGAGGAAGAAAAGGAAAAAGCCAAAAAACTGGCGGAAGAGAAGAAATTAAAGGAAGATGAAGAGAAGAAAAAGAAGGAAGATGAAGCTAAGAAGAGGAGAGATGAATTACTGGCTAAGAAGAAGGATGAGGAAGGAAAGAAAAAGGAAGTAAAAGAAGAGCCTCCAAAGAAACTCGATGATTCTAAGAAAGATGAGGATGAGAAGAGAAAGAAGGAACGTGAAGAAGCGTTGAAGAAACGACGTGAAGCTGATGAAAAGGCAAAAGCTGAAGCTGATGAAGCTAAGGCAAAAATGGATGAATTGGCAAGGAAGAGAAAGGAATCTGCTCAAAAGAAGATAGATGATGAACAAAAGAGGAAGCATGATGAAGAAGAAAAACGGAAGAAATCCTTGGAAGATAAGAAATTGGCAGAACAAAAGGCCAATGAAGAGGCTGAAGCTGCAAGGAAGAAAGCTTTAGAAGAACAAAAGGAAGTTGATACGGGTGTTAAAAAGTTTGTTTTGGAAGATGAAAGACCGAAGGATGTTAAGGAAGATTTGCCAACACAATTTGAAAAATTAGAGAAGACAAAGTTGGAAGAAATGCCAGCAAAACAATCAAAAGAAGAGGAAGCAAAGACACCCGAAACTAAAAAAGAACCAATGTCCTTAATGAAGAAAAAGATGGAGGAAGAAAAGGAAAAAGCCAAAAAACTGGCGGAAGAGAAGAAATTAAAGGAAGATGAAGAGAAGAAAAAGAAGGAAGATGAGGCTAAGAAGAGGAGAGATGAATTATTGGCTAAGAAGAAGGATGAGGAAGGAAAGAAAAAGGAAGTAAAAGAAGAGCCTCCAAAGAAACTCGATGATTCTAAGAAAGATGAGGATGAGAAGAGAAAGAAGGAACGTGAAGAAGCGTTGAAGAAACGACGTGAAGCTGATGAAAAGGCAAAAGCTGAAGCTGATGAAGCTAAGGCAAAAATGGATGAATTGGCAAGGAAGAGAAAGGAATCTGCTCAAAAGAAGATAGATGATGAACAAAAGAGGAAGCATGATGAAGAAGAAAAACGGAAGAAATCCTTGGAAGATAAGAAATTGGCAGAACAGAAGGCCAATGAAGAAGCTGAAGCTGCAAGGAAGAAAGCTTTAGAAGAACAAAAGGAAGTTGATACGGGTGTTAAAAAGTTTGTTTTGGAAGATGAAAGACCGAAGGATGTTAAGGAAGATTTGCCAACACAATTTGAAAAATTAGAGAAGACAAAGTTGGAAGAAATGCCAGCAAAACAATCAAAAGAAGAGGAAGCAAAGACACCCGAAACTAAAAAAGAACCAATGTCCTTAATGAAGAAAAAGATGGAGGAAGAAAAGGAAAAAGCCAAAAAACTGGCGGAAGAGAAGAAATTAAAGGAAGATGAAGAGAAGAAAAAGAAGGAAGATGAAGCTAAGAAGAGGAGAGATGAATTACTGGCTAAGAAGAAGGATGAGGAAGGAAAGAAAAAAGAAGTAAAAGAAGAGCCTCCAAAGAAACTCGATGATTCTAAGAAAGATGAGGATGAGAAGAGAAAGAAGGAACGTGAAGAAGCCTTAAAGAAACGACGTGAAGCTGATGAAAAGGCAAAAGCTGAAGCTGATGAAGCTAAGGCAAAAATGGATGAATTGGCAAGGAAGAGAAAGGAATCTGCTCAAAAGAAGATAGATGATGAACAAAAGAGGAAGCATGATGAAGAAGAAAAACGGAAGAAATCCTTGGAAGATAAGAAATTGGCAGAACAGAAGGCCAATGAAGAAGCTGAAGCTGCAAGGAAGAAAGCTTTAGAAGAACAAAAGGAAGTTGATACGGGTGTTAAAAAGTTTGTTTTGGAAGATGAAAGACCGAAGGATGTTAAGGAAGATTTGCCAACACAATTTGAAAAATTAGAGAAGACAAAGTTGGAAGAAATGCCAGCAAAACAATCAAAAGAAGAGGAAGCAAAGACACCCGAAACTAAAAAAGAACCAATGTCCTTAATGAAGAAAAAGATGGAGGAAGAAAAGGAAAAAGCCAAAAAACTGGCGGAAGAGAAGAAATTAAAGGAAGATGAAGAGAAGAAAAAGAAGGAAGATGAAGCTAAGAAGAGGAGAGATGAATTACTGGCTAAGAAGAAGGATGAGGAAGGAAAGAAAAAAGAAGTAAAAGAAGAGCCTCCAAAGAAACTCGATGATTCTAAGAAAGATGAGGATGAGAAGAGAAAGAAGGAACGTGAAGAAGCCTTAAAGAAACGACGTGAAGCTGAAGAAAAGGCAAAAGCAGAAGCTGATGAAGCTAAGGCAAAAATGGATGAATTGGCAAGGAAGAGAAAGGAATCTGCTCAAAAGAAGATAGATGATGAACAAAAGAGGAAACAGGATGAAGAAGAAAAACGGAAGAAATCCTTGGAAGATAAGAAATTGGCAGAACAAAAGGCCAATGAAGAGGCTGAAGCTGCAAGGAAGAAAGCTTTAGGTGAATCGAAAGAGCCTTCTTTAACAAATGACAGAGATGAAAGACGAAAAGCTCTTGAAGAAATGCGGTTGAAGCGTGAAGAAGCAAAACAGCTAAAATTGGGTCTTACAGAAAAGAAAAAGGAAGAAAAGCCTTTAAGTAAAGAAGAGGAAAAGAAGAAAAAGGAAATGGAAGAGATACGTCGAAAGGACTTGGAAGAAGCTGAAAAGAAGAAGAAAGAGGCTGAGAAAAAGAAAACGCCACAAAGAGAAGTTGGTCCTGATGAAGTCGAAAAAGAAAAGAAGGAAAAAAGGCCCTCAAAGGATGAAGAAAAAGAAATGGAAAAATTCCATCAAGAAAGGGAATCCAGATTGAAAAAGAGGAAGGAGGAAGAAGAAAATGCTAGGAAAGAACAAGAAGAATTAGTTAGAAAAATGGAAGCAGCTAAGACTAAAGCTTTAGCTGAAGAAGCTGCTAAGAAGGAAGAACAGGAGAAGCGGAAAAAACAGATGGAAGAGGAGGAGAAGGTGAAAAAGCAAAAGGAGGAAGAGGTAGCTGAAGAAAAATCGGCAAAAGAAAAAGCTGAAGAAGCAGCACTAAAAATGCAATATGAAGCAGATGATGTTGACAAAATGACAATGAAACGTAAAACTATGAAGAAACAAACATTTGATAAAGATGAACTGCCTGATGATCAGAAGGCGCGTGAATCTTTGACTTCTGATGACCAATTTGTTATGGCTGGTGCTTTAAAAGTAGAAACAAGAAAAGCTATTGGAGAGGAAGAAGAGGAATGGGAATTTGTTGAAGAAGAGGATGAAAAGCCGAGGGAATTGACTCCACGCAAGTATGAAGAGTCAAAAGTAGAGTTTGACGATGTTGAAGAGTTTTTGAATAAACGTCGTATGCAAAGATTACAACTTGATGAAGTGCAAGCATTTGAGGAGCTTCCTAGAGCTACTCGACATCGTACAATGAGGAAAGGTGAGAGAAGCATATTAGCCAAATAAACATTATTTTGTAAAATTCAGGCTTTGTTTCCTTGCCTGATTCTCAACTATATGCTTCACGAGGGGATACAGTAGTATTTGAATGTGAATTATTTAATGAAAGTGATACCGTTGAGTGGCAAATTAATGGGAAATCATTAAACGAATTTAACGATGGAAGATGTTCTATTCAAAATTATGCTTATATTAGACAATTAACAATTGAAAATGTCGTTCCAAAAGATAGTGGATTAAAAGTTTCAATTACTTTGGAAGGGCAGACCCATCAAAGCAAATTGACAGTTGAAGAGGTTCCTGTCGAATTTGCAGAGAAATTACCAAGAAAAGTTATTGCAAATGTTGGGGATACAACAGCTACAATTGTTGCTATTTTAACACACGATTGTGCTAAAAACATTAGTTGGTATCACAATGGACAGCCATTATTTACAGATAATACTTATCAAATTATAAATGAGGGATGCATATGTAAGTTGTTTAGTTTAGGATTGTAATTTATTGAACATTTGTAAAATGTTTTTTGAAATGTTTAAATAAATTTACAATTTGTAAAATGTTTTTGGGTTAAAAAGTTTAAATTGAAAAAGTTTTTACAATTTGTAAATTTTAGAAGCTTTTCTAAAACTTGTTTTACAATGAGTTTATACAAGTTTTACAAACTTGAATTTTCATTTATAAACTTAAGCAATAAAGTTTATTTTTTATTCAAGTTTGTTCTTAACAAATTTAAAGGTTAATTTAACAAACTTAAGTTTTCAAGTTTGTTTCTTTACAAACAAATAATCAAGTTTATTTAAGAAAGTTTTACAAACTTGAATATATTCAAGTTTAAACTTAAAAAATACAAATGTTTTAAAACAAGTTTATTTTTATAGGTAGTCTACTGGTAAGAGAAATAGATTACAAACTTGGTGGCCGATACACAATTAGTGCTGACAAAGTTGAGTCTTCTACAATTTTAGAAGTACACGGTAAACCCTCAATGGAATTTACCGATATTGGATTACAACGTATTGTAATTGATGCAAACGAGAATTTAACACTTAAAGTCCGTCTAAAATCTTTACCAGAACCTGAAGTCGATTTGTATTTAAATAATGAATTGTTAACACCAGAATTGAGGACTTCTGTTACGATTTTAGAAGAAAGTGTGCTAGTAACTAGAAGAGAATTAAGCCGACATGATAGAGGAATTTATAAACTTGTTTTGTTTAACGAATATGGGGAGGATTCGTTAGAGTATGATGTTTATGTTAGAGATGTACCTGATGCACCTTCTGGGCTGGTACACAAAATTTTTAAAAAATTTTTAGAAATTTTTTAAAATTAAAAGATGGTGACTGAAGTTGGGCATGATTATTGCTTCTTAAAATGGAATCCACCTCTAGCAACCGGTGTTAGTGACGAACGCGAACGAATAACTGGTTATGTTATAGAGAAGAAGGGAACTAATAGAAGAGTTTGGCAGGTGGAAAAAAAATTTTTTTTAATTTTTAAAGAAAAATTTCAAAAAAAAATAAAAAAAAAATAAAAAAAATTTTCACAAAAAAAAATAATTTTTTAAGCGTGTTGGACAGCTTTCTGCATATTCACTAGAAATATTTATTGAAGATCTAGATTATGACACGGATTATGTATTCCGTGTTGCTGCAACTAACCGATTTGGAGTTGGAGAATTCTCCAAATTGGCCCAGATAACTACTGGAACGTTAGTGTATTTCTTGTATTTTTCAATTCAATTTCTATATTTTCTAGACCCTTCTCCGCCCCCGTTATGCACTCAGCTCCCCGCATTTCACATACTTATGAACGAAGTGTACGACTTGAATGGGATGAATGTTGGGATACTGGAGGTAGCCCTTTGTTTGGTTATGATGTTTTCTGCAAAATTGGAGCTGATTGGCAAAAAATGAATGAATCTACAGTTTTTACTGAAAATTTCTGGGTTGATGAATTTTTGGATGCAAGCAAGAATGGATGTGTTTTTAAAGTAGAAGCACAAAATTATGCTGGATTGTGAGCTGTTCTTAGAGAATTTTCTTAGTTTCATTCAATTTATAGACATTCTGATTCAAATATTATATCTGAACCTCTTCAAGTAGATGAACAATCTATAGCTAGTCATGCAGCTCAACATCAACAAATGTCAGCCCCCAAAGTTACTATACTTGGAGGCACAAGAGTTCGCGTCTCCTGGGAAATGCCGGAATGGCTTGGAAGTATTGCTGGGCCGAAATATTTTGTTGTTCAAGTGTGTAAATTTAGAAAGCAATTTGTAAATTACAGTCAAACCTCGTTATAGTATACCCCATTAATTCATTCAAATCAGTTTGTTTGGTCACTGGTTGAGGGAATGCCTAAGGAATATCTCCAAGAATAGACTTAGGAAAGAGATATTGTTGTGGCATCTTCTCCCAATCAGTGGTCAAACAAATTTAAGAAAGACATAGGCTAATCACATTTTAGTGAATGACTTTTAGCTCCAATAATGAGAGATTGAGTCCTATAATGAGAGATTGAGCTTTAATATAATATTATTTTTATATAGTACCGATCTGAGGGAACATATCTCTGGAATGAAGTTCTCGAGCAGTACAAGCAGTCACCTGCAATTGTTGAAGATGAACTAAAGGAGGGAGTGCCCTATAAAGTTCGCGTTGTTTTACGCTCTACAGGAGAAACAGAAAAAGAAGATATCTCAGCTTCAGACGAAAGTGACATAATTAAAATTTCTGGTTTCAATGTTCCGATATTAACCAAAACTTTACGTGATGCCCTTATACCCAAAAAAGAGGAAGTTTGTTTAGAAATTTGTGCTGTTAGTGAACCTGCGCCTCTCTTTGTATGGTTAAAGAATGGTGAAGAGATTGTACCCTCTCCAGAATATGACAATGTTTCTATAAGTAATGAAGGTTATGCAAGCAAATTGGTTATACACAGAATGGGTGAAAATGATGAAGGATATTATACATGCCAAATTAGTAATGGTATGTTGGATTATTATAGTCGAACTTAACTATAAGATACACCCTAATAACACCTAACAAGGATGCTACGTGTTGAGAAAAGTATCAGGGTCTCGGGTTGGGTTCCGGATCGGGTCAGTTAGGGGTATTAAGAGAGAAAAGTCCGGGTTTTGGGTATCGAGTTCTTGGTAACACAGGCATCTCTGTACCTACGCGATACATCCTATTTAAGATACACCTCATTATAAGTTACGATTTTACAGTCTCAAGGGAGTATCTTATAATAAGATCCGACGTACATATACTATAAATTTAAAATTTAATTTTTGAAAATTAAAAAAAATTCAGAATATGGAATGATTGAAACAAAAGCATTTATTCGAATGGGAAAAGTTCAAGCTCACTTCATCAACTCCTTCGCAGAAAAGATAACAGCTACGGAAGGGAAAGATGTTGTTCTAGAATGTGAGGTTTCTGACCCCGAAGCTTCTGTTAGTTGGACTAGGAATAAGCGCCATATTGGTGAAACAACAAATAGAATTTCATTGGAACAACAAGGCTATAAGAGACGTTTAATTCTTTATGGGGCAATGAAAGAAGATTCAGGCATATACACATGTGAAATTGAAACAGCTACAGGCTCCGATAAAAAAGTTCAAACAGAAATTGTTGTTAGACCCGAAAAAGCTCGTATTGTGTTTTCCCCTCAAGGAAGGATAATTTGCCATTATGGGGAGAAAATCCAACTTTATGCCGATCTTTCTAAGAGTGCAGAGGATGTTGTTTGGTATAAAGATGGATTGCCTCTACAATGTAAAAAGTGTTTTGCATACTTTGAGGGTACTAAAGCGCTGCTTGAAATTTACAATTTTGATGAATCTGATATTGGAGAGTACAGTATATCATTGGAAGGGGGCGAAAAGAGTGCTCCAGCTAAATTGAGATTTGAAGTTTCGCCAAAAATTGAGGTTAGTCGGAAACCTTCTCTCAATATTACCTTCAAAAATATGACTTTTTTAGTTGCGCCGTTATCACCATGAAGAAAGAATAGTTAAAATTGGAGGAGATGAGTTTACTGTAACAGCAAATCTTCTGGGTTGGCCAACTCCAAAACTCTCAATTCTTCTCAATGATAACCCTATAAATGATGCAAAACAAGTAGTGGTAAATGCTGGTGTAGGTTGTGGTGAAGTTCATACAATAAACATAAGGAGCTTGAAAAGATCGCATAGTGGAAGGGTGAGAGCATTATTTTTGAAAATCAAAATTTGTTCCTCAAATACAGATATGGCTTCGTGCTTCAAACGAATTTGGAGAAGATTCCTCTTACATCGACTTGAAAGTTTTGGACGTTCCTTCTGCTCCCATCAACCTACGAGTCCGTAACATAACTTCCTCTTCTGTTGATCTCTATTGGAATATTGCTGAATCTGATTCGTCTTATAAAGGCGAAGAATTTATTGAAAGCTTTATTGTCGAAAGAAAAACTGGGGAGAGGCAACGATGGAGACAATTACAACGAAAAACTGCTGAGAGAATAAAAACGGATACTGGAGAATATGTTTATACAATTCAAGGGCTTTATCCCGGTGAAAGTTATGCTTTCAGAGTTTTGGCTTTTAATGAAATTGGGGAATCAGAGCCAAGTAAAGCTATTGATGTTGATTTACCACACGAGCAATCTGATGATGAGGAAGAAGAAAGGAAGATTGAAGGTATTAGAAGACGTTTATCTTCCACTGAGATTTTACAAAGGAAGATTTCTGAAACTCTTCCGCCGTTGGAGAGACCAAGGTAAAGGCTAATATTATCAAAGAGGGCTGTCGGTTCTTGGAAAATCTTTGGATAATTCTCGGTATTTCGGTTCCAAAGCGACAACCCTAATACCCAATCTATACTCAAAAAAATCGTTTTTAAGCAAACCAACTGTGAGCACAGACGGTCTTCAAACAAAAGCTATTCTCAGTTGGGAACAAGTTGATAGAGCAATGCTCTACGGCATTGAAAGGAGACGTTTATCTGCTAGTAATGATACCGATTTCTGGTTAGAAGTTGCCAATATTGAAAGAACAACATTTATTGACCGTTCAATTTATGAAACTGGACGTTATGTTTATAGAATTGTGGCTAAATTACCGGGAGTTATGAATAGTGAAGCTGGGACACAAAGCGAAGAAGTGTTTATTACTGTGCAAAATGTGCTTGATGAAGGGGGCAGCAAGTCTGGTTTAGAAAGAAGAATGGAACAACATCGGTATCCAGAAGATTCGGATGCTTCTACCTCATCTTCTGTTCAGAGTTTACTTGATTCTGGTAAGTAAAAAATTCTCAAAAAATCTTTAAAAAATTCTAAAAAATTCTGGAAAATTTTTTTTTATTCTAAAAAATCAGAAAAAAAAACGTTTCAAAAAAAAATTCTGAAAAAAATTTTTCAAAAACAGGAATCCAAATCGATGATGGTTTCCATTCTCCAATGAAAAGTTTGAGAAAAAAGGTGTCAATATCTAAAGAAGGTGGAAGCAGTGGCCGACGTGTTAGTTTTGCAGAAGATAAAAAATCTAGAGAGGAAAAACGGAAAGAAGACAAATTAAAATTTAAAGAGGAAATGGAAGAACAAAGGCCTTCATCATCATCTAGCTATGAATTTAGAGGAGAATTTGATAAATTGGAAGGGGAAATAGAGTTGAAAGAGGAGGAGAAAGAAGAGGGTAAAAATCTAAGTAATGAGGAGAATGAAGAAAAAATTGAAGAAAAAGTGGAAGAAACTAACAAAAGTGAAGTAAAGCCTATAAGAACCAAAATTCTAAAGAAGAAGACAAAAACCGAAAAAGAAGTTGATACAAATAAAATTGAGGAAAATATTGAAGATAAATCTTCTGTATCATTAGAAAAGGAAAAAATAAAGGAGGAAAAGGAGGACGTAAAATCAGTGAAGAAAGAAGATGAAATTAAAGTAGAAAAAAGTAAAAAACAAGACGAAGAAAAAGTAGAAATTAAAAAGGATTCTTCTGTCGGATTCGAGGTCCCACTTAATGATATTGAGGCAGTCGAAGGGCAACTTCGCGTTGAAATGGTGGCAAAGTTGGAGAAAAGCACACGTGATACATTAATGCGTGCAAAATGGTAAACTTAAGTTTCATAATTAATTTTTAAGATTGATCTTAATAATAGTTTAATTCTGATTATTAATTAATTCTGATTTTTAATTCGTTTTCAAGTTCAATCTTGATTCTGATTAAATAATTCTGATGCCTATCTATTTTTAAGTTCAAGCTTAATTCTGATTATTAATTCTGATTATTCTTTATCTGTTTCCAAGTTAAAACTTAGTTCTGATTATTAATTTATTTTCAAGTTCAATCTTAAATCTGATTTAATTAATTCTGCTCATTAATTATTTCCAAGTTTAAGCTTAATTCTGACTCTATTTTTTTCAAGTTATAGTTCACTTCTGATCATTAATTCTGATCTTTTAAGTTCAATCGTAATTTTTAACGTTCTTACTCCCGTTTAAACTTGTTACTCTTTTAAAGGTTTAAAGATGGAAAACTTTTAAATGCTCGAACATTGAAGCACAAGGCACTATTAGATAATAAAGGAGAAGCAAAACTTGTTATCAATAAAATTGAAAAGGCAGATGAAGGTTAATTTAAAATTTTATTGTGAAATTAAACAATGTTTTTAAGGCCTTTACAAACTCGAACTTGAACTTAGTAGCCGAGAACAGTCAAAACCTTCAACCCAGGCATATTTGTCTGTTAGAGTACGTTATTAAATTTATTTAAAAATTTAAAATTAACCAAAAAACTATACTATTATTTCAATTTAAGGGAAAAGGTGAATTGCCTAAAGCTGGCATTGAAACGAAAACAACCGATACTGGACGCAAACCCGTAGGAAAAGTAGCGCCACAAAAAACACAAAAAACACCACCAAAATTTGTTAAGAAACCAAAACCTAATGCTGTAAGATTGGAAGATATCCTAACCTTTTTAAAATTTATTTCTCAAAGGAATCCATCAAAGGCTCACGTATCTGCCTAAGTGGATCATTCTCAGGCTTTCCTCTTCCCAAACTTAAATGGCTTCGAAACGGGAAGGAATTTTTAGCGGATGAGTTTATTCTATTAAATATCAATTACAACGAGGATTTGGAATTAAATGAGTTTATGTTAGAAATTTTGAAATTTACACCGCCTGAACATGAAGGTAAAAAATAATTCAAGTGAAGAAAATATTTAATTTTTAGGGACATATACTGCCCTAATTCAAAATGAACATGGCAGCGATTCTGTCTCAATTTTAGTTTCCGAACTTTCTTTAGAAGATAAAATGAAGAATTTTGGTGTATCAGAAAAGAAGGTCCTATTATAATATTATCTTAAAAACTAACACTTGTTTTGTACTAGAATGCCTTGAGAATAATTTTACTTTTACAATAACAATTTTTATGTTTAACAACTTTCCCTAAAGTAGATTAACATGTAGATTTTTTAAATTGATATAAATTTGTAGCTTCCAGAAGATGAAAACTCTTGCATCAACAACAGCAGCAGGGATGAAATTCCCGAAACTACATTAATAAAGAATGGAGAGAAAGAATGTTTAGTTAATACAAAATTAGTTAAAAATAATAGTAAAGTAGAAATAGATATTATAAACAACAAAAACATAAATGATAATAAAAACATTTCTGAAGACAACATAAACATAAATATCCGTAATAACAAAAACAACACAAACAACATCGACAACAAAAACATCAATAAAAACAAAAACAACAATAATTATAAAAACATCAGTAACAACGAAAACAACGACGACGACAAAAACGTAAATGAAAACAACAACAAAATCGACGGCGACAAAAACATCAAAGAAAATAAAAACAACAACAATTATAAAAACATCAGTAACAACAACATCGACGACGACAAAAACATCAATGAAATCGAAAACAACAACAAGAACATCAATGACGACAAAAACATCAATGAAAACAAGAACAACAAAAATTACAAAAACAACAGTAACAACAACAACATCGACGACGACAAAAACGTAAATGAAAACAACAACAAAATCGACGGCGACAAAAACATCAAAGAAAATAAAAACAACAACAATTATAAAAACATCAGTAACAACAACATCGACGACGACAAAAACATCAATGAAATCGAAAACAACAACAAGAACATCAATGACGACAAAAACATCAATGAAAACAAGAACAACAAAAATTACAAAAACAACAGTAACAACAACAACATCGACGACGACAAAAACGTAAATGAAAACAACAACAACATCGACGACGACAAAAACATCAATAAAAACAACAACAACATTGACGCCGACAAAAACATCATTGAAAACAATAACGGCAACACAAACAACGGCGACAACAAAAACATATATGAAAACAAAAACAACAACAAAAACATCAATGAAAACAAAAACAACAATAATTATAAAAACATCAGTAACAATATCGATGACGACAAGAACATAAATGAAAACAACAACATCAATGACGACAAAAACATCAATGAAAACAAAAACACCAAAGACGAAAAAGACATCGACGACGACAAAAACATCAATGAAAACAACAACAAAAACATCAATGAAAACAAAAACAATGACAACAAAAACTACAATGACGATATCAACAACACAGATAACAACAACACAACCAACAACACAAACACAGTAGATTCAAATTCAAAGTTTCAAACAAAAATGTTCGTAATTTTAAAACAAAGTTAAAAATAGATGAACATATATTTATGAGTTTTAAGCATTTTAAGCTCAGATTACTTGCTATTTATTGCAGGTTGTTTACCCTTGTTTTTATTTCTACTTCCTTACGTTTAATTTCTTTCCTAAACTATTTCCTTTTTATTAAACAGCTGGCAATTTATAATTAAGCCACCTGCAACGAATTCTTTCGTCAATTCATTCTTTAAGTAAAATAAATTTATTTAATTTCTAGTCCATAAACTTGACCTTATTTTTTCCCTTAAACTCTCATTTCTGCTTAGATTCCTTGTTTAATAGTCTGTCTCTTTGATTTTTAATTTACTTATTCTCTCAAGATTAAATTAATTTTAATCTTTAAAGAATGCGACGAAAAAATGCAAAAATGTCGACAGCATCAACAATATCATCAACAACACTTGCAAGCATTAATATAGATGAGGATGGTAGTAAAATTTTTAAAATCATTTTTTAATAATTTTTCTCTCTCAAGTTCTACAACAACAAAATCAACTTTCAACAGAAACAACATCAACAACAAATGGAATAAATACAAACGATATCCTTTTACAAATAGGGGCTGATGGAGAGCAACAAAAGTTTGAGTTAAATGAGGAAGATCTTGATGATAATACAAATAAAGAACAAAGGCAGAAAAAGAGTAACGAATTTTTATTTATTAAAAATTTTATTAATTTTGTTTAATTATTAAGCGCTTCAAATAATTAATGCAGCAATAGAGCAACGAAATTCAAAGTTGTTTTACTAACATTTTTTATTATTTCCCCTTATATAAATTATTTTAGAATATGTAGGCCACGATTCTTTGCGCGACCAAAACCTCATAAACAAGTTGCGGAAGGAAAGAGTTTAAGGTGTTTTTAGAAAAATATTAAAAAATTATTTCTCTTAAAAAAGATTGAAAGCAGCAATTAGTGCAAATCCTTTACCCCAAGTTTATTGGGATAGAAATGGTATTAGGCTCGAAACAGGAAGCAAATATTCTATTTTTCAGGACGGGCAAGTTCCCCTCACTATCTTTTTAAAACCCAAAAATTTTCAGCGATTTTTTTCTTTTGGAAGTCCATTCATTATCAATCTTTGATAGTGGTTTATACAATTGTACAGCAAAAAATACAGAGGGTGTAGCCTTCTGTTCAGCAAATGTGCAAGTTGTTGAACTTGCTACACCAAAATCTAGCACTGAAAGTTTAATTAAAACTGAATCGCCTATTAATCAAAGAATGAAACGCCAAAAATCGCGTTCTGAGCAAATGGCACCGGAAATTATTGAAGCTTTACCTAGTGAAGCTAAAGTATATAATTGAAATTGTTTAGTGATTTATTTTTTCTGAATTTTCAGGCAATTTCTGGCGATCAATTTATTGCGGAATGTCGAGTATTAGGTCCGTTAGAATGAATTTTTAATTAAAAATACAGTCGGGTCTCAATATAAGATACACTTCGGGATTGAAAATTTCGTATCCTAAAATATCCACCCATATTTTCAAATTTTATTTTCGAATTAGTTCCCTTTAGCTACTTCCCCTCCCCTCATAATCCGATGGCTAACCAAATTTACAAAAAAAAATCTTAAATTGAGATATATCGAGTATCTTATAAAGAGAGAATATATTAGGTTTCAGAATTATTAAAGTAATAAATAGGCAATCCAATCCCTTCAATTTGTTGGCTTCACAATAACACAAGGATCACCCCAAATTCTGATCATATAGGTAGTTTCATTCTTTATTAAAATTAATTTGATAAACAATTTTTAAAAATAGTTTTATCATTTGATGGTGAACTATCCAAATTATTAATCTCAAAAATTTCGTCACTCGATTCTGGACGTTACATCGTAAAATTAATAAAAACATGATTAATTAATTTTCTTAAACTTAAGTTTATTGCTGAAAATTCTTCCGGAACAATTCGTTCGGAAATGAATTTGTTAGTTAATAAAGCAATTCGAGAGGATGATTTACTTTCTCCTAAAGTAAATATTTAGAAATTAATAAAATATTAAAAAATATTTTTTAATTAGTTTATTGAATCTAAAGTACGTTTACGACACCAAATTGAAATTGGAGATAATGGAATTAGTCAAAGAGAAATAATATTACTTGCTGAGATTATAGAAGGTATTTCTGAAAAATAAAATCAGAATTAAAGTAAAATCAGAATAAAATTTAAGTTTAATCTTAAAAACAGAATTAAAGCAAAATCAGAATTAAATTTAAGTTTAATCTTAAAAACAGAATTAAAGCAAAATCAGAATTAAATTTAAGTTTAATCTTAAAAACAAAAGAAAAAAAAATGGTAAACTTGAGAAAATAAAATCAGAATAAATAAACTTAAGATTGCAAATAAACTTGAATTCAGAATTAAATAAACTTAAGCTTGAAAATTCAGCTTTTATTCAAATAAATAGAATGTTATTTTAGGCACAGAACCAATAACAATTAAATGGTTTACACCAAACCGTGTCGAAATAACTAATGACCATTTAAATGCTTATCGTATTGGTTGGAAATTAAATTTTTAATTTTAAAAATTAAAAAAAAATTTCTTCTAGATCGTGTAGGGAAGGATTCTCGACTGACAATTTTTGATGCGTTTCCTACAGATACAGGGGATTACAAATGCTTGGCAGAAAATAAATGTTATTATTTTTAATAAAAAAAACTAATTTTTAAATTTTAGTTGGTACTGCAAAGTGTATATTTGAATTAAAAATTAATGGTAAATAAATTTAAAAAATATTTTAAAAAAATAAAATTACAAAAAACATTTTTAACAATTTTAAAAAAATTTAAAAAAATCTTTTCTTTTAAAGAAAAAAATAATTTTAACTACAATATTGAACAAAAACCCCCTACTGTTTCCGCTAAACAATCAACTATTTATGCAAAACAAGGACAACGTTTTGTTGATTTAATTTTTAGTGTTTTTGGGGATGAAACTGTGATATGGTAAAAACATTTAGTCAAAAAAATAATTTTTTAATTTTTAGTTGGTATAGGATTGTGCAAGATTCTGAACAACACATAATCCCTAACACTAAAAAATATGAAGTTAGTGGCTTTTTAAATTACCCCAATTTTAAAATATTTTTTTTAATTTTGCCTTAAAAATTAAAAATATTTTTAGAAAAAATTGGGGAAAAAAGAAAAAAAATTTAATTTTAAAGGCCAGTAATAAAGATAACGGACAATGCGTATCTTTGCGAATTTATGATTTACAAATTAATGATGCTAGTCAATATAAAATTGTTGCAATGTAAAAATAAATAAATTTTTAAAAATTAATTTTTAAATTTAAAGAAATCGTTGTGGGGAGGCTTCTGGAATTATTAAACTTTTCGTTAACACAAACATAAATATTAATGAGAACAAAAAATCAGCCTTGTGGTAATTAAATAAACACAACATGTTTAATGTTTTTTTAATTTTTAGAACATAACAAAAACATGTTGTGATCGTTAAAATACAAGAAAAACGTGTTTGAATTACTTAAATATTTCTTTTCCCATAGTATTTGTTTCCCAACTTGTTTTCCAACTTGTTTTCAAACATGTTTTCCAACTTGTTTTTTTAATAAAATAAAGTTTTCACAACACAACTTGTTTACAAAGTTTGAAAACAACTTTAAAACTTGTTTTGTAATTATTTAAAACTTGTTTTACAATTATTTGAAACTTAATATGAGAATGTTTTTCAATGTTTTAGATGTTTTTAGCCCACAAAATTGTTGTATTCATTTGTTTAGTTTGCACAAATTTCAAAATCTTTCATTTACCAAACATGTTGTAACCTAAACAAATGAAATCACAAATTTTTCCCACAAACATGCTTATCATCTATTTAATTTATCATGCTCAAATTTTATTTGTGTTATAATAGTCGAATAAATTATATATTATTATATTTTTTCTAAATCTTCAGACAAAAATTATTTTTTATTCCAAATTGCAACACCTATTTTTAAATTTTTTTAGTACAGCATCCCGTTGCTAGGAAACACCTGTGCTGAGTAAAGGACATTTTTAGTATTTTTATTTGACCTACTAACGCCTAAAAAGGATAATAATTTGCATCAAAAAAAGATTTTCTTCAGTTCATTATTAAGCAAAAAAAAAACTAAGAAAATTAAGTCATCTTTACAAAAAAAAATTTGCTCATAATGTACACGAATGTATCTCGTAGCGGTTCATCTTCTACTGTTACCCCTCAACAACCAAAAATTTATTTACAAAATCAGTTAACTCTGTCAAAACCTAGCAGTGAAGAAATGGAACGTCCGGGGACGAGGAGAGGAGGACGCCCTGGGAGTCAATCAACAACGACAACAACTCCTGCTGAAGAGGAAAATAATATTACGAAACAAAGATTTGTGCCAAACACAAATGGTTTCTTAAATTTTAAAATCCATCAAAGGAAAAATTTTCCCCTTAAGGCAGACAACCACCCGTTGTGGATGTTTGGACTCGTGATCAATCCAGTCGTAACAGTGAATTCGTCATTCCTACTTCATCCTCTTCAAATTCATCCTACACTAAGCAGCGTCCCAAAGCTTCAGGAACGCCTCCAGCTTCATCAATTAACCGTTCTGGCAATATCTCAGCCTCGTCTTCTACAAAAAGGCAAAATGGATATCCAGAATTAAGCGATCCTGAGAGGTATAGTTCAGAACAATTTGATGAGTCTGATGATGAGCCTGATAAAAAGGAAGAAAAGGAAGAAACGGAAGACGAAGAAATAAAGAGGAAAAAGGGAAAAGAGGTCGACGACTTTACGAAGCGTTTGTAAGTCTTTTGGGGGGCTTATGAATTAATTAATCTTTCATTTCAGAAGGGATTTAGCTATTTTACGTACCAGAAGTTTACACGAATCCATTCGCTCAAATATTATTAACACCGAAGTAAAGACGAATAACAAAGCCCCATTACCTCCAATAATCCCTACAGGCAGTTTAAAAAGCCGTAGATCAAGCGAAAACAACAACAACGAAAAAATTGTTAAAAATATTAGTGGAAGCAACAGAAAAGTGCCCTCAAAAGTTACAAGTAATTCACCTAGTAATAGTGGAGAAAGAAGGAAAATTGATAATAATCAAGGCAGATTTTTCCATTTATTAAAAATTATTTTTTCAATTTTCTCTAAAGGCCAAAATTCACACCCTTCTAGTTCAAGGAAAAATTCATCGGAGCAAAGCTTTGAGAAACAATTGCAATTAGTAAAAAATAAATTTGAGGGAAGCACTAGTAAAAATAAAACTGTTTTGAAGTCTTCTGCCTCCTCTAGCTCTTCAAATTTATCCCTATCTCAACCTCCACAAAATTTATCAACGTCCAAATCATCACAAGAGACTGAAGCTGAGGTAGAAAAATATTTTTTTGGAATTTTTTAAAAATTAAAAAAATTTTTCTGAAGGCTCAACAACTTCAACAACAATTAAACTATAAAGAAGAGGAAAATAAATCTGTTAATAAATCCAGAAAAAATTCTAAAACATCTTCAATTAATTCAAACGAAAGAAAACAATTAAATGGACTAAATTCAAAAATAACTGATGAGTTTCATCAAAGACAACGTCGAGCTTCTCAACAGAGGCAACAACAAAAATCAGAGGAAGGAGAAAGCATTATTCAACAAAGAGTTCCTTTAGGTTTTGGATCGAGCAGTGAAAGGCAATAAAAAAATTTTTAATTCTTGGAAAAATTTAATTTCGTACAAGTCCAGCAAAAAGACCCACATCAATTACCCCCTTCCTCTTTTAATATATAAATATAGAAACCCCGGAGCTTCAAGTTAACAGTATCTGATAAATTTAGATTTTGCCTTCTATCCGCTAGTGGAAGACAAAGGGCCAATACTCAGGCTTATAGAAAACGAAGTTCAAGTCTTGTAGCACCTCGAAAGGAAGAAGATTCTGGGACATATAGGGTGATTTATTATAATTTATTTAAAACATTCTAGTGAACATTTCCAGGCTTGGGTAAAACAAAAACAAAACGAACAAAAAGCTAAAAAGGAACGTGAAGAAGCTGAAAAAACCGCTCTAGAACAGCAACGTTCAGAAAAACGAGAACTTGCTGCAAAAAATTTTAATCGTTGGAAGTCAGAATTGGAAAGACGTTTGGCTGAGAAAAAGGCAGCAGAACGATTAAAAGCTCAAAAAAAGGCTGAGCAAGAGAAACAAAAAAAGTTTTTAGAGTTTTAAATAAGAAAAACACACACATTTTTAAGAGAACAAAAACAACTAGAAGCACAACAAACATTCCAATCTTGGAAAAAACAAGACGAAATAAAAAGAAAAACACAAAAGGAACGGGCCCGAAGTGTTGAACAACGTATTGCCAAACAAACTGAACAAAATAAGGAGCAAAAACGAAGGGAGGCCGAAGCTGCTTTTCATGCTTGGTGAGAAGATAATCGAAAATCTCATTATAAGATACCCTTAACATTAAGTGGACGAAGGGCCGGATTACTCGAAAACGGATATACTACAAGAAAATGGATTCCTACAAGCCCCCCCCCCCCCGGTTTTTCCAACCATACCCCGATCCGAAAAAAATTTCGACATTTGTTTCGAAACACGACCCGACTTTTTTCTGAACCCGGCTAACCATGTTAGATACCTCTCAATATAAAATATTTTTTCTGCCCAGAGGCATCTTATAGTTAGGTCCAACTATATTTTTGATTTCGAAAAATATTTAAAGGATTCAAATGGCTGATGAACGTATAAGAACTCAACATGCCCTAAAACAAGAAGAGGAAGAGCGTAAAGAAGAGGAACGTCGTGAACAGAGTAAAGCAAAAGCCAGAATTGCTGAAGAAGCTTATTCCTTGTGGATGAATATGAAGGTGAAAATTAGGAAATTCTGAGGGCCGTTTAAAATTTTCCCAAAATTTAAAATAGGAAGAAGAACGCAAATATAGACGAAGCCTTGCCTTTCGAATTCTCGACTTTGAACGACGTGCCAACAGTGAAAGGTCTATAACTCCATGGATTCCCACAAGCCCAACAGTCATTCACAGTACACACTCACGTTCTACTTTGCTCACTCCTCCCTTAAATTCTGCAAAAGGTAGAAGACGAACTTTAGAGAAGAAATTGGTTTTGCCTGATTGGAGGAAACATCAAAAAAATAAAAATAATTTGGAGACGAAATCTGCAATAAATTCTGGTACTAATAGACGGCCTTGGCGTTAATTTTCTTATATACAAAAAATACTTTCATTATTATCAGACATCAAGTCTAACAACCTCCCCCCTCCCATTAATTAAATGAAATATTTCAACTTTTTTAAGAAGGGTAAATGTCCAGTTGGCGGTCTACATGTCCGCAAAGAGAATCTGCTCTTTTCTTTCCTTTTCTTGCATTTTTTGCGTTGGGAGACGTGCTCCGCTCATTTTTCCTTTTCTGGCATTTTTCTTCTCAATACAGTATGTTTTCCTTTTCCTAATTGTAAAATAAAAATAATACCTCTAATTTAAAAAAATTAATTTACCAATTATAAATTTTGGATTATAAAAATTACAATGAAAAATTCTTAAATTTAGGATTATTGATATCTTATAACAACTTTGTATGCTTTCTGATAAGCCAAAAATAATGATTTAAAAAATTTCAAAACAATATTTAAAGAATTTTTACACCTTTTCTACGTTGATTTTCGAGTTATCAGTTTCGGTTTTTAAAATTTTCTAAAATCAGTTAATTTTTTGGAAAAAATTTCAAAAATTCCGGCTTTAAAACCGGTTGCCAACAACCCTAATTTGTAAAATAATTTTTTAAATCATTATTTTAATTTTTTAAATCATTATTTTTGGCTTATCAGAAAGCATACAAAGTTGTTATAAGATATCAATAATCCTAAATTTAAGAATTTTTCATTGTAATTTTTATAATCCAAAATTTATAATTGGTAAATTAATTTTTTTAAATTAGAGGTATTATTTTTATTTTACAATTAGGAAAAGGAAAACATACTGTATTGAGAAGAAAAATGCCAGAAAAGGAAAAATGAGCGGAGCACGTCTCCCAACGCAAAAAATGCAAGAAAAGGAAAGAAAAGAGCAGATTCTCTTTGCGGACATGTAGACCGCCAACTGGACATTTACCTTTAAGAAGACCCTATTTTTGTTTTTTAATAATTATATTTTTTGGCATAAATTTTAATTATATGTAATGATTAAAAATCAAAAATAGTAATAATAAATTAACACACACCCCTCAAACCTCCCCAAAAATATTAATGAAAATTTTACTACTAACAATAAGTGTTCCATGAGGTTACTAACCAGTGATGTCAAAGTTCCAGTTCCAGTTCCGGAATTAATTAGTTCTAGTTCCAGTTCCGGAACTAGAACTACGGAACTAACGATTATCTGGAACTAGTTTGGAACTAGAACTACGGAACTAGTAAATGCCTGGAACTAGCTTTGGAACTAGTTCTGGAACTAGTTCTTGGGGGTATATTTTTGACAAAATTTCCTCGATGAGATAATCACATAATAACAAATTAGAAATATTAAAGGAAGGATATCTAAAAACCAGCGTTGCTCAAAACTTTGGTAATTCCTACTAAAATTTAACTTAAAAGATTTATTTAACCAAGATCAAAAAGAAAAATCGTGTTAAGCGCTTAACCCACTTTGAGCAACCCTGGTCAGAAATAAAAATTTTAAAACCAGCCTTTGCCAACGTCCTCCACGCAGTCAACAGCAAGTAGCATTAATTGTGTTGTTGGACCATTCGTTGTTGGCATATTCCACTCGTTGTCTTCAAGCAGATGATGACTTGTTGTGAGATGAGAATTTTGTTGTTATTAAAGAAAATAAGAAAATAAAGTAAAAAATTGAAAGAATAAAAAGAAAATAAAAAGGTAAACAAATTTGAATATCAATAGGAAACTGGAAAAGTGACTTTCAGGAAAAGAGAGAAAATATCAATTGACAAGAAAATCAATAATTATAAAAAAAGTTTCTAATTGAAAAACTTGGATAATTTGTCTAAATTGGATAACAGGCAATCCCGGAGAATTGGGGTTTCTTCGAAAAAAAAGTTTAAAACTAATAAAAAGGTTTTTTCTAGGGTAAAAAAATATGCTGATTACGAATCTGAACTCGGATTTTGAAAAAGTCGAATCCCGGACCCGAACCAAATTTCGAACCCTGAACCCGAATTTCGAATATACATATGATAGCTCGTTCGAAAGAGCTCATCGAGCTGCATCGAATGATACAAAAATCAACGTGATTAGACCAGATTTGACAAAGTTATGACATAAAGTATACCTATGGGAGTACTGTAGGAGTCGGCGACTTATGTCATAACTTTGTCAAAACTTGATGAATCACTGTAATTTTTATGTCATTCGACTCAGCTCGACGAGCTCTTTCGAATGAGTGATCATTTGCTTAAACTTTTTTTACTCCAAAAAAATCACCCTTATGGTTTTTCAATATTCCGGGGTCTGTATCTCGGTCCAATTACGTCGGATTTTATCGATTTTGGTGTCATTTGATGCAGCTCGATGAGTTCTATCTCCATATGAAAGACTGACATTTTTGTACTATGTCCGACAAAGTCCGGGGTCAAATTCCGAATTCGGGTCCGGGATTCGACTTTTTCAAAATCCGAGCTCAGATTCATAATCAGCATATTTTTTTACCATAGAAAAATACTTTTTCTTATTTTTAAAATTTTTATTCGAAGAAACCCCAATTCTCCGGGATTGCCGGATAACATGTCTAAATAAACATTTTGCCAACCTTTTATTTTTTTATTTATTTTTAAATATTCACTGCCGAAAAGGGCCTGCAGAGTGCAAAGCAACTAGTGATCGGAATTTCGTACCATGCCGTATTCCGTACCGTACTATCGATAAATACCGAAAAATACGGCCATAGTAGGGTACGGCCCGATTACTACAGGCAGTAGCTCTTCAGTTATTTTAAATAATATGTAAGTCGGTAAAATCGTAATCCCGAGATCTTGAAATGGGGTCTGCTTAAAAATTTTCTAACGGGCTCAAGTGGGATTAATTCCAACAATTTCTGGATCCCTGTCCAGGCCGAATCTTTAGATTTTCAAATTTTAAGATTATTCATTAACACTCTATTTAATTAAAAATAAAATTTTTATTTAATTTTCTGAGAGTCATCACATAAAAATCTGTCAAAATAAATTAAGGTAAGTCAAAAAATAAATATGGGTAATTTCAAAGAAATCTCTTCAAAAATTTTCTTTTTATCATTCAATAAATTCCTGAATACTTTCAGGTAAACGATAACGATCCTCTTCTTCTATAGCTTTATTAATCCATTGAATACTTACAAAGTTACATAAAAATTGTTGTTTTTCATTAAAATCAAATAAAGATTGTTCTTCCCCACGCTTTCTTTAAAATAAAAATATTTTTAAAAAAATTTTTATGGTTTAAGAAATCTTTTCCAGTGAATTTTCTTGACTTTCATTTTTTAGAAAACAATTCATTATTTAAATTTTGGGAAATTTGGACAATTCCAAACACCAAAAAAAATTAAGGAAAATAAGATAATATGTACTTAAACACCCCCAAAAATCCACTCTAACATACTTTTTTATAAGTAAATTCGGCTCTAGTTTAGTTTATGAAAGTTTAATAAGCTATAAAATAAGCCAATAAAAAATTATGAGTCCAGTGGATGTTTTAGAGGGTGTCCTTAAAAACCCCTTTCTTGTCCTTAAAAATTTTCATTGAAATCACAAGGCTTTCATTGGACTCAATAAACTATGCCAAAACCAAAGATTCTTTTTTTTATATTTTCCTTACAATTTATCCAAAACTACATGTGTTATTGAACTATCCAATTCATTTACAATCCTTCCATTTTGCATTTCAATTAATTTTTGAATTTTTAATCTTTGTTGTGGTTGCAAGGGTTGTGTAAATAAAAGACATAATCAGCAAATAAATTCCCTTTTTCAACAGGCTGACAATCGTCACTATTTAATTGATTTTCTACTTGATTTCTTATCTCAAATAATTAATAGGTAAATTAATTTTTTTTATAAAAAATAAATTTTGCGGACATTCACTAATTCAATTTGCTGGCATTCGTTAAATTGGGTAGAGGAGCTCACTCTACTTACAATACCCCTCTCCCTCCCAATTAAAAATGGACCTCATTATAAGGGTACAACTTTTTTAGTCTCAAGACGGTCTTTATGATCAATTTAACTTTTTAACTAATTTATTTTTAAACAAAAACCTCAATTTCAACTTCTTCAGCTTCCCTAGCTAATTGTTCATAAAATCGTTCATTTTCTAAAGTTTCATCCCTTTCCTCTTCAAATTCTTTTCCTATCACATTTCTTTTAGGAGCAATATTTGAAGAACAAACTTCTATTTGTTTTCTTTTTAAATTTAATTTTTGTTGTTGTTGTTGTTCTTCATTTAGTATTTTATTATTATTTTGTCTCATTTCAATTAAGTTTTCTTCAGAAGTTGAAAACAAATTAAATTTGGAAGTTGAACAAAAATGGATTAAATCGGAAGATTTCCTTTAAAAAAGAAGTTAATTTAAAAGGAAATTTTGTGGACAACATTTGCGGACATTTTTAATTTTAAATTTTTTTGCGGACAAAACTTGCGGATTTTTTATTGATACATATTTAAAGCTTTAAGAGTCATTCACATTTTCAATGGAAAAAAATAAATTTAAAAAAATCTGCAAATTTTGTCCGCAAAACTTAAACTTCTACAAGTGCCTATTTTTAAAAATAAAAATAATTTTAAAAAAATAAATACCAAGGTATCAATTTGTTTTCTTCTTTACATTTTAATAACCAATTTCCATGCACAATACTAAAAAATATAAAATATATTAAATTCAAAATTTAAAAAATGATTTACTGGCATTTATCTGCTTTAACATGAGCTATACAATTTAAGGTTTTCGGATTCATTGCCACCAAAAATGCTGTGTTATTTGCTTAAATAAAATTAAAATTAATTATTTAATAAATTTGAAAATTTTTGCGGACAAATTTTGCGGATTTTTTTATTGACTTAAAGTTGAACAAATTGATTTAATACAAAAATTCCCCAAATTAAAATAAAAAATTCTGCATAATTCTTTTTAGCTAAAAAATCCGCAAATATTGTCCGCAAAAAATTTTGCGGATTCCTTTTTAATTAAAAACCCCTCTCAATTTTCCCCTCTAACTTACTTGGATTAGCAATAGGAATAGCCCCCAATTCAATTAATATTTTTTGTAATTGTTGTGTAGTATACCCTTCATTAGCATTTAAAACACAAACTTTTACATTTTCCAATTCATTACAAATTTGAAATTCTTCACTTCTTAATTTTTCTGTTTCTCTTGAATTTATCAATTTAATTGAAGATTTTAAATTTATTTGTTGCATTTTTCTTTTTTTATTTAATATTATATTTGCTTCATGCTCATCATCTTCGTCTATCATTGGACGAGAACGGAGGCGCTGATTTAAAAAATTCAATTTTTAAGGAGATTTTTCAAAAATTTTTTGTCCGCAAGAATTTTCGCGGACGAAACTTGCGGACAAAATTTGCAGATTTTTTATATTTAGATTTATTCTTACTATTGTAAGAAGTTTTTTTATGGGAGAAGAATTATTTCCTCTATGGAAGAGGATTTTTTAAATCCGCAACTTTTGTCAGCGAATTTGTGCTGACAATAATTGCGGCCGGAGTTTTGTCCGCAAAAATAGGTAAACATTTTTATAATTAAAAATAAGAAAAAAATAATTTCTTACTTCATCAAAATTTGCAACATCTACAACTGAGTCGACTTCTTCAAACTAAAATTTAATTTAAAAAATTAAAAACAAATAAAAAATATTCCAACTATTTTGTCATGTCTAACACCAACAATTGCAGGAAATTGAAGTTTTCCGTTAATTAAACCAGATGCTCTAACTTCTACAATCTTTTTTAAATAAAAAAATAATGAAAGGAAACTTTAAATTTTAAAGGCATTTTTAATAAATTCTGTCCGCAAAAAACTTTTGCGGACAAAATGTTTGTCCGCAAATATTTTGCGGACAAAACGAGTCCGCAAATATTTTGCGGACTATTTTTTTTCTTTTCAGTTTCTAATTTTCTTTTCAGTTTCTAATTTTTAATTAAAAACCTGTATTTTTTCATAGAAAACAAAACGATAACAGTCTGCATTTTTTGAAGTATCATCAAATTCTTCTATCCATTCTGGCCTTTTAAATAATAATTCAGAAGTATTACCAATGGTTGAACGAAGACGTTGAAAGTCTAAAGCTTTAAGTCTAGAAGTGATACCAGCAATCTAAAAATAAATAAAAAAAAATGACATTTTGTGTTTTGAACATTTTTAAATTTTTAAGAAAATTAAAAATGGTCAAAAACATTTTCTAATTTTTGTCCGCAAAAATTTTTGCGGACAAGATTTTGCGGACTTTTATTTTTTGATAATATCCAAATAAGCAAGGGGCGTTTAAAACCCCTCCGCTTCCCTCCTCCCAAAATAGGAGATGAAAAATCAAAAAAAGGGATTTTCCAGTTGTCTTTATTTAATTGACCATTTTGTCATGACCATTTTTAAATTTAATTTTCATACCATTTTAAATTTGAATTTTCCATCACTCGTAGTAACTTCCTTTCCATTTTTATTACAACTTTTTGCAGCTACCAAAAAAGATTTTAACCGATTTCTATCATGTCCAGCCTCAATTCTAACCCCAACAACAGCCAAATCCAAAACTGATTGAATTCCATAATCTGGCTTAATTTTAAACCATCCATTCTTTTCTGCACGACTACCGGGACGATAAAGTGAAGTTAATGATTTTACAACAATTCCTTCTTCGTTTTGTGACATTGCATTTTTATAATAATTGACAAAGTCCTCACTATAATTTAAAAAAATTTTCTATTAAAAATCCGCGAAATTTGTCCGCAAAGTTTTTGCGGACAAAATTTGCGGACAAATTTTTCCCCAATTTTAAAATAAAAAAAATAATTTAAAAAAAACAAACGCTTTATTAATTAATTTTTTTGTAGAAATAAATATTGTAGACAAATCTTCTTCAACAAAAATATTTTGAAGTAATTCTACACGTTCACTTAATGTTAATTTTTCGGTTATAAGGCATTTTCCATTTAAATAAAGAATATCAAAAACTGCTGAAAATTTTTTTCTTATTTTTAAATTTTTTAATTAATGACAAATACCTATACTTCTTTCAAATGCTTTATTATTTTCAAAAAAATCATCATCCATATATTTTGGGTCATAAACATTTCCATCTGAAGCACGTCTATTCTTTCCAACTTTAAATTTAAAAATTAAAGATTTAATTAATTAATTTTTAAGAAAAACTTTGATTTTGCGGACTAACATACGCGGACACCTAAACATATTATGAAATTGATTAGAGCTTGAACCTCAACCCCGAATCCCAGTAATTTTTTTGGCTAAATCCTAGGAGTCTCAAAAAGGAAACTCCCATTTTTTAGACCTCGAAAGGTCAGAAACAACAATTAAATAATTTTAAGGCGGATGTGTCATTAAAATCCATCAGTGTCTGTTACGTTCCAATTCCATTAAGTTACAGTTTTATCCGCAAATTTTAAATTTGTCCGCAATATATAAATTTGTATTTTAATTAAAAAAACTTTTCTAAATTAAAATTAAAAAAAACTTTTTCTTACCAAAACAATTTAAATTATTATCCCAAATAAGCAATTCACAATCCAAAACACAATCAACAATTTCTTCATTAAAATATTTATGAATTCTTTTAGAAAATAGCAATTCATAATGCCTTCCCAATTTATTTGTATAATCAACACCATTTCTTGTAAAATATTTATAATTTATTTTTTCATATTTGTGGACTATTAAATGTTCTCCGTCATATTTTGTTTCCAAATAGAATGGACGTTGGCAATAACGAATTATCTTCAATAAAAAAATTTTTTTTAAGTTGAAGATTAGAGGGTAGCGACCCGTGGTTGGAAGCCCGTACCAAAATTCGAAAAAAAATAGACAGGAAACAAGGCTATACAAATGTAGCCTTTTTTTAATGTTGAAGATTTTTTGGAAGTTTTTGGAAACTTTTACCAAAATTCGAACTAGAGTTCAAAAAAAATAGCCAGGAAAATGTATCAAAAACAAGGCTATACGAAGGTATTACAAGCATATTTTAAATTTCCAAACACTGGTAGCAACTTCGACTTTGGAAGGGATAACTGGGTAACTGGGTCTTTAGCTATAAAAAATCATTGTGGTCAGAATGAGTACCTTAAGCTAAAGACAAAAATTGAAAACGAAAATGAGCCCAAAAACTATAACAAATAAAACAAGTGGAAGTTCGAAAGTGTGAAAATCAAAATTTTTCGGGGAAGGAAGAGAGAAATAAAATTTAAAATTTCATATCCAATAAAAGAAATACCTTTGCCAAGCAATATTTATTGTAATTTAGACGCTTCAAAAGCATTGGTCTAAACGGTTTACATAACAAATGTCCAGTCAAATTCATTGAATTCTCAGTTTCTGGGTCAGCAAATTTTTCACAAATTAATTGGAGTGAATCACCTTCCTTTTGAAAAAAATTTTTTAATCCTTAAAAATTAAAAAAACCTTCCATAAATTATCTGCTTCAGCATGAAAGGTTCTCATTAAAGTATGTCCAGACATATCGATATATCTCTCTATATTACCCAAAATTATATGAAAAATAAATCGAAGTTCGTTTGGAGTACATTGACGACAAAGTTTATCCATCGCTTCTTCTTCTGAAATTATTTAAAAATTATGTCTGTGTTAAAAAGTCAGTTGACAACAGAACGAGGGTTTTAAAATTCGGGATAGCTTAATTTTTAATTTTTGATATGTTCTTCAGGGTTTATTTTTCCCAAGCTCGGAAAATACAGTGGATGCAGGAAAGTTCGAACTTTGACAAGTAAATTACAGGAAACTGCATCTAGCCAAATGTTCGAGTTCTTACTGAATCCACAAATTTTCCTGGGAATGAGAAAAAGAAATATGAGAGGCCAAAGTTCGAGCTTTCCCCTATCCACTGTATTTTCTGAGCCTAGGAAAACAAAAACCCAAAGAACAGGGAAGAACGAGCCCACTATAAAACACAACAGTGAATCCAAAAATTAGACCTGACTCAGATTTCTAAAAAAAATTCCAACTCACTTACCAACCAAAACTAAATGTAAAAAAACAAAAAAAACAAACGAATATCAACGCTGTTCGGGTATTTAATTCTGTCCAAAAATTCATTGACTTCCCAAATTGTCAATTTTGCCGTATTAACAGGGAAACGATCTGCAGACATATTTACAAGCCGTTCAACCAACAAATCATAATTTGTAGGTACAGGATTTAGTGGCATTGCCGCAATTGAGTTACAAACTAATTGGTTGAGTTTTGCCTTTGAAAGAATTATTTTTTAGAAATTATTTTTTTTTCTAAAAATATTTTTTTAATTTTAGTTAAATAAAAATTGTTCTTTTATTAATTTGGTTATTTTCCTAAAAATATACGGGGATTGATTTTAACCCCTCTCTTATATATTTTTTAAAAAATATTATTCTTTGATACATACTTGCGGCGGATTTTTGAGGTTTGTCTATTTTATATAGATCGAACTGCGACTGACCGAGCAGAGGCCAGTCACAGGCATTTAACTTGCTAGGTTCTTACTGGCCTACAACCAGGGATCCGGTTAGGCCAACCTAAGTGTTCAGGCTGCTTTTTGAACAAACAGGGTTCTTCGTGAACTCAAGGCCTAAGACTCGGACCAGGCTTCGATTTCAAAGTAAATTTTAATAATAAAATAAAATTTAAAAAGAACCCAAAAAACAAACCTCTTTAATTCTAAATTCCCTAATTTTCACATCTTTACTAGGCACAAATAACCGCAAAGCGGGATAAAAAGTATCATCAGTTCTATATTCGATAAACCCATCTTCAACATTTTCTTTAACCATTTCATCCCTCCAACGTCTCAAAAATTTATTAAAAACAAAATGCTTGGTTGCTCTATATGTTGATTTAATTTCTTGAAATACATTACAAAGTTCGTTAAATAAAATTTTTTGGGCAACAGTTTGTTGTTGCATAGATGTTGAAGTAGTCATTTTTCTTAATTAGGTAAGTCTAAATAAAAAATTCAAAAATTTTTTTTAACCAAAAAAAATTAAAAAACAAAAAAAATTTGTCTGACCGTTTTGAGCCAAAATAAATAAAAAATTTCCCTGAAGAAAAATTCAAATAAAAATAAAAAACAATTCAAGGACATTTTGTCGCGAAAAAATTTGTCCATGGCCACTTTTTTAGTCTCAAGACGGTCTTTATGATCAATTTAACTTTTTAACTAATTTATTTTTAAACAAAAACCTCAATTTCAACTTCTTCAGCTTCCCTAGCTAATTGTTCATAAAATCGTTCATTTTCTAAAGTTTCATCCCTTTCCTCTTCAAATTCTTTTCCTATCACATTTCTTTTAGGAGCAATATTTGAAGAACAAACTTCTATTTGTTTTCTTTTTAAATTTAATTTTTGTTGTTGTTGTTGTTCTTCATTTAGTATTTTATTATTATTTTGTCTCATTTCAATTAAGTTTTCTTCAGAAGTTGAAAACAAATTAAATTTGGAAGTTGAACAAAAATGGATTAAATCGGAAGATTTCCTTTAAAAAAGAAGTTAATTTAAAAGGAAATTTTGTGGACAACATTTGCGGACATTTTTAATTTTAAATTTTTTTGCGGACAAAACTTGCGGATTTTTTATTGATACATATTTAAAGCTTTAAGAGTCATTCACATTTTCAATGGAAAAAAATAAATTTAAAAAAATCTGCAAATTTTGTCCGCAAAACTTAAACTTCTACAAGTGCCTATTTTTAAAAATAAAAATAATTTTAAAAAAATAAATACCAAGGTATCAATTTGTTTTCTTCTTTACATTTTAATAACCAATTTCCATGCACAATACTAAAAAATATAAAATATATTAAATTCAAAATTTAAAAAATGATTTACTGGCATTTATCTGCTTTAACATGAGCTATACAATTTAAGGTTTTCGGATTCATTGCCACCAAAAATGCTGTGTTATTTGCTTAAATAAAATTAAAATTAATTATTTAATAAATTTGAAAATTTTTGCGGACAAATTTTGCGGATTTTTTTATTGACTTAAAGTTGAACAAATTGATTTAATACAAAAATTCCCCAAATTAAAATAAAAAATTCTGCATAATTCTTTTTAGCTAAAAAATCCGCAAATATTGTCCGCAAAAAATTTTGCGGATTCCTTTTTAATTAAAAACCCCTCTCAATTTTCCCCTCTAACTTACTTGGATTAGCAATAGGAATAGCCCCCAATTCAATTAATATTTTTTGTAATTGTTGTGTAGTATACCCTTCATTAGCATTTAAAACACAAACTTTTACATTTTCCAATTCATTACAAATTTGAAATTCTTCACTTCTTAATTTTTCTGTTTCTCTTGAATTTATCAATTTAATTGAAGATTTTAAATTTATTTGTTGCATTTTTCTTTTTTTATTTAATATTATATTTGCTTCATGCTCATCATCTTCGTCTATCATTGGACGAGAACGGAGGCGCTGATTTAAAAAATTCAATTTTTAAGGAGATTTTTCAAAAATTTTTTGTCCGCAAGAATTTTCGCGGACGAAACTTGCGGACAAAATTTGCAGATTTTTTATATTTAGATTTATTCTTACTATTGTAAGAAGTTTTTTTATGGGAGAAGAATTATTTCCTCTATGGAAGAGGATTTTTTAAATCCGCAACTTTTGTCAGCGAATTTGTGCTGACAATAATTGCGGCCGGAGTTTTGTCCGCAAAAATAGGTAAACATTTTTATAATTAAAAATAAGAAAAAAATAATTTCTTACTTCATCAAAATTTGCAACATCTACAACTGAGTCGACTTCTTCAAACTAAAATTTAATTTAAAAAATTAAAAACAAATAAAAAATATTCCAACTATTTTGTCATGTCTAACACCAACAATTGCAGGAAATTGAAGTTTTCCGTTAATTAAACCAGATGCTCTAACTTCTACAATCTTTTTTAAATAAAAAAATAATGAAAGGAAACTTTAAATTTTAAAGGCATTTTTAATAAATTCTGTCCGCAAAAAACTTTTGCGGACAAAATGTTTGTCCGCAAATATTTTGCGGACAAAACGAGTCCGCAAATATTTTGCGGACTATTTTTTTTCTTTTCAGTTTCTAATTTTCTTTTCAGTTTCTAATTTTTAATTAAAAACCTGTATTTTTTCATAGAAAACAAAACGATAACAGTCTGCATTTTTTGAAGTATCATCAAATTCTTCTATCCATTCTGGCCTTTTAAATAATAATTCAGAAGTATTACCAATGGTTGAACGAAGACGTTGAAAGTCTAAAGCTTTAAGTCTAGAAGTGATACCAGCAATCTAAAAATAAATAAAAAAAAATGACATTTTGTGTTTTGAACATTTTTAAATTTTTAAGAAAATTAAAAATGGTCAAAAACATTTTCTAATTTTTGTCCGCAAAAATTTTTGCGGACAAGATTTTGCGGACTTTTATTTTTTGATAATATCCAAATAAGCAAGGGGCGTTTAAAACCCCTCCGCTTCCCTCCTCCCAAAATAGGAGATGAAAAATCAAAAAAAGGGATTTTCCAGTTGTCTTTATTTAATTGACCATTTTGTCATGACCATTTTTAAATTTAATTTTCATACCATTTTAAATTTGAATTTTCCATCACTCGTAGTAACTTCCTTTCCATTTTTATTACAACTTTTTGCAGCTACCAAAAAAGATTTTAACCGATTTCTATCATGTCCAGCCTCAATTCTAACCCCAACAACAGCCAAATCCAAAACTGATTGAATTCCATAATCTGGCTTAATTTTAAACCATCCATTCTTTTCTGCACGACTACCGGGACGATAAAGTGAAGTTAATGATTTTACAACAATTCCTTCTTCGTTTTGTGACATTGCATTTTTATAATAATTGACAAAGTCCTCACTATAATTTAAAAAAATTTTCTATTAAAAATCCGCGAAATTTGTCCGCAAAGTTTTTGCGGACAAAATTTGCGGACAAATTTTTCCCCAATTTTAAAATAAAAAAAATAATTTAAAAAAAACAAACGCTTTATTAATTAATTTTTTTGTAGAAATAAATATTGTAGACAAATCTTCTTCAACAAAAATATTTTGAAGTAATTCTACACGTTCACTTAATGTTAATTTTTCGGTTATAAGGCATTTTCCATTTAAATAAAGAATATCAAAAACTGCTGAAAATTTTTTTCTTATTTTTAAATTTTTTAATTAATGACAAATACCTATACTTCTTTCAAATGCTTTATTATTTTCAAAAAAATCATCATCCATATATTTTGGGTCATAAACATTTCCATCTGAAGCACGTCTATTCTTTCCAACTTTAAATTTAAAAATTAAAGATTTAATTAATTAATTTTTAAGAAAAACTTTGATTTTGCGGACTAACATACGCGGACACCTAAACATATTATGAAATTGATTAGAGCTTGAACCTCAACCCCGAATCCCAGTAATTTTTTTGGCTAAATCCTAGGAGTCTCAAAAAGGAAACTCCCATTTTTTAGACCTCGAAAGGTCAGAAACAACAATTAAATAATTTTAAGGCGGATGTGTCATTAAAATCCATCAGTGTCTGTTACGTTCCAATTCCATTAAGTTACAGTTTTATCCGCAAATTTTAAATTTGTCCGCAATATATAAATTTGTATTTTAATTAAAAAAACTTTTCTAAATTAAAATTAAAAAAAACTTTTTCTTACCAAAACAATTTAAATTATTATCCCAAATAAGCAATTCACAATCCAAAACACAATCAACAATTTCTTCATTAAAATATTTATGAATTCTTTTAGAAAATAGCAATTCATAATGCCTTCCCAATTTATTTGTATAATCAACACCATTTCTTGTAAAATATTTATAATTTATTTTTTCATATTTGTGGACTATTAAATGTTCTCCGTCATATTTTGTTTCCAAATAGAATGGACGTTGGCAATAACGAATTATCTTCAATAAAAAAATTTTTTTTAAGTTGAAGATTAGAGGGTAGCGACCCGTGGTTGGAAGCCCGTACCAAAATTCGAAAAAAAATAGACAGGAAACAAGGCTATACAAATGTAGCCTTTTTTTAATGTTGAAGATTTTTTGGAAGTTTTTGGAAACTTTTACCAAAATTCGAACTAGAGTTCAAAAAAAATAGCCAGGAAAATGTATCAAAAACAAGGCTATACGAAGGTATTACAAGCATATTTTAAATTTCCAAACACTGGTAGCAACTTCGACTTTGGAAGGGATAACTGGGTAACTGGGTCTTTAGCTATAAAAAATCATTGTGGTCAGAATGAGTACCTTAAGCTAAAGACAAAAATTGAAAACGAAAATGAGCCCAAAAACTATAACAAATAAAACAAGTGGAAGTTCGAAAGTGTGAAAATCAAAATTTTTCGGGGAAGGAAGAGAGAAATAAAATTTAAAATTTCATATCCAATAAAAGAAATACCTTTGCCAAGCAATATTTATTGTAATTTAGACGCTTCAAAAGCATTGGTCTAAACGGTTTACATAACAAATGTCCAGTCAAATTCATTGAATTCTCAGTTTCTGGGTCAGCAAATTTTTCACAAATTAATTGGAGTGAATCACCTTCCTTTTGAAAAAAATTTTTTAATCCTTAAAAATTAAAAAAACCTTCCATAAATTATCTGCTTCAGCATGAAAGGTTCTCATTAAAGTATGTCCAGACATATCGATATATCTCTCTATATTACCCAAAATTATATGAAAAATAAATCGAAGTTCGTTTGGAGTACATTGACGACAAAGTTTATCCATCGCTTCTTCTTCTGAAATTATTTAAAAATTATGTCTGTGTTAAAAAGTCAGTTGACAACAGAACGAGGGTTTTAAAATTCGGGATAGCTTAATTTTTAATTTTTGATATGTTCTTCAGGGTTTATTTTTCCCAAGCTCGGAAAATACAGTGGATGCAGGAAAGTTCGAACTTTGACAAGTAAATTACAGGAAACTGCATCTAGCCAAATGTTCGAGTTCTTACTGAATCCACAAATTTTCCTGGGAATGAGAAAAAGAAATATGAGAGGCCAAAGTTCGAGCTTTCCCCTATCCACTGTATTTTCTGAGCCTAGGAAAACAAAAACCCAAAGAACAGGGAAGAACGAGCCCACTATAAAACACAACAGTGAATCCAAAAATTAGACCTGACTCAGATTTCTAAAAAAAATTCCAACTCACTTACCAACCAAAACTAAATGTAAAAAAACAAAAAAAACAAACGAATATCAACGCTGTTCGGGTATTTAATTCTGTCCAAAAATTCATTGACTTCCCAAATTGTCAATTTTGCCGTATTAACAGGGAAACGATCTGCAGACATATTTACAAGCCGTTCAACCAACAAATCATAATTTGTAGGTACAGGATTTAGTGGCATTGCCGCAATTGAGTTACAAACTAATTGGTTGAGTTTTGCCTTTGAAAGAATTATTTTTTAGAAATTATTTTTTTTTCTAAAAATATTTTTTTAATTTTAGTTAAATAAAAATTGTTCTTTTATTAATTTGGTTATTTTCCTAAAAATATACGGGGATTGATTTTAACCCCTCTCTTATATATTTTTTAAAAAATATTATTCTTTGATACATACTTGCGGCGGATTTTTGAGGTTTGTCTATTTTATATAGATCGAACTGCGACTGACCGAGCAGAGGCCAGTCACAGGCATTTAACTTGCTAGGTTCTTACTGGCCTACAACCAGGGATCCGGTTAGGCCAACCTAAGTGTTCAGGCTGCTTTTTGAACAAACAGGGTTCTTCGTGAACTCAAGGCCTAAGACTCGGACCAGGCTTCGATTTCAAAGTAAATTTTAATAATAAAATAAAATTTAAAAAGAACCCAAAAAACAAACCTCTTTAATTCTAAATTCCCTAATTTTCACATCTTTACTAGGCACAAATAACCGCAAAGCGGGATAAAAAGTATCATCAGTTCTATATTCGATAAACCCATCTTCAACATTTTCTTTAACCATTTCATCCCTCCAACGTCTCAAAAATTTATTAAAAACAAAATGCTTGGTTGCTCTATATGTTGATTTAATTTCTTGAAATACATTACAAAGTTCGTTAAATAAAATTTTTTGGGCAACAGTTTGTTGTTGCATAGATGTTGAAGTAGTCATTTTTCTTAATTAGGTAAGTCTAAATAAAAAATTCAAAAATTTTTTTTAACCAAAAAAAATTAAAAAACAAAAAAAATTTGTCTGACCGTTTTGAGCCAAAATAAATAAAAAATTTCCCTGAAGAAAAATTCAAATAAAAATAAAAAACAATTCAAGGACATTTTGTCGCGAAAAAATTTGTCCATGGCCACTTTGTCGCAAGTAATTAAATAAATTTTTATTCGGTCGCCTAAGGCATAAAAATTAATTCGGAGAATAAAGGAGCATAAATTTTGAAATTCCCGATATTAAAACTTGTTTTTATTTTAATTTTTCTTTACAATTTAATTTTAATAGAGAGCAAAAACTTGTATTTTTTAATAAACTTATCATCCTTTAAAAGTTAAAGTTGCGAATTAATTGTAAAAATTTATAAATAAACTTGTTTTGGTAAATAAACTTTGTTGCTTTATAAGAGGTTGAATTTATTTAGATTTTAATTCATTTGCAACAATTTTCTATTTTTTGAAACTTTTGATGCATTGTTCTTGAAACTTATTATAACTCAAAAAACCTTAAAAATCTATTAAAACATGTTTGTTTGAATGTTTTATAAAAGTTTATATATGTTTTTGTTTGGTTAACTTTGTTTTTACAATGTTTTTGGTATTAATAAACATTTTAGAAGGTTTAAGTGTTTAATGTTTTTGTCAATGTTTTTGTTTTTATAATGTTTTTGTGTTTAATAAACATAAAACATGTTTTTGTTTGATAAACATTTAAACAGCAACATTTAATAAGCCTTGTTCTTGCATGTTTTTACTATTAATAAAAGTTGTTAGAGATGTTTTTATTCTTAACAAACATTGTTTGCCATGTTTTTATTCTTAATAAACATTGTTTTTACGATTAATAAAAATTATTTTTACAAAAATAGATAGAAATACAAATTAAATGAAGCACTTTAGTGTAAATATTTTTCTGTTTATTACACTAATATTATTGTTAGATAAACATCAAAATGAAAAGGTTAAAGAAATATTTTTAATTAAAAAAAATGTTAATTCTTCCAGCATTCATTTGGTGTTTTAGCCGATCCAGAGCCTTACCGTTCTGCTGCGGTTATTGCCGCTGAAGCAAGGGCACGTGCCCGTGCTATTGAAGCTGAAAATAGGGCTCGTAGGGCTCGTTTGGAGGCTGAAGCTAGAGCACGTAGACTTGAAAATGAAGCTAGAGCAAGAGTAATAAACAAATAAAATTAAATTTATTTAAAAATAATTTTTAGAGAATTGAAGCAGAAGCTAGAGCAAATGCTGCTGCGGCTAGGCAATCTTTTTAATTTTAATAAATTAGGAAATAAAAAAAATTTTCAGAGCCCGCGCTCGTGCCATCAACGGCTAATTTTTCAAAAAATACCTATAAAAATATTTAAAACTCAGGGAAAGTGAAAATGTTGTACTCAGGAAAATTGAATAAAAACAATTATTTAATTATTATTTTTTTAACTAACGATATTCAATGAACTTACTTTCATTGGAATTTTATAATTTGAATAAAATAAATACTATATCTAATTTATATAAAAAAAATTCAAATTAATTCCTTAAATTTTTAAATAAGATGTACTACACCCAATTACGAGATAGAGTCGGGTCAGCTTTCGGGTCGGTTTCAAGATTTTCTTCGGATCGGGTATTGGATTCAAAAGACTGTTAGTTTTGTCATTTCAATTCTTTTCCACTAGGGGGTTGTCTAAGCGATACTCTCAATATAATATCCCCTCGTTATAAGAAACAAAAATTTCAACAAGATGAGGTCCGACTGAATCTTTTAATGAGGTCAGACTATTTTTTTCTTAATTTTTTTTCTTTTTTATTTTTCCATTCTTTTCCCCTCTAGGCTTAAAAAATAAAAGAAGACCTATCGATTTACACACAAACAAATAGGGGGAAGAAAGAAATACTTGGGGGGATATTATGAAGAGTTGGGGGATAAATGAGAGAAATATTTTTTATGAGTAAAAAATGAGTAGCAGCCGTTAGTTTTTTTGGAGAGATTTTGAAAAGTATATAGTCGGCAATTTAAAAAAAAAAAAAAAAAGAAGGAAAAGAAAAGCATCATTTGCCACACTTTTAAAAAAAGATTTTTTAAATTTATTTTTTGAAAAATGAGAAAAAAGTTTTTTTATTATTTTTGTTGAATTTTGAAAAATAATATAAATTTTAAAATTTATTGAACTTTAAATATTCTCAATGGTCTCTAAATGTATGAATCAGATCCCCGATTAGAATGTTTCTAGATAAATTTTCTGTCTTTTTCGCACTTGAATTTTGACAGTATTAATCTGTCTAGTACTCCTTGTCTTGATCCATTAAAAAAATTTTTTTTCAACGTCTTCGGTTTTTTCGAACTTTCCTTTGGGCTTGCATGATAACTGATATTTACTGTGTTTAAATTAAAAAAAATTTTTTAAATAGAATTTGAAGGGACCTAAGAAAAGGACGGCATTTACTCATCACTCCAAAGGAAAGGAGGGATGAGTAAATGCCGTTAAAATTCGGTTGTATTAAGTTTGCTTTATTAAGCAGTTCATTAAATCGAGAATCGTTTTAGAATTAAATTCAAGTCAAGGCCGTTTACTCTACATAGTCTCAGGACAGTTCCAAAGGGTGGGGGCAAATTCAAGGAACAGACAAGTCAAGGAACTCATTGAGTTAGTATGTTCCATGAGTTGTCGTTCCTTGATTTGTCTGTTCCTTGAGTTGGTCTGTTCCTTGAGTTAGCCCGACACGGTTCCAAAAAAATAGATTTTACTTAGGACGGATACAAAAAAATTAAAATACCTAAATTTTATTAAATTTTAAACTTTTATTTTTAAATTTATTTATTTTATTTTTGTTTAATTTTTCCACCTTTTATCACTTTTCTTAAGAAAATCTTTTATTTATTTTTCCCAATTTCTTCTAAACAGTCAATAATTCAATTGCCCTAATAAAATTTTTTTCTTGAGGATTTTGATGTTAGCAGCAGGCAAAGGAAAGTGAAGGGATGAGTAAATGCCGTTTAAAAAAAAAATTTTTTTTATCAATGAACAGGGAATAAATAAATAAATTGTATGGATAAAGAAGAAAATAAATAAATAAAGTTTTACGAAAACCTTTCTCTTTTTATTTTTTTTTACTTCTTTTTAAAGTGTCCTCGATGCCCTAAAATGAAGGATAAAATAAAGAAAGGGTTTCATTTATTGCTACGAAAAAATAAAAAAAAATTTTTGAAAGATTATTGAATAACTTAGAGACAGTTTTATAAAATCTGTCGTTTTTTATTTTAGAAAATAATAACAAGTCATAGAAGGCTAGGAATTTTTTTTTGAAGGATAAAAAAAATTTTTTTAACTAAGAAAATTTTTTTGATTAAGAAACTTCTTTTCCTTAGAAGTCACTACATTTTTTTGTTATATTTTTGAATTTTTATAATTTTTAATTTGGCTATTTTTTCGTTATTTTTCGATAAAATTTGCTATTTTTCAAATAAATCGTTCAAAAATTTTTTTATAATTTTTAATTTAGTATCCGACATGATTCAATTTTTTTTGTTATTTTTTGATAACCTTAATTTAGGTGATCGAATAAATCGTTAAAAAAAGATTTTTTTAAATTTTTTAATTTTTCAACGTTTTCGAGTTTGTCTCTATTTTTTCTACTTATTTTTAATAAATAAAATTTAAAAAATAAAATTAGAAATTTTTTTGTTTTTAAAAATATATTTTTCCTTTTTTTAAATAATATCCATAAAAATCATTAGCCCATAAAACCCCTTCCCTCCTGCCTTTTTTTATTTCAATTTTTATTAGAGCAAATTTCTCTCTATTATTTCTTCAATAATAAAATCTTTGTTTTTTAGTCAATAAAAATATTTTTTTGAAATTTTTAAAATTAAAAAAAATTTTTTTAGTGAATATAGAATGAATCAACAAAAGGTTGATGCCATCCCCCCTTGTGTTTCTTCTTCCAACAACCAAAACAACAACAACCAAAATCTTCCAACCGACAACCAAAACCTTCAAAAACCTCTAAAAAATAATTTTTCTATTAAAAATCATTCCAAATTAATATTAAATTATTTTAATGAATTTACTTCTTCCGCCAAAATTTTATTTTTAAAAAATAATAAAAATAATAATTATTATTCTCATCCCTTAATTAAAAATAATAAATTATTATTTAATTTTAATTCTTCTTCCCAATTTCTTTCTTTTAATTTTCTAAAATTTTTATTTATATTTTTGTTAATCCAATTTTTATTTTTAAAAACTACCACAACTACTTTAATCGACTCTAATCGGTGTACTCGAAATTCTATCAATTTGGGAAATATTATTGAACAAATTTTGAGGGATTATGATACTCAGTTAAATTTTTTTGAAATTTTAGAAAATTAAATAAAAATTTTTTTAAAGTCTTTTACCTGAAGCTGAAGGTGTTAATGTTACTATAGAATTACATGTACAGGTATGAGTAAATTTAATTTTGAAAAAAATTTTTAAATTAGGAAAGAAATTTTGTAAATCATAAGAAACCTCTCTCTCTTTGGTGAAGGAAAAATACCCCCATGAGGAAGGAAAAAAGAGTACATATTAGAGTTTTACCGGAAGTTCTGGTTCCGGAAAGTTCCAGTGTTTTTTTGTTTCCAATTCAAATTGGATCCGGTTTCGGTCAAAATTTCGATTCCGGTGAAACACTAAATTAAATTATCTTAGATTGGGAAGTATTTTTTAGGGTATCTCTTAATCAGCTCTAAAATTTGCCTTAAATTGAGGTTAATTGAACCCTGCAACTGAGCCTGACAATTTTATCTACACGTTACTATAACCCTTTTAGGAAATGACGGTGTATACCTTTCTCGGTTATAAATAAGACCTGTCCATCTCCTATAATTAATCTGTTATTTTTAGGGTGTTTCAAAAATATCTGAAATTACAGCTGATTTTGGTAATTATAATAAAATAATAATTTTTTAAATCAAAAAAATTTTTTTAGAACTCGATTTAATGTACAGCGAAATATGGTTAGTTTTATTAAGTTTTAATTTAATTTTTATTTTTCTTCCAAGGATGGATCCTCGTTTAAGTTTTAAACACTTAAATGTTTGCACTACCAATATTACCCTAAAGTAAAATAAAAAAATAATAAAAAAATAATCTAATTTGTAGAAGCGATTTTCGCGCGAGGGTATGGACGCCTGACACTTGTAAAAAAAATTTTTTTTTTAATTTTCAAAAATTTTAAAATAAAATTTTAGGCATAATTAATTCGAGAGGCTCATCAATACATCGCAGCCCTTCTGAAAATACAGTAATTTTAAAAATACTAAATTTATACTTATTTTTTAGTTTGTGATATTATACGAGCATGGACTTGTTTGGTCTAATTTTAGGTCTTTTAATTACTAATTATTTATATATGTTTGTATTTTTTGTTTGTATTTTCCGGAAAATATAATTTAATATAAAATACAACCCTATATTCCGGAAAACACCTTTTTAATTGTTTCCGGAAAAATGCGTATTTATGTATTTTCCGGAAAATAAATTCAACTCTTATTTACCTGAAAATACATAAAAAATACATTTACCAACTTATTTACAATATTTTAAATCTTTCCGGAAACATTAAATATTATATTTTATTTACTTTAATGTTTAGATTAAATGTAAGAGCACCATGTAAAATGGATTTGGTAAATAAATAAAAATATTTTTTATTCCTTATTTTTAATTTAATTAAAGAAAATGTTTCCGTTTGACTCCATTGTTTGTCACTTAATTTTCGAGTCATACTCCTTCAATACTGAAGAAGTTAGGCTTGTATGGCATGAAACGCCTGTGACGGTCTTTAAAAAAATTTTTAAAATTTTAATTCAAAAAAATTTTTTTGAGATGATGGAAAAAGTAGAACTGCCAGATTTTGATTTAATTGGATGGGGGACAGATCACGAAAGATTAGAATACCCAAATGGAATATGGGTTATTTTAATTTTATTTTTAATTTCAAAAATTAATTTTAGGACCGTGCTCAAGTAAAATTTACATTCGCTAGACGCTACGGCTTTTACCTCTTTCAATCCTACTTCCCAACAAGTCTAACTGTCATTAGCTCGTGGGTAGGGTTCTTCTTTGATGTTCGTTCTGTATCGGCGAGGATTACACTTGGCGTTTCTTCACTTTTAGCCTTAACTTTTCAATTTGGAAATGTTCTTAGGTTAAATTTCAAAAATAGAAAAAAATTTTTGAAAAATTTTAAATTAGAAAAATATTTTTATGGATATCTAGTTAAGTAGTGATGGTATTACAGTATTATTAATTCCGGAAAAATACCTTATCCTAAAAGAATTGTTCCGGAAAAACAAAAAATACAATCTCAAAATACCTATATATAATAAAATTTTAATAAGAATTCCTGAAAATACAGCTTATTAAACAGGAAAATACATATGTATATTTTCCGGAAACAGTAAAAATACAAGAACAATGAAATCATACATTTTCTTCCGGAAAAGGGATATAAAAATTATACCAGAAAATACGATTAACAACTTCCGGAAAATACACTGGTATACATATTCTTTTCCTGAAAGAAATAGAAATACAATGAAAACTACCTATACTATTTTTTCCTGAAACACATACAAAAATCACTACCGGAAAATAGAATTAATTAATTCTGGAAATACAAGTAAATATTATTAAATAATTTTCAGGCATTTACCCCGAGTCAGCTACATAAAGGTATAATTTAATATTTAATTTTATCTTAAATTTCTAAATTAAAGTGCCTCGATGTTTGGATGATCTTCTCTGTTATATTTATATTTTTGTAAATCCTTTTTTTTTAATTAAAATAATTTTTTAATTTAAAAGGACACTTGTTGAGTTGTCTATAATATGCCAGGTTACTCACAATATTAATTTTAGAAAATTTTTTGTTCAAGTTAAATCGCTGGGAACGTGAAAGACAGATTGGTTCTAAAGTGCTCGGTCATTGGCTCAATCAAATAAGGCACAAATTTTTTTTAAACTTTTCTAAAAGTTAAAATATTTAAAGAAAAACACGAAAACAGACAACAAATTTTGATTCTTCCAACAATCCAGACCATTCAGATGGAGGAATGGGAAGTACCGGGGTTGTTAGGAAAAGGTTCTTGTTATCCCCAATCAGAAAAGAAAGCAATTCTGCTTCACCTATACCTTCACCGACATATTCCCCTTCGAGTGTGGGAGGGGGTGGGGGAGGAGGAAATTCGCCTATTCACAACAATGAAAAAATAAAATTAAATCAAATAAAATCGGAAACTGTTTGTAATAATATAAATAATAATACAAAAACAACAACGAATACTAATTTATTAAATAATGGCAAAAAATCGGCAATATTTAGAGGAACAACAACGGAAAACAATAGAAATAGTGTGGCTAATAATACTTCTATTACGAGACATGGTTAGAGTAATGATTGAATATTGGCAAACACAAATAATTCCGGAAAACACAAATAAAAAATACAATTCCTGAAATTAATTAATAAATACATAAAATTCCGGAAACGAAATACATGGGTAATTAAATCTGCCGGAAAACAAAAATACAATATATGCAATTCCGGAAACTAAAAATACTTAAGTATAATTTACCGAAAACCCATACATTGATTAAACTTCCGGAAAACGGAATACAAAATTACAATCCAAAAAATATAGTTGCAATTCCGGAAGCAAAAATACATTAAGTACAACCTTCCAGAAAATACAAATATATATTTAAATAAATAGATATTTCCGGAAAACTATAATTTTAGAAAATTAATTCCAAAAACACATTTTAATTATTTAAAATAAATTTTCAGAAGAAGACAATTCTCTGCTTATTCCTCCAGTCCATGTAATAATTCTTTTTTTTTTGTTGAAAATTATTTTCTGTACTTTTAAAGGAAATACGTTGGTGGCGCAAATTATTTAGACAATTTTCTAATCGTTTGCATAAATTAAATCCGTTTACTTCTGAAAGGGATTGGACAATTACTTCTGTTCAAGTTGACAGAATTTCTATGAGTAAGTGTTTTTATGTATTAGATTTAAATTTAGTTATATCAGAAAAAAATTCCGGAATACTTTTCCGGAAATGTTTATTTTTATAAAATACACATAAAATACATCATTTTCCGGAAACAAAAATACAAGTTTTTTCCGGAAACACAAAAATAAATCTTTTTCCGGAAACATGAAATACATAAAATTTAAAAATACAAAATTTTCCGGAAAATACAAAAATAAATCAAATTTGAAAATACATCTTTTTCCGGAAACAAAAATACAAAATACAAAAATACATACAATTAAAAATACAAGCCTTCCAGGAAAATACAGAATTAGTCCAAAAACAAATTTAATTTAAATATTTCAGTTTTATTCCCAATGTCTTATCTTGTCTTTAATATTGGTTATTGGGCTTATTATTTAGGAAAGATTGGTAGACCTTTATAACATTTTAATTATTTTATATATATTTTTATTTTTTATAATTTGTTTGTATAAAAAGTTTTATTAAATTTTTTAAATTTTTATTAAAGATATAAATTGATTTTTAGTCTATTTATAATATGGATATAAATAGTGATATAAATTATTCAAGATTTTAATGATTTTATAAATTAATTATGCAGGCAAAAATATAGAATTTTCCCAGAAGCATTATTTATTTCTATAAAAATACACCTAGGTATTTTGGGGGAATTTTCCGGACGCCTTAGTATTTAGAAAAAATACGTATAATATAATTTAAAAATACAAAATACAAACAATTCCGGAAAAATACAAAAAGTTCCGGAAAAATATTTACTTGTATTATAAAATACACAATTTCCGGAAAAGTTTTCCGGAAGCATTATTTTTATAAAAATACATTTGGACGCTATTTAAAAATACATTAAGATTTCCGGAAAGTTTTCCGGAAATATTTTCTTTTATAAAAAATACACAAATAATTTAAAAACACAAGCATTTCCGGAAATTTTGTATTTAACATCCGTTTCTATAAAAAAAACACATTTCTTTTAATTAAAATTTTCTTATTATTTTAATTAATTAAAAAAAGTTTTTGACAGATGTTTTTATTTAAATAAAAAGCATCTGTTCCCTCTAAGCTTCTAAATAATTATGGTAGTCTAGGTAATTACTAATTTATATTTAAATTTTAATTTAAAGCATTTTTGGTTTATTTTTTTTTAATTTTCGTGATTAATTACGCGCAAAGGCTCACCTGTGGTACACCTCAGAGTCGACTTTAAATTTATTATTGCTATGGTTTTGTCAAAATTGTGTACCAAAGAAAAAATTTTTTTATTTAAGACCAGAATATTAAAATACAAACTCTAATTATTTATTCGTGACCATTAAAAGTTTAATTAGTAAATTTTCTTTTTATTTTCTCTTAAGAAACGCCTACCTATTCATTACCTTTATTTTCATATCTTTAACTGACTAACACAAGCGTTAAATATAAAAAAACTTGAAGTTAAAAATAAATTTTTTGTTTAAAATTTAATTTTCATAAATTAATTAAAAAGGAATATGGACAATAATTCCACAGATTGTCTTCTTGCTAGGGACATTATTTTTAGGGTTGCCGTTTTCGAGTCGTGCCGACGATCGAGGCATTTTTTTCGGGCTTGTTTTTATCGAGCGGGCCGGTACGAGTCTTTTCGGGCCAAACATCTAGGCCCGACTCGAGTCTTTGGACTTGATTGACCGACGACTCTAGGCCCGACTCGATCTTTCGGTACGAGTCGGGCCATTTTGGAAACCCTAATTATTTTAACAAAATATGCACAAATAGCTAGAATTATTGTAACCGTTTATTCGCTATTTACGCAAATAATTCCTTTCCCTCCCAAACAGTTACCCTCTCTAATGTAAAATTGAAACATTAATTATTACACATGGTACTTATTTGAGTAACTTTGGCCTGTAAAAGTTGAACCTAACAATTAATTTTTTGTTTTCTTTTAAAACCCCTTCAGTTTTCGATTTTTATTATCCGTAATTATTAGCTTCCTTCATTTTTTATTCTTTTTTTTTTAATTTTTCTTTTGCTTGACACTCTTTTGACAAATAGGTAAATGTATAATTAAATTACTCAAGTTGGTAATAAATATAACAATTAGAGCTTGAAACTGGTTGGTAACTGTTGTGTCCTTCACTTACATAAATTTATAAAAATTCCCCCCATCGTTAGGTTGACACAGTTGGTTTAGCTTCGGTTTGGGCCAGGGCTACTCGAAATAAAAAAAAGTTTTTTAATCGAAATAAAAAATTCCCTACGAAAGGAAATTTTCCGTTGACTTGGTTTGGGCTCTCTCCACAATAGTTCTAATCCAAGTGCCATCTATTAAATTTTCCTTATTTAAAATAAACTGCGTGTTCTCGAATTTTTAATTTTTCTAAAGTTCTAGTCTAAAGTTTGAACCAAAAAAAAAAGAATTTATTTTATTCGTGACCAGAAATTTTTTTTTATACAAAATTTAATTATTCGTGACATTTTTCTTTTTTGAAGAAACGCCTAACCTATTTAAATAGCCTCATAAATTTAGCTAAAACAATAAACCTTAAATTTTCAGAATTTTCAAAGTTAATTTAAAAAAAAAAGTTTTAAAAAATGGATAATAATTCCTCTGATTGTCTTCTTGCTAGGGACATCATTTTAACAAAATATGCCCAAATCGCTAGAATTATTATGCTTATTTTTAACACTATTCCAGTTATTCTTTTTGTATTTTTATTTATGGATTATAAAAAGTATCGGTTAGCTTTACATGGAAATTTAAAAGTTTGTTTTATTTGATAGAAAAGGTTGGGGGAGGATTTCCCTGTATATCACCTCTATAGTCAGTCTATCATGGAGTCATACCTTGGAATTAGCTTGTTAGTTTTATCATCGACAAAATCGGCTTGACGAGGATAATTAACATAACCTTGTCCACCCCAGTTTTAATTTTACGGAAAATTTTGGTTGAGAGGTAGATGAGTCTTTGAATGAGTCTCTGTAGTGTTTGGAATTATTTTTGACTCGGCAACAGAGGTCGGTCGGAAATCGGAACTGTCGGAACTCGGAAATGGGCCGAAAGTCGGAAATCGGAAACCGGACTAAATTTTCGGAAATCGGAATTCCGACTAATTTCTGCTCGTCAACAAATTTGACTCATCTTCCTTTAGTAGATCCCACTCTTATCCCTCTAAATCAACAGTAATCCGTTCTAGTAATTTTTTATATTTAGCTTATTTATGTATTTATTGTGCTAAGTTCAATGAATATTATTGCTGGGTATTTTCTTGTTGAATTTCGCCATATTGTAAGAAAAATTTTTATTTTTCCGATGGAGATTAATCGAAATTCCTTTCAAGTTTTTAACAATTTCCGATCCAAACGGAACAAATCCCTGTTCAATGCTTTGTCCCCTCTGGTATTCCTTATTATCTAGAGGCTGTTTTGGCTTTGTTTTTTCGTGTTCCATGCCTCTTCTGCATTTTTGCGCGGTATTGGAACGTTGGAGAGCTACTAAATTGGCTAGAAAATATGAAAATGAAGATAGGAAATTTGGAATTTTTGTTGTGATTATAGTTGTGAGTTGATTAATATTTTTATTTTTTTGAGAGGAATTTGGGAATAATCTAAAGGAATTTTGAGGAGGAATCATTATGAGTGTTCTTTCTTTTAATAGAATAGAAAAAACCCAATAGACCTAGACCTCTATCTTATGCAGGGAGGTTCTGGACTGAACCAAAGAACCGAGGACATTTCGGTTCGGTTACGGATATCCGAGGATTTTCCATGAACCGACAGCCATAGCCTTTCGCAATTAAAAAGTCGTAAGAATGAAGCAAGAAATAAAGAGGAAGGCGGAAGAAGAAAAATCCAAAAGAGTGGGAAATCGGTGAGAAATGAAGTAGAAAAGACCCCATGCCTTGAAAAGCCTGGCAATGATGCCCAGAAGGGCACTATGGTGTATTGAGAAATTATAACACCCCCCTTTGTTGTCTTTTTAGTTTTTCTGGGTTCTGATTGTCATAGAACCAAGAATCTAAAGTTAATTTTCCTATTTAGATGACAATTTCCTTACTTTATTTTGCATTTTATGCCTATATTGTTTTGGATGATTATAATATGGAATGGAATAAAATGTTGGCATATAATGCTGTAATTAATTTAAATTAGAATATTTTTTTAATTTTTCCCTCAATATTTAAAGACAGTAACAAACAGAAGCAATTTATTGTCTATTTATCAGACCTATTTTATGCTGTTTATTTTAGCTTTAACTATATTGGGGGATTATTTATTGTTGAGAAAGAATGGAAAAATGAGAAGGATGGTTTTTAGCAAGTTTGTTTTTTGAAAAAAAAATTTAAAAAATTTTTCTATTAAAAATTTAACTCGTTTGAAGACAATTCACCGAAAAAATGGGGCAAGGACTTAATTTAAAGGCCTTAGGTTTTTGACTAAGCTCTAGAAAATTAAAAAATGATCAGGCTCTAAACATGAGAAAGATCTGTTGGAATTCCACTTGCCAAAAATTTTGATGAAAATTTTTGATTTCCGGGGCATTCCTTCTCTCTGTCAATTAGGCTTATTCACCGAAAAAGACAATACACCGAAGAAGACAATTCACCGAAAAACATTTTTTTGACCTAGACTTGATGAAAAATACAAGCCCAAGGGTTTCCATTTAGAAAATTGTTTTGTCCTTCTTATAGTACCCAAAAAATAATTTAAAAAATGTTTTAGTAGCAACCAACAATTAAATAACAACGGCTACAGTTTAGCAGAGAATTATCAATTCCACGAGAATTTATTAGCTATACGTTTTATTCTTCCATTAGATATAGCTTATGGATTAACTAATTCGATATATTTTGGTTTAGTAATTATTCTACGTTCATTTCAACCTGTTTTGCCGTTTAGTGTATTTTTGGCTAATTATAATTTAATTACTGTTGTAAGTTTTAAATATAAGGGGAAAGGGACAATTCACCGAAAAGGACAATTCACCGAAAAAGACAATTCACCGAATAAGACAATTCACTGAATAAGACAATTCACCGAAATTTTTTCTTTTCAGCTTCAGCTTGTTTATATTTCCACAGCTTTTGTTTTCTTTAGACGCTATATAAATTTTAATAGAAGTGGAAGACAGAATCATTTAACTTCAATACAACCAACTGATCAGCTTGGGAAAAAATATTTTGAACAATTAAATTTACAATGGAATTAATTAATTTTTTGATTTTTCTAAATTAATTTTTCGATATTATGTATATTTTTATAAGATAAATAGTTATTATGACTGTACTTAAAAGAAACTGAAACAGTAAAAAATTGAAACAACATTTACTCTCGTACCGTTTTTGAAATTCCTTTTTGTCTTTCTCTACCCGTTGTACCTTTTTGTCTTAATTTAGCCGTTGTACCCTTTTGTCGGATATGTGACAGTGTTCCATTTTGTCTGTAGGTAGAAAGAGAAGGAGAAGAATTTCCCTGTACCAAATGTCGGAAATATTTCAACAATTTTTCCAAAATAAAATTATTGGCATTGTGTTTTTGTATTTAAAAATAAAAAGGTAGTTTGAGTATCAATCAAAAAAATTTTTTTCTTTTCATCTTTCCAGAAAAATCAAAAATTTCGCGAGACTCAAAAGGTTAAACTCTATTGTCCATACCGCGCTTTTGCTTTTTAAAAGCTACCCACGCGGTCTTTTTTCTTTTTTTAATTTTAATTTTTTAAATTTTTTCTTAGATTTTTTTTTAGATTTTTCTTAGATTTTATCAGTTAAAGAAACATGGGAGCCTTTATTTGTAACAACTGCAACGAATCTTTAAATAAATTCCAACAAATAAAAAAACATTTGATAAAATGTAAAAATTATTTATTTACTTGTATTGATTGTCAACAAATAATTAAATATAAAAATGTTCGTTCACATTTAAATTGTGTTGGTGGAAGAGAAAAACAAGTTGGGATTGTTAATTATATTGCTATGGCTAATAAACAGGACAACAAGGTTTTTTAATTTAATTATTAGGGTAATCATGGGGGATTTGGAGGGAATAGGAGAGAAGCCAAAATTTCGTTTTTGTTTTTTCCCGAAATTTCGTTTTTCCTTCATTTCGTTTTATTTTTCGGGTTTCGATAACTTTGGTGACTAGAAAATAAATGCTATTCCAGAACTATTCACAGGGTGAATAAAAAATTGACAAATGTCCGCAAATCTTTTTTGCGGACATATTTATAGAATAATCAAATTGGGAAAATTCCGTCATATGTTCCTTAATTCGATTCGGACAAATATTGTTATTTGAAAGAGCTCGTCGAGCTGAATGAAAGACACCAAGATTAAACCCGGTTCTCAATTGTGGGTTGAGTTATGGTCCCATAATGGTCAAAAACGTAAAGAGTGACCAGAATGTTCTGAATTGGCGTATGGGACAAATAACGGAATTTTGCCTCGAGTTTTTTTATTTTTTCTTTACTAAAAAAATTTTTTCACAGAATGATATTATGGAGCAATCTTCCTCTCAACAAATGGACATTTCCGTTACTTCAATGGATACTTCCACCAATAATGACAAAAAACCTGATCGTATGGAACAACTTTTGAAGGAAATTGAGGATGAAGTTGGACAAAATGATGAACAAAAGCTGGACAAGAAAAAAGGTTTCTTTTGTTAATTTTTTTTTTAAGAATTAGACATGGGGGTAGATATCTCTTTAGTAAGTCTCTTTATAGATATCTCTTTAAGTAAGTCCATTTTTCTAAGCTTGGATAATTAAGAAAATTTTTTGTAGAAAATTATTTTCAATTTCCATCCAAATTACTCATTGTTCCGACTCGAGTCTTTGGACTTGATTGACCGACGACTCTAGGCCCGACTCGATCTTTCGGTACGAGTCGGGCCATTTTGGAAACCCTAATTATTTTAACAAAATATGCACAAATAGCTAGAATTATTGTAACCGTTTATTCGCTATTTACGCAAATAATTCCTTTCCCTCCCAAACAGTTACCCTCTCTAATGTAAAATTGAAACATTAATTATTACACATGGTACTTATTTGAGTAACTTTGGCCTGTAAAAGTTGAACCTAACAATTAATTTTTTGTTTTCTTTTAAAACCCCTTCAGTTTTCGATTTTTATTATCCGTAATTATTAGCTTCCTTCATTTTTTATTCTTTTTTTTTTAATTTTTCTTTTGCTTGACACTCTTTTGACAAATAGGTAAATGTATAATTAAATTACTCAAGTTGGTAATAAATATAACAATTAGAGCTTGAAACTGGTTGGTAACTGTTGTGTCCTTCACTTACATAAATTTATAAAAATTCCCCCCATCGTTAGGTTGACACAGTTGGTTTAGCTTCGGTTTGGGCCAGGGCTACTCGAAATAAAAAAAAGTTTTTTAATCGAAATAAAAAATTCCCTACGAAAGGAAATTTTCCGTTGACTTGGTTTGGGCTCTCTCCACAATAGTTCTAATCCAAGTGCCATCTATTAAATTTTCCTTATTTAAAATAAACTGCGTGTTCTCGAATTTTTAATTTTTCTAAAGTTCTAGTCTAAAGTTTGAACCAAAAAAAAAAGAATTTATTTTATTCGTGACCAGAAATTTTTTTTTATACAAAATTTAATTATTCGTGACATTTTTCTTTTTTGAAGAAACGCCTAACCTATTTAAATAGCCTCATAAATTTAGCTAAAACAATAAACCTTAAATTTTCAGAATTTTCAAAGTTAATTTAAAAAAAAAAGTTTTAAAAAATGGATAATAATTCCTCTGATTGTCTTCTTGCTAGGGACATCATTTTAACAAAATATGCCCAAATCGCTAGAATTATTATGCTTATTTTTAACACTATTCCAGTTATTCTTTTTGTATTTTTATTTATGGATTATAAAAAGTATCGGTTAGCTTTACATGGAAATTTAAAAGTTTGTTTTATTTGATAGAAAAGGTTGGGGGAGGATTTCCCTGTATATCACCTCTATAGTCAGTCTATCATGGAGTCATACCTTGGAATTAGCTTGTTAGTTTTATCATCGACAAAATCGGCTTGACGAGGATAATTAACATAACCTTGTCCACCCCAGTTTTAATTTTACGGAAAATTTTGGTTGAGAGGTAGATGAGTCTTTGAATGAGTCTCTGTAGTGTTTGGAATTATTTTTGACTCGGCAACAGAGGTCGGTCGGAAATCGGAACTGTCGGAACTCGGAAATGGGCCGAAAGTCGGAAATCGGAAACCGGACTAAATTTTCGGAAATCGGAATTCCGACTAATTTCTGCTCGTCAACAAATTTGACTCATCTTCCTTTAGTAGATCCCACTCTTATCCCTCTAAATCAACAGTAATCCGTTCTAGTAATTTTTTATATTTAGCTTATTTATGTATTTATTGTGCTAAGTTCAATGAATATTATTGCTGGGTATTTTCTTGTTGAATTTCGCCATATTGTAAGAAAAATTTTTATTTTTCCGATGGAGATTAATCGAAATTCCTTTCAAGTTTTTAACAATTTCCGATCCAAACGGAACAAATCCCTGTTCAATGCTTTGTCCCCTCTGGTATTCCTTATTATCTAGAGGCTGTTTTGGCTTTGTTTTTTCGTGTTCCATGCCTCTTCTGCATTTTTGCGCGGTATTGGAACGTTGGAGAGCTACTAAATTGGCTAGAAAATATGAAAATGAAGATAGGAAATTTGGAATTTTTGTTGTGATTATAGTTGTGAGTTGATTAATATTTTTATTTTTTTGAGAGGAATTTGGGAATAATCTAAAGGAATTTTGAGGAGGAATCATTATGAGTGTTCTTTCTTTTAATAGAATAGAAAAAACCCAATAGACCTAGACCTCTATCTTATGCAGGGAGGTTCTGGACTGAACCAAAGAACCGAGGACATTTCGGTTCGGTTACGGATATCCGAGGATTTTCCATGAACCGACAGCCATAGCCTTTCGCAATTAAAAAGTCGTAAGAATGAAGCAAGAAATAAAGAGGAAGGCGGAAGAAGAAAAATCCAAAAGAGTGGGAAATCGGTGAGAAATGAAGTAGAAAAGACCCCATGCCTTGAAAAGCCTGGCAATGATGCCCAGAAGGGCACTATGGTGTATTGAGAAATTATAACACCCCCCTTTGTTGTCTTTTTAGTTTTTCTGGGTTCTGATTGTCATAGAACCAAGAATCTAAAGTTAATTTTCCTATTTAGATGACAATTTCCTTACTTTATTTTGCATTTTATGCCTATATTGTTTTGGATGATTATAATATGGAATGGAATAAAATGTTGGCATATAATGCTGTAATTAATTTAAATTAGAATATTTTTTTAATTTTTCCCTCAATATTTAAAGACAGTAACAAACAGAAGCAATTTATTGTCTATTTATCAGACCTATTTTATGCTGTTTATTTTAGCTTTAACTATATTGGGGGATTATTTATTGTTGAGAAAGAATGGAAAAATGAGAAGGATGGTTTTTAGCAAGTTTGTTTTTTGAAAAAAAAATTTAAAAAATTTTTCTATTAAAAATTTAACTCGTTTGAAGACAATTCACCGAAAAAATGGGGCAAGGACTTAATTTAAAGGCCTTAGGTTTTTGACTAAGCTCTAGAAAATTAAAAAATGATCAGGCTCTAAACATGAGAAAGATCTGTTGGAATTCCACTTGCCAAAAATTTTGATGAAAATTTTTGATTTTTTATTTATTTATTTATTTATTTATTTATCAACAAAAAAAATGTCATCGAAAGGGCGTGCCACTTAATTCGACAACAATGTCGTAGCGTGGCACAATAAAAATAATAAAAATAAAAATAAAAAACAGCATATAAAGTCATACTAATTTAAATTATAAAAAAACACAAATTTGATATTATATTTGATTTATTCTTTAAATAAATATACTCCGTACCGACCATTTTAATGATTTAATTATTTTAAATTGTCAAAATTTAAAGAATTGATTTCTTCAACAATTTTGCTGCGTTTTTCGTTGTTTGTCATGTTTGCTGCAAAATTTAATGGAGAAAATTCAGAAGAATTGCGCTTAGACATTTTAGTCAAAAAATATTACCCAATTGTTTTAAATTTTTCAAAAGTCCTTAAAAAAAGCAAATTTGATTTAAAAGAGATAAATTGAGCAAAAATAAAAATTAAGAGAAAAGAAAAACTATGTTTTTAATTTAATGAGTCATCAAAAGAAAAATTGTATGGTTGAGTAAGAGACAATAGGATAAATTGTCATTAAATGTATTTTTGAACATAATGCCAAACAATAAATTTTAATTATTAATTTGAAATTTCCTTGTTCAAATATGCAAAATAGTAGTCATTTAACTATAGTTAATAGTGAAAGGAACGAATGCGAGAGAGAAAAACAAAAAACATAGAAATGAAAAAAATTCTTAGATTATACCAATAAAAAAGATTTGTTTAGATCTATTGAATAAGTATTGCTTTTATTTTATTTTTAAAACTAAGGGTTATTTTTGTAGTCCTAATTTCTTCATGTAAAACATTCCACATCTTAGTTACCCTATTAACAAATGAGTTCGATGACTTAGAATTTTGATTTTTAGATAATAAATAACATTTTTTCCTATTTGATATTTTAAAGAGATTGTCTGATTTAAGATGTGTATATCCATGTAGGATTCTATGTGCTAAAACGAGATCATAAGTTTTACGACGGTTTTCGAGAGTAGGAAGGTTAAGAAATTCTAATCTTTGTAAATATGGTATATATGGTAATGAACATTTTCTAAGTAAAGATTTTGTAAAGAATTTTTGACATTTTTCAAGTTTGTTAATTTCGGATCTTAGTTGTGGATTCCATGTTTCAGGAGAGTATTCTAGTAAGGGTCTTATATAACTTTTATAGATAGTAAGCCATGTTTTTATAGATTTTGATTTGATTATTTTAAACACAAAATTCATTTTTATATAAGCAGCCCTAATAATTTTTTGTACATGTTCTTGAAATTTAAGTTTATTATCAATTATGATGCCTAGATCGCGTATAGAATCTACTTCATTTATAGTTGTATCAAAAATTTTATATTGATCTTTAGGATTAGTTTTACCAAGATAAATGATATATGTTTTATTAATAGCTATATTTAATTTCCATTTAGTTGCCCATTGTTCAATATTTTTGATAGCATCAGTAAGTATTCTTCTTTCATTTTTAGTTTTGTGTATAACATATACTTTGACATCATCAGCAAAAAGTTTAATTTTTATACCATTTGGGATTATATCAGGTAAATCATTAATATAAATCAGAAATAATAATGGGCCTAACACAGATCCTTGTGGTACACCTGATTTGATATTTCTAGGTTTGGATAACGAGTTGTTTATTTTGACTCTAAAAGTTCTATTGGTAAGAAAAGATGAAATCCAAGTTAAAATCTTTCCTCTTATACCTATTTTATATAATTTATTGATTAAAAGATCATGTGGCACTGAGTCAAATGCTTTCTTGAAGTCTATATATACACAGTCAATATTCTTTTTTCCCATTATTGCATCATACCAGTCTTCTAATGTAGCGATTAGCTGTGTTGTAGTAGATCTATTTTTTATAAATCCATATTGATCATTACTAAATAGATTGTTATCATGTAGAAATTGAACAATGTATTTATTAAGAACCATTTCCATAATTCTGCATAAGGAACATGTTAATGCAATGGGTCTATAGTTTTCAGGATTTGATTTTTCTCCTTTTTTGAATAGTGGCATTATTAATGATTCTTTCCATATCTTTGGTAATATACCTGAATCTAGTGATATTCTGAATATTTCAGAGAGAACAGGAGCTATAGACGGAAGTGCTATCTTTAATATTTTATAATTTATATTGTCAGGTGAAGTACCATTTCTATTTGGTAATTTTTTAATGAAATTGATAATATCAATTATGTCAAAATCAATATCCTCAATAACAGGTATTTGATTGCTATCATTGATATCGTGGTTATATTGCGTATTTGTATTTGAAAAGTTTTCAAGAAAAATATCAGCAAAAATTTCAGACTTATCTATTGATTTCGTTACATATCTATTATTATGGAAAAGCACAGGGATTTCATTATTAGTAAATTTAAATTTTTTAAGATATTTATGAATAGAATTTCTATTTTTAGTAATATAAGCGTTTTGTTTTTTATTATGAAAGTTTCTAGTCTGAATTTTTATATGCAATGATATGCTATCATATAATTCTTTATATTTAATTTTATCAGTTTTAAGTAGCCTATAAATTTCAGCCTTCTTTTTAATAGATGCTTTTAAGTGAGGTGGGTAATCATGTTTAAGATCTTTTTTAGTTATAAGTTTTTCTGGTACATATAAATCAAGAGAAGTTAAGATATTATTTATGAAGTGATTATATTTATCTTCCAAATAATAATTTTGTGCGGATATAATAGGTAAAACAGAGCATAGAAATCTATTTAATAGAAGTGTATTATCTTTATTAAATTTTCTATATTTTATTGGTTTGATTTCTTTTTTAATTACAGGAAATAATAAATCAAAGATTAAAGCATCATGATCAGAGTTAAACAGAGACCCATCAACATATATATTTTGAAATAAATTTGGTTTATTTGTTAAACAAATATCTAAATATGCATCATTTCTAGTGGGACCAGGTGTAGTTGAAGATAAATTCATAGAATTGAAAAAATTGAGAAATAGATCGCCTAAATTGTTTTTACAATATGGAATATTATTGACCCAATTCAAATCCTTAGATCCAAAATTAAGGTCTCCTAATATGATACAGTTGAAAGAAATAAGAGATTCAATTAATTTAAAAAGTTTTTTAGTTTGAATAATGCTAGTATTTGGAGGTCTATATATAAGAATAAAATTTATGCATTTAGAATTTTGAATTTGTAAATGTATTATTTCAGAGTTAAACTTAGAGATAGAATGCTTAAGAAAAAATTTAATGTGCTTTCTAATCAAAACAGCGCAGCCCCCTCCCCTACGATTAGTTCTATTACATAAAACTATATTAAAATTTTCAAGTATATCTAAGCTAAAAATATTTTGCGTTTCTGTTGTAAGCCAAGTTTCAGTTACAAAGAGGATATCTATATCATACGCGCTTAAAATGCAGGAGACATTATCAATTTTATTTTTTAAGGATCGAATGTTTATAAGACATCCTTTTATTTTTTTGTTTAAAAATAAATTTGAATTTTTTTCATGGGAAACAGTCGGTTTAAGAGTATATTTATTTATAGGAGAAGTGAGATGACTTCTTAGTTTTTTGGAAGAGTTTTTTTAAAATTGTCTATCTCACTTCTTAAAATTACATTGGAGGCATAAATAACATAGTCAGCACCGGGGTGCTCACTACGCATTTTAAAACATTGTTTAACAAGATCTGAGCGAGATTTAAGCTCAGCAGCGGTTAGGGACTCCCTAACCCGTAGATTAAAATGTGTGGTTGTATTTATTTTATTATTAATGATATATTTTTTGCCCCTTAGAATTTCCCGAACCGCTGCCTTGCTTGGCATTTTTACTTTTATTGGACGACAAGAATTATTTTTTTTAATACCCATTCGAAAAATAGTGGTTGGCAAACCTATGTCAACTTTGCACATATTAATTACTGCTAAAACCTTGTTCTGATCTTCCTTCATACGTTCCAGAGCATCTTGTTTATTACTTTCTTCCATTCCAGTAATTACTATGCTGTGAAGTCGCTCGTTTTCCTCCAATTGTTGCTGTTGTTTTTGCAAATGAAGTTCAAAATTTCCATAAGAATTTTGTTGTTCATTAAGTAGGTTTGCTGCAATTTTCAGAAGAGAGCCCATTTGTCCAATAATTAATTTCGCCCAATTTGGTGTAGTCTTGTCTTGTTCCATTTCTGTTGAAATTTTGTCAAAATTTAAAGAATTGATTTCTTCAACAATTTTGCTGCGTTTTTCGTTGTTTGTCATGTTTGCTGCAAAATTTAATGGAGAAAATTCAGAAGAATTGCGCTTAGACATTTTAGTCAAAAAATATTACCCAATTGTTTTAAATTTTTCAAATTTTTGGAAACCCTAATTATTGGAAACCCTAATTATTTTAACAAAATATGCACAAATAGCTAGAATTATTGTAACCGTTTATTCGCTATTTACGCAAATAATTCCTTTCCCTCCCAAACAGTTACCCTCTCTAATGTAAAATTGAAACATTAATTATTACACATGGTACTTATTTGAGTAACTTTGGCCTGTAAAAGTTGAACCTAACAATTAATTTTTTGTTTTCTTTTAAAACCCCTTCAGTTTTCGATTTTTATTATCCGTAATTATTAGCTTCCTTCATTTTTTATTCTTTTTTTTTTAATTTTTCTTTTGCTTGACACTCTTTTGACAAATAGGTAAATGTATAATTAAATTACTCAAGTTGGTAATAAATATAACAATTAGAGCTTGAAACTGGTTGGTAACTGTTGTGTCCTTCACTTACATAAATTTATAAAAATTCCCCCCATCGTTAGGTTGACACAGTTGGTTTAGCTTCGGTTTGGGCCAGGGCTACTCGAAATAAAAAAAAGTTTTTTAATCGAAATAAAAAATTCCCTACGAAAGGAAATTTTCCGTTGACTTGGTTTGGGCTCTCTCCACAATAGTTCTAATCCAAGTGCCATCTATTAAATTTTCCTTATTTAAAATAAACTGCGTGTTCTCGAATTTTTAATTTTTCTAAAGTTCTAGTCTAAAGTTTGAACCAAAAAAAAAAGAATTTATTTTATTCGTGACCAGAAATTTTTTTTTATACAAAATTTAATTATTCGTGACATTTTTCTTTTTTGAAGAAACGCCTAACCTATTTAAATAGCCTCATAAATTTAGCTAAAACAATAAACCTTAAATTTTCAGAATTTTCAAAGTTAATTTAAAAAAAAAAGTTTTAAAAAATGGATAATAATTCCTCTGATTGTCTTCTTGCTAGGGACATCATTTTAACAAAATATGCCCAAATCGCTAGAATTATTATGCTTATTTTTAACACTATTCCAGTTATTCTTTTTGTATTTTTATTTATGGATTATAAAAAGTATCGGTTAGCTTTACATGGAAATTTAAAAGTTTGTTTTATTTGATAGAAAAGGTTGGGGGAGGATTTCCCTGTATATCACCTCTATAGTCAGTCTATCATGGAGTCATACCTTGGAATTAGCTTGTTAGTTTTATCATCGACAAAATCGGCTTGACGAGGATAATTAACATAACCTTGTCCACCCCAGTTTTAATTTTACGGAAAATTTTGGTTGAGAGGTAGATGAGTCTTTGAATGAGTCTCTGTAGTGTTTGGAATTATTTTTGACTCGGCAACAGAGGTCGGTCGGAAATCGGAACTGTCGGAACTCGGAAATGGGCCGAAAGTCGGAAATCGGAAACCGGACTAAATTTTCGGAAATCGGAATTCCGACTAATTTCTGCTCGTCAACAAATTTGACTCATCTTCCTTTAGTAGATCCCACTCTTATCCCTCTAAATCAACAGTAATCCGTTCTAGTAATTTTTTATATTTAGCTTATTTATGTATTTATTGTGCTAAGTTCAATGAATATTATTGCTGGGTATTTTCTTGTTGAATTTCGCCATATTGTAAGAAAAATTTTTATTTTTCCGATGGAGATTAATCGAAATTCCTTTCAAGTTTTTAACAATTTCCGATCCAAACGGAACAAATCCCTGTTCAATGCTTTGTCCCCTCTGGTATTCCTTATTATCTAGAGGCTGTTTTGGCTTTGTTTTTTCGTGTTCCATGCCTCTTCTGCATTTTTGCGCGGTATTGGAACGTTGGAGAGCTACTAAATTGGCTAGAAAATATGAAAATGAAGATAGGAAATTTGGAATTTTTGTTGTGATTATAGTTGTGAGTTGATTAATATTTTTATTTTTTTGAGAGGAATTTGGGAATAATCTAAAGGAATTTTGAGGAGGAATCATTATGAGTGTTCTTTCTTTTAATAGAATAGAAAAAACCCAATAGACCTAGACCTCTATCTTATGCAGGGAGGTTCTGGACTGAACCAAAGAACCGAGGACATTTCGGTTCGGTTACGGATATCCGAGGATTTTCCATGAACCGACAGCCATAGCCTTTCGCAATTAAAAAGTCGTAAGAATGAAGCAAGAAATAAAGAGGAAGGCGGAAGAAGAAAAATCCAAAAGAGTGGGAAATCGGTGAGAAATGAAGTAGAAAAGACCCCATGCCTTGAAAAGCCTGGCAATGATGCCCAGAAGGGCACTATGGTGTATTGAGAAATTATAACACCCCCCTTTGTTGTCTTTTTAGTTTTTCTGGGTTCTGATTGTCATAGAACCAAGAATCTAAAGTTAATTTTCCTATTTAGATGACAATTTCCTTACTTTATTTTGCATTTTATGCCTATATTGTTTTGGATGATTATAATATGGAATGGAATAAAATGTTGGCATATAATGCTGTAATTAATTTAAATTAGAATATTTTTTTAATTTTTCCCTCAATATTTAAAGACAGTAACAAACAGAAGCAATTTATTGTCTATTTATCAGACCTATTTTATGCTGTTTATTTTAGCTTTAACTATATTGGGGGATTATTTATTGTTGAGAAAGAATGGAAAAATGAGAAGGATGGTTTTTAGCAAGTTTGTTTTTTGAAAAAAAAATTTAAAAAATTTTTCTATTAAAAATTTAACTCGTTTGAAGACAATTCACCGAAAAAATGGGGCAAGGACTTAATTTAAAGGCCTTAGGTTTTTGACTAAGCTCTAGAAAATTAAAAAATGATCAGGCTCTAAACATGAGAAAGATCTGTTGGAATTCCACTTGCCAAAAATTTTGATGAAAATTTTTGATTTCCGGGGCATTCCTTCTCTCTGTCAATTAGGCTTATTCACCGAAAAAGACAATACACCGAAGAAGACAATTCACCGAAAAACATTTTTTTGACCTAGACTTGATGAAAAATACAAGCCCAAGGGTTTCCATTTAGAAAATTGTTTTGTCCTTCTTATAGTACCCAAAAAATAATTTAAAAAATGTTTTAGTAGCAACCAACAATTAAATAACAACGGCTACAGTTTAGCAGAGAATTATCAATTCCACGAGAATTTATTAGCTATACGTTTTATTCTTCCATTAGATATAGCTTATGGATTAACTAATTCGATATATTTTGGTTTAGTAATTATTCTACGTTCATTTCAACCTGTTTTGCCGTTTAGTGTATTTTTGGCTAATTATAATTTAATTACTGTTGTAAGTTTTAAATATAAGGGGAAAGGGACAATTCACCGAAAAGGACAATTCACCGAAAAAGACAATTCACCGAATAAGACAATTCACTGAATAAGACAATTCACCGAAATTTTTTCTTTTCAGCTTCAGCTTGTTTATATTTCCACAGCTTTTGTTTTCTTTAGACGCTATATAAATTTTAATAGAAGTGGAAGACAGAATCATTTAACTTCAATACAACCAACTGATCAGCTTGGGAAAAAATATTTTGAACAATTAAATTTACAATGGAATTAATTAATTTTTTGATTTTTCTAAATTAATTTTTCGATATTATGTATATTTTTATAAGATAAATAGTTATTATGACTGTACTTAAAAGAAACTGAAACAGTAAAAAATTGAAACAACATTTACTCTCGTACCGTTTTTGAAATTCCTTTTTGTCTTTCTCTACCCGTTGTACCTTTTTGTCTTAATTTAGCCGTTGTACCCTTTTGTCGGATATGTGACAGTGTTCCATTTTGTCTGTAGGTAGAAAGAGAAGGAGAAGAATTTCCCTGTACCAAATGTCGGAAATATTTCAACAATTTTTCCAAAATAAAATTATTGGCATTGTGTTTTTGTATTTAAAAATAAAAAGGTAGTTTGAGTATCAATCAAAAAAATTTTTTTCTTTTCATCTTTCCAGAAAAATCAAAAATTTCGCGAGACTCAAAAGGTTAAACTCTATTGTCCATACCGCGCTTTTGCTTTTTAAAAGCTACCCACGCGGTCTTTTTTCTTTTTTTAATTTTAATTTTTTAAATTTTTTCTTAGATTTTTTTTTAGATTTTTCTTAGATTTTATCAGTTAAAGAAACATGGGAGCCTTTATTTGTAACAACTGCAACGAATCTTTAAATAAATTCCAACAAATAAAAAAACATTTGATAAAATGTAAAAATTATTTATTTACTTGTATTGATTGTCAACAAATAATTAAATATAAAAATGTTCGTTCACATTTAAATTGTGTTGGTGGAAGAGAAAAACAAGTTGGGATTGTTAATTATATTGCTATGGCTAATAAACAGGACAACAAGGTTTTTTTAAATATTAGGGTAATCATGGGGGATTTGGAGGGAATAGGAGAGAAGCCAAAATTTCGTTTTTGTTTTTTCCCGAAATTTCGTTTTTCCTTCATTTCGTTTTATTTTTCGGGTTTCGATAACTTTGGTGACTAGAAAATAAATGCTATTCCAGAACTATTCACAGGGTGAATAAAAAATTGACAAATGTCCGCAAATCTTTTTTGCGGACATATTTATAGAATAATCAAATTGGGAAAATTCCGTCATATGTTCCTTAATTCGATTCGGACAAATATTGTTATTTGAAAGAGCTCGTCGAGCTGAATGAAAGACACCAAGATTAAACCCGGTTCTCAATTGTGGGTTGAGTTATGGTCCCATAATGGTCAAAAACGTAAAGAGTGACCAGAATGTTCTGAATTGGCGTATGGGACAAATAACGGAATTTTGCCTCGAGTTTTTTTATTTTTTCTTTACTAAAAAAATTTTTTCACAGAATGATATTATGGAGCAATCTTCCTCTCAACAAATGGACATTTCCGTTACTTCAATGGATACTTCCACCAATAATGACAAAAAACCTGATCGTATGGAACAACTTTTGAAGGAAATTGAGGATGAAGTTGGACAAAATGATGAACAAAAGCTGGACAAGAAAAAAGGTTTCTTTTGTTAATTTTATTTTTAAGAATTAGACATGGGGGTAGATATCTCTTTAGTAAGTCTCTTTATAGATATCTCTTTAAGTAAGTCCATTTTTCTAAGCTTGGATAATTAAGAAAATTTTTTGTAGAAAATTATTTTCAATTTCCATCCAAATTACTCATTGTTCACGGGTATGCTCCTTAATTTTTGCCTGGGACCGAAATTCTGTTTTTGACATAACCGAAATTTCCAGCTTTTTGCTAGTTTCAAAATTAGAATTTTTTATTATTTAGATAAACCAAAACGTCGAATACACAAATCTTCACCAATTAATCCAACCAAATTAAAATCAAAAGCTAGACGTAAACTTCTTCAAGTAATTCCAGAAACACCCGAAAAGTCACAAAATAAAGAAGCAGAAGATTCTTTTGAAGTTGTTAAACAAACACCTTTGAGTAAAATATCTTCAGGTTTTTTTTTTTTTGATTATTTTTAAATTCTTGTTAGGCTTCACTCACCCAATATAGACCGGGATTCTTTTTTGTTATATTTTCTGTCCCGAGTTGCATGCGATTTTTATGTAAACAATACCTCCACTCAGGCCGTAGCAAGGATTTTTTTTCGAGGAAAAAATTTTTTTGGGGGAAAAAGTCACCCCTGGCTACGGGCCTGTCTCCGCTTTATGATATACCTCATTATAAAGATATGATTTTTTAGTCCCAAGGGGGTGTCCATAAGTAATGTCTATAATCCTTTAATTTCACTTTGAAGACGTTTTCATATAAAATTAATTTTTTTATTTTTAAAGAAAATACTTCATTAGCTTCAAAATTATCAGAATTATTATTAAAAGAAGAATCTAGATTAGAAAAATCACAACAACGAAAAAGAAAATTAAATTTTTCAAAAGAAGAGGGAAATGAAAACAAAATAATAACAAATAGAGAAATTTTGGAACAATGTATAAAAAATAAAAATTTGGGGGAAGATGAGGATTTGACAAAGCCTAGTAGTTCAACAACAAATAACAGGTTTTTTCAACTTTTATAATATTGTTAGGGTTGGGGATGTTACTCGAAACATTGCCATTCTTGATCTTAAATCCTAAACCTGATCTGAAGAAAATTTGGTAATATTGAACCGGGCAGGTCCCTTTTTTCCTCCTCAATTTTTCCCCTATATTTTTGCAAAATGGTCAGACTTTTTGCTTTCTTTCATCTAAATTGCCTTTTTAATTTTTGCCTACAAGTAAACAAAAATGATTATTTAATTCCTTTTTGGATGGAAGAAAGCAAAAAGTCTGACCATTTTGCAAAAATATAGAAGAATTGGGGAGGAAAAAAGAGGTCTGTCCGGTAAAAATATTACTGTAAATTTAGAAACATCGATCAGACACACATGGTTCTTGAGATGATGCGCCAAAATTTTTGGTTTTCGTTTGATTACGAACTGTCTCTATCCCCAAATAGTTTTCTCAAATTCCTTGTTTATACACTTACTATTCATATTCGACTGAAATTTTTGGCGCACATCCCATTTTAGCTTCAAAAATGTCTGGCGGTGATTTGTCTCTCTACAAAAATTTTGAAAATTAAAAAAGAAATTTTTTAATAATTTTTTTAAGAAAGCGTCATTTAACACCTTCAGAAATTAGTTTTACAAATAATCTTAAACAATTATCAATAGCTACTAAAAAGCCTCGTCGTCGCCTATTTTCTTCACATTCATCTTCAAATAATTCAATTAGTTTTCCTGGGCAGAAAAATGATTAAATTTTTAAAAATTTTTTTTTATATTTTTTATTTCAATATTTTACATATCCGTTAGGGTAGTTCAAGACTTTTTAACCCCAAAAAATTTTTTTTCAGTTAGTTTTTCTAATCCAAACCAATTTTTACCAAAAAAAAATTAAGAGAAAAAATCAATTATTTTATTTTAATTTCCCCAATGAAAAAAAATTAACAAAAAGCTTTGAAAAATATTTTTTAATAATCTTAAATTGGGTTTAAACGTGGTTTTTTGAACTATCCTTAGTCTTGGTGATAATAAAAAAAATATAAATTTATTTTTTATTTTTTAAATGAAAGAGTTAAAGCTACTCGATATTATTTTTTAAAGTTTTTCTAATTTAATACTAGAGAGAGACACATAAATATAGGTTAATCTAACCGAAAATCTGTAACTCCTTATTTTTTCTATCCATAATATTTTTGTCAGAACAGGGCTGTCCGCAAACGAAAAAAATTTTCCCGCAGCCGGAAGCCAAAAACCGCTCAATCCACAATTGCGGGCAGCCCTGGTCATGAACCATAGCTGTGCCAAAATTTCATGTTTTGGCTCGTTCCGTGTTGTCTCTACCTTCGAATAGTTTTTTGGATAACAAATAACTGGGTGTCTAATAATTTTTTCAGAAAATTTTTTTCAGATATTTTAATAAAAAATTTTTTTAAAGAAAAAAATGTTTACAAAGCATCGTTTTCAAATTAAAAATAGTTCAAAACTTAAATATTCTGAAAGGTTTTTTAATTTATTTTTTTTAATAATTTTTTAATTTAAGTAAATTATTATTCCCCGAATTTATTTCCAATTGCTTCAACAAACAACAACTTGTAAAATTAAAAGTTCAATTTACTTATGGATCTAATGCCGTAATTTATTTATTAGAAAAAGAGCCAATGATTTTTCAAGATGGTGCTGATAAAGTAAATTTTTTTCCTTCAGGTTTTATTTTTTTTTGAAAATTCTTTAAAATTTTTGAAGGTTTTTTTAATTCAATAGCTTTATTAATTATAATTTTTTTAAAAGTTTCTTTGGTTAATAAATAGATAATAAATTTGGTTAATAAATAGACTAGCAAATTTGGTTAATAAATAGACTAGCAAACTTTTCACGTCTGTACTAAATTAAATTTTAAACCCATAATTTCGATAAACTACAGCATTCAATAATATATATTTTGTTTATTGGAATAGATCTCTTATTTAATTAAAGTAACCTGGTAATCACTTTTGTATTTGGGCAAACTAACTATTTTTGTAAATATTTTTTGAAGCAATTTTTATTTTTTATGTTTAAACTTTAATTAAATTTTAGGGATTTTTGATGGATTTTTCTGGCCTTCAAAAAAATTTTTCTTTTTCCCAATAAATACATTTAAAATTTTTATTTTTAAGTTTATTTTCTGTGGTCTTTTCCAACAATATTTCCAATTTTATTTATTCAACATTCAACTTTTGGATTTTTAAAAAAAGGTGCTGATTTAATGATCCCTGGAATTGAATTAATTAATCAATTTCCAAATTTTGAACAAAATTGGCCTGTTGGGATTTCTACAATTTGTAAAAATAAAGAAGGGAATGGATATACTATTTGTGGGCCTTTAGCTGTTGGAAAAGTTTTGTTTTCTTCTGATGAGTTGAAAGAAAAAATTGAAACGGGGCAAAAAGGAAAAGGTTTTTCTTAATTTTAAAAATTTAAAAAAAAAATTAAAAAAAAATTCGAGTTTTTTGAAATTTTATTTACTTAATTCCTAAGGCTGTTAGTAGGCGGCTTGGTGTAAAGGTTAACACATCAGTCCGGTTACTGAAGATGCTGGTTTGCTCGCAGCCGCCGATTAACCGTTTACACTAGCTTAAGGAATAAAATAGCTTAAAAATTTCTGAAAAAATTTTTTCCTCGTTTTTAGATATTCTAAAATAGAAAAAAATATTTTTATAATTTTTTAAAATTTATTTTTAAATATTATTAAGTGTCCAAATTCCAATTTATCTTTTTTATCTTCTTTAAAAGTTTTCATTTCTTAGGTGTCGAAATTTTACACATTTTTGGTGATTTTCTTTGGTATATTTTTTAAATATTTATTTTGGTCTACTTTCCTTTTATGTCTCATAAAAGTTCAAAGGTCTATATATTTTTCAAAAACAACCCCTCTTTGATAGGAGAAGTTAATTATTTTTGCGGACAAAACTTGCGGACTTTTTTAGACATGAAGAAAAAGGGCCATTTTGTAGTTTAAAAAATAATAATTTTTTAAAAGGGAATCTGGTTCAAGACGTTCATTTCCTCAATTTATGTCAGATTGTGTACATGCTGCTTTAAATCCACAAACTTCTCAAAATGATGAGACTGATAATTTGGTTATTTATTTTTAATAAAATTTGATTGTTAAAAACAATATAACGGGGGAATTAGAGAAAAAAGGAAGAGGAGGGTAAAGTTCAAACTTGTCTAAATTTCTTTTTATCTAAAACTATCAACTCTCACTTGTACGACAACTCATGAAAAAAATTGACGTTAATGGTTTAAGTGTCGTTGTTCGCTGTATGGGTTGAAACACCAACTTTGGAGTTATTTTTTTTTGGTTAGAAAATTTGTCATTCATGTTTGTGAGTGACAAGTAAGTGTGATAAGTGAGATTTGACTGTCCAATATGTGAATATCCAGGGATCCCCCCACCCCGAAATAAGGAAAGATTGGGTAAGTAAAATTTTTTGTCTATAACCTTCAAAATAAAAAAAATTTTTTAAGTATATGTCACTTTGGAATTTTATGGGAAAATCTATACTTAAAGATGATGAGCAATTAATAAATTTAAACACGGAAAATATATCCTCAAAATTAAAGAATGAAGCAGAAGAATTGCTAAAAATTGAAGAGTCCTCGTTAACTAGTGAAGAAATGGATAATTTGGTTTGTTTAATTTTTTAAAAATAAACGTGACCGGACAATCCGTCAGTGGACAATCCGGCAGTGGAAAATCCGTCAGTGGACAATCCGTCAGTGGTCGGACAATCGGTCAGAGGACAATCCGTCAGTGAGCAAATTCGTAATTCCTACCTATACTCAAACTATCGCAGCCAAAAATTTTCATTTAATCATGTGGGGGATTATAAGAGGTATCGAAAATATGTAGATTAATGAGGAAATCGGCAGATTTAGCTGGATTAAAAGCAATCCAGTGGGCAATGTGATTGAATTACGCGAATGTCGATGGCTTTAGAAGGATATCGGGGATTTGGATGGATTAGATTTACGTGATTAACGTGTGGATTTGGTAAATATTTGGTAAATATTGTAGAATTTGGGTAAATATCGTGTGATCATGGAACTCGATGAATAAGAGAGATTGTTTTTAGAAGGATATCATGGAACAACCGCTAAATCCTCTTAACCAGCCTATATCCGCTGATATCCCCTTTTATCACGAAATCCATCTTAATCCCCCAAATTCCCCGTTAACCACCATAATACTACAAATCTATGGGTGGGAATTATGAATTTGTTCACTGACGGATTGTCCACTGACCGATTGTCTGACTACTGACGCATTGTCCACTGACGGATTTTCCACCGCCGGATTGTCCACTGACGGATTGTCCGGGAGCCAAAATAAATTCCATTGGTTTTGGGGTATTACACTTTGGGAAACGGGAATATTGTCTGTGTGTATAGGCTGGACGTGGCTGGAATTTCTGTCCGCAATCTTAAAAAAAGTCCGCAAAAATGATGCGGATTTTAGGAAATCTAAAATTTTTCAAAAAAATTCAACAAATTTTTATTGTTACCAATTAAATGAATATATAGGGTTATAAGAAAAAAATAAAAAAATTATCTCTTTTTTTTTGTTCGAATAATTTAAAAATTTTTATTCGTTGAAAATTTTTGCCTTTAACAAGGGAACATTCTTTACTGCCACCACGAATTCGGTATTTTTTTGGTACCATTCGATAGAGGACTCTCGATTTACTATTGTTGTATGCGAGTTTTCTTGCAAAATTAGTTAGGGCCGAGTTATGGCCGTTTAAAGTTAGACCGCTAGAGTCTGGATTTATATTATATATATATAATTCGTGGTGACAGTAAAGAATGTTCCCTTGTAAGAAAAATGGTTTTTGCGGACTTTTTAAAAACATTTCTTTATAAATAATTTTTAAATTAATTTTTTATTAATTAACTTATTTTTTCCCCAGCTTTTCAATATTTTCTTCTCTGCAATAAAATATCAATTAACACCGGCAAGTAAATTTCCATTTGATGCTGGCCAATTTTATGCAAATTATATAATTAAAAATATACCGGTTGGGAAAAAATTGGAAATTAAAAAGACGAGGTTTTTTTCTATTTTTATTTTAAAATTAATTTTTTTTAAATTTAGTTATAAAAAATTTACAACATTTTTAGAAGAAATTAATAATAATGAAAATGGATGGGTAGTTAAAGTTAAAACAATCAAAAGTATTAATTTTATTGAAAATGTAATTTAAATTTTATTTAATCTTATAAGTTGTTGATATGGTGTAGTGGGTAGAGCTCCCGATTTTTGTTATTGTGGGTGTGGGTTCGATGCCTTTCGGTGGAAAAACCTTTTTAGTTGAATATTTTCGTTCACCTTTTCCAAAAAAAAAAAATTTTTTAATGCCACTAAATTTTTTTTAATTTTTTTAAAGATAAATTTTGATCACCCATATGTTCAAAATGCTTTACCTTTTGACGAAGATTTTTCAAATTCTGATTTAAAACATTTACCGTCCCAAACATCAATAAATATTTATGAACAAATGTTTTCTTTAACAGAACAAGTTATGCCTATTTTTAGAAGTAGAGGACATCGAAGAGGTGATTTGGTTAATATTCAAGAAATTCGTTCAATTCTTTTAGAATATGCAAAAGAAAAGGTTTGTGATTAATTAAATGCATTTTAGTTGGTGGATTTAAGATTCCTCCCCGGGGCTGGTCATTTTTGGGCTTTTTGGATTTTTACTGGGACTGTAAAACAGTAAGCCTTATTCTCATAGATCCGAATTTTGCTTCTATTTTTGTTCAGGTTTATACAAATTTTCTTCCTTAGGAAAACAATCGAGAATTAAGGTGAAAAATCCGCAAAAATGGGAAAGTCCGCAAATTTTGTCCGCAAAAATTTAAAATTAATTTTAGAATTTAATTTTAAATGATGGAAAAGATATTAATTTGGACGATGATACACTCCAAATGGTTGTAAAATATTTTTTGCCTGAAGCATTTCCAGTAAAAACACTTATACAAAAACTATGTGAAGCTATGACAAAGGCTGTACTTGTAAAAACAGCGGGAGGAAGAGAATTAATTTATAGAGGGAAAGTGCCTAATATTGAATTTAAGGTTAGATTTTTTAAGAATTAATTTTCTAAAAGATTAAAAACCTCTTTATAAGATACCTTCTTTGGGCAGAAAAATCGTACCTTATAATGAGATGTTCATTAAATAGAGGGTAAACCTCATTATAAGAGACACCTCATATTAGACACGCAACTCAAGTTAAGCTATCGACAATACCCTCTATTCAAGAGACCTCATTATAAAGTACCCTCTATTTAAAGACCACCTCTTTATAAGAGACAATTTTTAAGCCGCAAAGGAGTTCCTATACCGAAGTTTTTTTACCATCTTTCAATTAAAAAAAATTTTTTAAGATAGAAAAACGTAGTGGAAATAAAATTGTAACGCTAGTTAATAACCTCGCTGCCTTTGGTATTGAAGCAAAGGATATTGCAAAAGAAATTAAAGGAACTGGAACGTCGATATTTCCAAATGTTTTAGGCTGTGAAGGACCTCAATTGTTAATTCAAGGAAATGAGGTTTTAAATTTTTTATTTTTAGAAAGTTTTGACGGGGAGAGACGTCGACTTTTACCTTAAACTTTTGCAAAAATAGGTCTGTATTTAAAAAAACTTTATTGTTGAATGAATCTTAGGCTTACTTTCCTAAAATTATTTTCAAGTTGGAAAAATTTGGGTTGGGTTTCTGATAATTTCACAATATCGGGTAGCCCAACCCATTCCTTGTTGTCGAGTTACCCGATTAGTTGTCGAGTTACCCGATTATTGGTTCTATGATAGTTTGGACGTCCCGAAAATATGTAATAGGAAACAATTCCCTTCCAAAATCTTCTTTTAAAATTTAATTTTAAAGGTAAATGAAGTTACCAGACTGCTTGTTGATACGGGAATTACCAAGAAATTTATCAAAGGAATTGATTTGGGTGTTAAAGAGAAGAAGAAAAAATAGAAACAAAATTTTATTGATTTTTTGGTATAATTAAAAATTTTTGCAAAAAATGATAAAAATAATATTCGGGTAGTTTTGATATTTTTAATAAAATAAAAAGAAACGATTTAAAAATATAATTGAAAATATCTATAATATAAAAAAGGAATTTTTTAACGTAGAAAAATGGAGGAGAAAAATGAATTTATGAATATTTGCGGACTCCGCAAAGAAAGTCCGCAAAAAAACAAAAAAATAAAGCATTATTTGAAGAAACAAAAATAAATTTTCTAAAGAAACTTGAATAAAAAAATCAAAAGAAAAAAATTTTTTAGAAAAAATTGCAATGTCATTTTGGGCATAAGGACGTATAAAAATGTGAAAAAACAAAACGAAGGAAAAAAACCTCAAAATTCAAGGGTTGTCATTTAAATTTAAAACAATTGATTTTTTTGAGTTATCATCATCAACACAATGTTCATTAACAACAATCTGAAAAAATAAAAAATTTTTGATTTTTGCGGACAAAAAATTTCTTGCTGATAAAATTTGCAGATTTTTCGAACATTTCAAAAATTTGTAAGGAAATTTTAAGAAAAATTTTAATTTAAAAAAATGTAAAAAATCCGCAAAGTTTTGTCCGCAAAAATTATTGCGGACATATTTTTTGTCCGCAAAAAATTATTTTCAAAAAATAATTTTCCGAAAATAATTTTAAAAAACAACTAAAACTAACGGTAATTTTCTTTGGTGGCGAGTCATTACAAGTTGTTGTAGAATTATTATTTTGTGTAGATGAATGTTTTCTACGTCTATTTCCAACAAAAATGCCATCCTCCTCTTCCTCATTACCTCCATTTTGTTGTTTATTTATTGGAAAAGAATTTCTATAAGAATTTGTTTGTTGTCCATTAAAAGAAGAATTTAATGCAGACATTGATGTTGACCCACCAGTTAATATACGTAACCAATTTGGTTCGTTTCCAATAGATAAAAGTATACGTTCAAAACGATGGGAAGATGATGAACCAGACAACAATTGTTTTTGTTTTTTATGTCTAGAAAAAGTAGGGAATTTTCTGTGGTATATAAAGTGAGGTTTGGCAAAGGAAAACATTTGCGGAGATTAACAAAAAAGTTTTGAAACGCGAAAAAAATATTGGAAAGTATTGAAAATAGAAAATTACAAAAATGTCGGGGGGATAGGATTTCTAACCTCTACTACCAATAAAACATTTTCTCCACAAAATGTATCAGGGATGGGTTGGATTACCGAATACTCAACCCACGACCTTTTTCAACTCGAACCCCGACCCAAAGAAAAATTTGAAGATCCGACTTCAAATTCCTGAATTTATCCCTGAATTATTCAATCCTGAATTTATTAGGTATCCGCAAATGCCCTCTCCTCAAAATTTTCCCCTTTAAATAAAAAAAACAAACCTTTCGTGAATATTTAATATCAACATATCAATAACAAATTTTTCATACAAATAAGAAAGCACAGAACTTAACAAGGCCAAAGTTAGAATAAATAAACGATCTTCAATATATGGAATTGGGTCTAAAAAAGAAATTAAAAAATAAAAAAATTATTTTAAAAAATTAAAAAAAAAACCAAATTCTAGCCATTCAATAATAATTTGAGGTGGTTCTATACAAATAATTAAAGAACATATTCCAACAGCAAACAGAGAAAGGCACAAAGGTTTGTTACTTTAAAAATAAGAAAATTTTTGAGGAAATTTTTGAAAACTTTTTTTTTGGAAAATTTTCAAAAAAATTAAAAAATTTTTGTCCGCAAAATTCTTGCGGACAAAAATTTTTAGAGAAAAATTTTCTAAAGTTTTTTAATTAAAAAATTCTTTAATTTAAAAAACAAACCTAAAAATAGCTCTTCTATAAGGAAATCCTTTACTATAAATAATTGCTAAAGTAATATATTGAAACATTGAAACACAAAAAACAGCTGTTCCTTGCATTGAACGTCTATCATCTGGTTCTGGTCCAGCTGGGGTTGCATAAGGAATAAACCTTTTTTAATTTAAATATTTAATAAAATATTTATAAAATTTGGCGAAAAAATTTCTTTTAATTGAAAAAATTTTTTGTCCGCAAAATTTTTGCGGACAAAAATTTTTAAAAATAAATTCTTAAAATATCCTTAAACGGTAGCTTATACTTTCTATGTAAATTTTATTTAAAATTTTAAAATTAAAATTTAAAACAAACCATGGTTGCATACTTGTATAAATAAAAGTAAAAACCTACAAAATTATCAATTAAATTTATTTTTCAAAAATTAAATTTTAATTACTTGAAAGAAGGAAATAATTGTTAATTGCCCAATAACAGAAAATATAGAAGCCAAAGATAATAATCGAGTTGGTGGAGGTATTTTTGCTAAACGTTCACAAGCTGGAGTGTAACCAAAAAAGAGAGAAACAAGTGTTACAAGCGCCAAGTCGATATAAAGAAACTTGAAAGACAAAAATTAATTTTTTTAAATCTACTTGACTAAAAAATCTGGAAAGCATCGAAAATACCAAAACCCTTCAACTGCATTTGGCATTTCGACGGCTTTTGTGAGGCTTGGTATATTGAAGTTTTGATCTTATGCAAGAAAGAAAAAAGCTTATCTTATATGGGAAGCTTAGGGAGCTACCATCCACTTAATGGCCACCTAACTTTTTAAAAATCGCACCTTAACCATAGGTGAGGCTAGTATTAGAAGGTATCTTATAATGAGTTTATTGATAAATGTGAAAAACCTGTAAATCAGTCAAATTAGTATTTAACCAATAAAGCTGCATTATTGTAACAAATTGTGTCAAAGAATATCCAGCCATATATTTAAAAACTCCAAATGAAGTAACCAAAGCTGCTCTTCCTTCACGAATCACAGTTGGAACACAACGAATATCTGGCGTTTTAGAAGTAAAAGGAGCAGCAATTGAAGCTTCTGCTTCGGATAAAGAAATTCCTGCATGGGCAGCCTGAAAATTATTTAAAAAATTCATTTGAAGTCAATAAAAGTATGGAAATACTAAAAAAATTTTGTGGACTTTTTAGTTTGTGGATAGACTTTTATGTTTGCGGACTTTTTTATTATTTGCGGACATTTATTTTTTTGCAGACTTTTCCATTAACTTTCTTTCGAATTCTTTCCTCTCTATTTCCGAGGAAGATTTTAAAAATAAAAAAGAATACCCTCAAAAATATATACAAATTTACTTTTAAGGCAGCACAATCATTAGCTCCATCTCCACACATTGCCACTGTATATCCAACATCTTGAAGTTGATTAACCAACTTTTGAAAAAAAATAATGTCTTTAAAATAATAAATAAACCAATTGTTTTTGATCAGGTGACATTCTTGCATAAACATCACAAACACAAATTAACTGCTCCAATATTTCTGGATATTCTTCACATATAACACCTAAAAATAAAAAATTTTTAGAAAAATTTTTGAAAAATTCTCCCACAAAAATTTATAAAAAATTAAAAAAACTAAAAAACAAACTTAGAGTTGGACCAGAAATTGCCAAATGATATGAAGACTCTGCACTTTTTGCTGGTTGTTGATTTTGTTCATAACAACAAGAGAAAGTGTCCTCTTCAAGTTCCAACTGTTAAAAAAAATTTTTTTTCAATTTAAAAAATATTTTCAACTCACAACTTCATCAGAAGAACTAACAGATTGTTTTAATACTAAATGTGTTCTTCCATCTCTACATTTAGTATCCCCAGCTTCCAACAAAAAAGATCTTTTATTTGGGCGTATAATTCCACATTCACGTGCTACAGACATTGCTTAAAATTAAAAAAATTTTTTGAATTTTTTTGAAAAAAATACCAGTAAGTATATTATCTCCAGTAATCATTATTGTTCGAATATTTGCTCTAAAATAAAAAAAAATTTTTCTTTTTATAAAAACACCAACCTATTTAATTGATTAATAACTCCAATAGTTTGCGGCTTCAATCTATTTTCCATAACAATTAATCCCAACATAACCAAATCGCATTCCAAATGTTCACGTTTAGCTTTGTGTGCTTTTACATAATTTAAATTAAGGCGACGAGAAGCAACGGCAATTAGACGATAACCGCTTTAAAAATAATTAAAAAATTAAAAATCATTTTTATATATGCTTTTAGGGCTGAAAAACTTATGATTAAAGAGTATCCTAAATAAGGGTGTAGCTTAAAAATATCTTAAAAAAGTTCTACAAAGGTGAGAACGCTTAACCAACACCCACAGACCAAACTAAACTTTTTAAAAAAAGTAAGAATTTCTAAAGGGCATCTAAAATTGAGGTTTCGACTCGATAAATAAATTAAAAAAAAAACAAAACTGTTGAGCATAATTATCAACAAAAGATTGATATCCATAAGGCAACGTTTCCGGAAGGCATAAAGAAGCTATTTTTTCTGGAGCACCTTTGCAATACAAATGATGGATATGTGATTCATCACTTAAATTGTGAACAAGAACAGACATTCTTTGAAGGTGAGAACTTGAAAAAAATTAATCTTTATATCTTTCAAAATTTAGAAGGTCACAAATTTGATTCCTACCCAATTAGTTCACTCCCTGTTTTAAAAATTTTTCCTAACTGCCTAAAAATAAGTTTGATTCATACTTAAAATGTTTTATTGAATTATTAAACTTCTTAACAAACCTAAAGGTAAATTGTCGGATTACAGCAAGTTCAACTTCAGATTCCACAGAAGAATGTAATGGAGGTGAACGAATAACTGTTGGCTAGAGAAAAAATTTTTAAATTAAAAAAAAATTAAATAAAAATAAACCTGTAAAATATCAAATTGTGCAGTTTCATCACCAATCCTTTCTGACGCCTCATCCATAATCCAACCAGTCTTACGAAATAAAACCAAATCAAGAGGGTCACCATTTAATACTTTATCAATCCTAAAACAGAAAATAATATTCTTAAGTCAACAAAAAATAGTTAGAATACAATACATCTTTAAAAAATAAGGATACTAAACCAAATGTTTACCTACGGGTAATATTAGAACTATGCGACACCGCTGACTTGGACCCAGTTATACCTATGCGGTTGTTCAAACATTGATTTCTCTTTCCTCTTTATAAAACGTCTAACCCCCGCCTAAACGTTTTAAGTGTGTCAAATCATTCTTATAAGAAAACAACCGCAAAACTTAACATTTCTTTAAATTTAAGGATGCATTTTATAGGGAAGTCCGAGCTTTTAAAAAAATTAAAATCTTTTACCGTGTTAAACTATGGCATGTAGCCACAGCTTTAAGTAATTCACCATTTTCTGGCAATTCATCAGTACAAAAATCGTGCAATTCATTTCCAAATTCAGGCAAATCCTTACGTGGAAATATTGCTCGAAAACAATTAAAATCGAGACCATCTTCAGTAAGTGTGCCAGTTTTGTCAAAACATACCTTTTTTAGAAAAAAATTTTTTTAGGGAGTATTGCACTTTAACAAAGTCCAAAATTATTTTAAAACCGGTGAATTTCTCCACGCCTAGAAAAGTAGTGATGCCTTATGGAAGTGGGAACAGTTCAAGTTATAGAAAGGAGGCTTCATGTTTCATCCCTAGTTAAGAAGTTTAAATAGGAGCAATTCTATTTAACTTGCTTCAATTAAAAAATTTTTTTAGAGAAATTTACCGTATTAATAGCTCCACAAGTGTTTATAGTAGATGGCGAAATACAAAAAATTTGTTTTGCACGTAAACGCATTTGTGCAGCAAATATACCAATACTCATAGCCGCTAGAAATTTTTTTACAATTTAAAAAAATTAAAAAAAAAACCTGGAAGTGCTGGAGGAACAACAATTGTAATTATATCCAATGAACGAATAATAATTTTCCAGGCAGAAGATCCACGTGATATCATTACCAAAATAGTGTAGAGAAAGCCTAGGCCAGCAATACAAGCAAGAAATCCAACAAATTTAAATAAATCCTTTAAAGAATCAATAATAGATTTTAAAAAAATTTCCTACCTTTGTAAAACGAAAATCAACAGGTTTTGGATACATTATAGAACGAACAAGTTGGCCTTTTAAGGTTGAATAAGCTGTTCGAAGAACGACAGCTTGGACATGTTTTCCAGGATAATAACGAGTCTAGAATTTAAAAATAATTTAATTTAACGGGCTTATTATTAGCCAATTCCCAAAAAATAATTTTTGAATTTTAAACTAATTTTTAGGGAAAGAATTTCCAGCTATCAATATATTCAATTGTATAATGGGATATTTAATGAAAAGATCCCCAGCTGCTGGCATCTAAAAAGTTATTAGGAGGTAAAAGTCATCGGCCCAATAGCTTACAAGGCAGTAAAGAACTTAGGACCGAACTTTAAATGCAATGAGCTGAGGTTTCGATTTGTGCTCGGTGACAAATTTTTTACTTAACACAATCCATAAAATTTTCAAAATACTTTGACAAAATATTCAAGAAAAAGAAAAGTATAGTAAAAACCTGCAAAACTTGAGTTCCACAATATAAAATATGCTTGGAATGTTCTTTAAATGAAAATATTTGTGTTTCCCCATGTTCTTCATCCGTTTCTGGCATTGCAACTTTTGTTATAGGCATAGATTCACCGGTTAACATTGCCTCATTTACTTAAATTTAAAATTAAATAAAAAAAATTATTTAAAAACTACCAATAACAGTTCCAGTCATTAAAACAGCATCACATTGAAGAATACAACCACGAGGCGGAATTAATAGAATATCACCATGAACCAACTATAAAATAAATTTTGGATATAGTGTAGTGTACCGGTGGTAAAAGTTCGGGACGTGACATATGTCATTCGATTCGACTCGACGAGCTGAGTCGAATGGTATCACTCGCTACTTTAGGAAATAATTCTGGGCCGAGTTATAGGTCCCGAAAAATTGAAAAACCAAAGGGGGGAGTAAGCTCGATTTTGGGGTGAAAAATTCGAATATGCAAATAATAGCTCATGCGAAAGAGCTCGTCGAGCTGAGTCGAATGACACCAAAATCAGCTTGATCGAACAAGTTGGAGTCGAGATATAGGGCTCGAAATGGTCAAAAACCCACAGGGCGGATTTTAGGGTCAAAAATTCGAAAAGGCATATAATAGCTCATTCGAAAGAGCTCGTCGAGCTGAGTTGAATGACACCAAAATCAGCTTATTGTAAAAGTTTGGACAAAGTTACGATAGAAAAACAAACAACATAAACCTATGGGACGTCGGCGAGGCGCTTGTGCAAAACTCCGCGCTTCGCGCGGAGTTTTGCAGCACGCGCCTCGCGGGGAGTCTACGGGCGCTGGGTCTGGGCTCGTAACATAAACTTATGCCTATTTTAGCTGCGGTCGGCATGTCTGGCTTCCTCCCCAGTAAGAAAAACCTGCACGTAGACCAAAGGTAAGGAGCTAAAACAAATGCTCATAACTTTGTCAAATCAAGTCAGATTTCGTTGATTTTGGTGTCATTCGACTCAGCTCGGCGAGCTCTTTCGCATGAGCTATTATTTACATATTCGAATTTTTCACCCCAAAATCGAGCTTACTCCCCCCTTTGGTTTTTCAATTTTTCGGGACCTATAACTCGACCCAGAATTATTTCCTAAAGTAGGGAGTGATACCATTCGACTCAGCTTGTCGAGACGAATCGAATGACATATGTCACATCCCGAACTTTTACCACCGGTACACTACACTACAGCCTAAATTTTAAAAAAGTAAAATTATTGTAGAAGAGGATCGAATTTTAGAAATTTATGTTAGGGAAGGAAGAAAAAAATAAAGGGAAGGTAGAGGGAAAAGGAGGCTATCCGCAACAACAGATCAGGTTTTTTTGTACTTGTGGATTGCGGTAGCAAGCTTTAAAACAAATTCTTTTCACAATTGCTGACAGTCCTGGTAGTCATCAAAAAATCCTACTTGTTTTTATTTCGACCCAAATCTGAAACATGATTGACAGAATATTGCCTCAAAACCCGAAAAAAACTCTACCCATCTTATTCCTAATATTTACAAAAAATATGACAAGAAAAATTTAAATAACTAAAATCATTACATTAGCACTAGAAATTTCTTCCACTTTCCCACCATTCCGCAACACTTGTACTTGCTCGTCTGTATGTACCATACTTCTAAAAAAATTAAAAAAAAAAGCCACAAGACTAAAAAAACCTCAATTTTCTTTCCTGTTTACGTATCTGATAGACATCCAAACCTATTGACATTACAGACATTGCAACAATTATAGACGCAAAATAGGCATAATTATCCATATACCAAACAGTTACACTTTAAATTAAAATTAGAAATAGAAAAGAAAATTTTTAAAAAAAAACCTAAAAACTTGAAAAATATAAAATGGAGTAATTGCTTCTTTAAACAATAAAACAACAAGTGGTTTAACTTTAACTTCTATTAAATTCTTTCCATATGTAAATAATCTTAAAATATAAAATTATAGTTTGAATTAGACAATTGTTTAAAATTTCAGAAAAACAATTATAACTTTGGAAAATTTCGAGGGATGGCGTAGGGAATGGTCCAAGACCCAATGGGCGTAGGTTTCGAACATGAAGAAATTTTTGGAACCAAACCCCAACTTTACGCCAAGAAAAATCCAAAAATTTTTTGATTGAACGCGTAAATTGTGATTGGACGTATAAAAGTCGATTGGACGTATATTGTGCAATAGAGTAAGATTTCTACAAAGATTTTACAAAAATGCAAACAAATATCAACAAATTCTTTGGTTAACCGAAAGGTTCATTTTGAACTAGACAACAATAATATTACCCAAAAAGCTTTGTAAATCAGAAAGTTACAAACCTTTGCTCAACAGAATTATCAGACAAACCAGTTTGTGAACTAACACAATGATGAAAATAATTAACAGGCAACTATAAATAAATTTTAAAAAACTTTTAAAAATAAAAGAAACCTCAGATTCCAATTGGAAAATTGTAACAAAACAATTCTTTTGCGGATACCAAAAATATTTTAATTTTCGATAAGTAAAGAAACGAAGTTTGTCTAATTGATACATTTGTCCATTTCCTTTGGGTAAAATAAATCCTCCATTTTTGCAATTGTTAATTATTTTGATTGGACGAAAAGCAATATTTAAATGATCATCCCTTCAAAAAAAATTTTTTGAAAAATTTTTTTTAAAAATTTTAAAATATACTTGACTAAAATATGGTCACAATTAGCTAGAGACGTTTTACGAGCCGTAAACCAAACAAACCATTCTGGATACCAATGCAATACAAGTCGAAAAATACCAACTGTAGAAATTGTGAGAAGCCACATACCAAACTAGAAAATTTGAAAAGTAATTTCTAAAAAAATGGCTTGGGGTTCCGGAAGGCTAAAAAATATAAGCAGAGACCTGATCACCCAAAAACCGTTCGTTTTCGATTAGAAATCCAAAACCCGATCCAGATAAAATTTTGACAACCCGAAACCAGAAACACCGACCACTTTTTCCCTCAACCCATCTCATCACTGATCCTAATAAAGAATTAGATAATCCGTCAGATAAAAGTCACCTTTTATTAAAGGAGCAACCTAACACCTTAGGTTTTTTAAACTGCCCCCCCTAAAAACCCCCAAAAATTTTAAACACAAAAAACTTTCTTACAGTTCTAAGTATTGAACGTTGATAACCAAAAATATTTAAAGTTTCATCTTGTAATTCAATTTCAGCATGATGTGGTTGTTGTTGTTCACCACCATTCAAATTATTATTATTTTCATCATTTCCTTCTTCCATTTCAATAATATTTTGTGGAATATTTGGGACAGAATTTCGAATAAAATAATGGGCTGTTTTGGATAATTTGTCAGCATTTATATGTTCTTGACGAAGATTTTCTTCGTTATCAAAAGGTAAAGATTGGGAAGAACTGCCAACAGCCATTGAATTATAAAGCCGAGAAGAGGGTTGATTAAATGTGGATTCTTAAAGAAAAAAATTTTTTATTTTAGGAAAAGATTTCATGTGTTTTGTGGAAATACTATAGACAGTCCCACAAGCAGTGTAGAAACAACCCCCGATAGAAACAGCCCCCTAATGGTATGCTTCGAATCAAAATTTCACATCGAGTGTGCTATAAAATATCCACAATTATTTAAGTTAGGACCCAGTCTACTACCCAAATCTAAATATTTTACCATCCTAAACCGTATTATCTAAAGCATGAGAACAATAATTATTGTTATTTTTAAAGAGAACCTTCTTCAGCAGCAAAAAGCAAAGGAGTTGATTCAGAAGATTCACGCCTCGATACTATTTCTTTTATGTTGCCAGTTAATGGGGAGTCGGGCTCGTCGTCCCCGGCTTGCGATTTTATTCCAAGTTTACGAAAAATTGTGAAAGACGTTTGATGGGACTGAAAAATAAACTTGTTAAAGAGCAAATAAATCATAAAAATTGGGTGGAAGTCAATCCGAATTCGTCAAACTCATGTCCATTGACTCACTAGAAAACTGGCAAGAAATGGTTTAGGTTAACAGCTGACCCCACTATCTAACAGAGAAAATTATGGAAGCTCAAAGGTTCACGTTTCCGTTGGCCAAACTTTCTTATACGATCCCCGAACCCGGCCAAGGAGTCCACCCCTGAAAACCTACTGACCCTGAAGGGGGGGGGGGGGGGGGGGGCGGCTAACACTAGGCATCAACTACCCACCAAATTTCAACCCAATTTTAAATAACAAAAAAAAATAAACCTGAATTTCTAACCAAAACTCTGTCCCTTTCAAAAAGTCACACAAAAATTTAAATAAAAAATCAAAAAAGAATTGTTTAAAAGTTGTGCCCTGTTAGCCAATCGAGGACTTGTTTATTGCACCTTGAAGCAAAAGTTCAAGTTGAGACATTAGTTGTGATTGGTTTATTACATATAAATTTATAAAACATTTTATATTTATAGAAAAAATAAATCTAAAATTAAAGAAAAAAATTTTTGAAAAAAATTTCAAATTTGCGAACAAAAAATTTTGTCCGCAAATTTTTTGCGGACAAATTTTTGCGGACTTTTTTTAACAAAGTTTAATCTACATATGATCGTAAATTTAAAAAAATATAAGTTGACCGAATAAATTACCAATAAGTTCTAAAGTTTTTTCTAGCTACATATCTTAATAGGGAACTTAAATATAAAATAAAAGAGAAAGGACATTAAAATAACAAATGATTACAAGTATCACATATAGTTTAAAATAATGTAGAAAATGAAAATATAAAATAAAAGAAACCAATAATCAAAATGTAAAAACTCCCTTAAATAAAATAATAACCTTATCTGATTTTTGTTGGAAAAAATAAAAAAATTTATCGAACAGACTAATTGAGTCTCAAAAAAGGGTGACAATTGAGTCTAGCACAATTTTTTATAATTAGAGAGAAGCTGCTAATTGAAATAAAGAATCGATAATTTTAAAAAAATCTGATAAGAATTAATTAAAAAAATAATATTCACCGTAGATACTCTAATTGAAGTCCGCCTCTGTAGCCCACCTCTAATATAAGCCCATCAGGAGACCCATTGAAAAATATAAGACCAAGGCTTCAATTAGAGTATTTACGGTAATTGGAATCTTCTCGATAACTCTTCACCCTCAAAAACGAATTCAACCACGTGTTATCGGGAATGAATCAGACCCTTTTACACACCAAATCGAGGCCGGATTGAAGTGTGACGAATGAACGAATTTCAAGTTATCAGTATAAATATTATCAAGATTGTACATAGTACATGTGTTCATAAAATTTTTGGCACGTGACAGAAACAAAATGAAATAAAATTTAATTTTGGGTAAAGAAAAAAAGTAACAGAAAAAAAAATTTTAAAAGAAAAAAATTTTTTTAATTTTTTTAAAGGAACCACTTGAGAGAATGTTTAAATATATTTAAATATATTTATTGTTAGTTAAGTAAGAAAAAAATATTTCAAAGGAACAAAAAAAATTTTTTAATTAAACAAATATTGAATAGATAAAAATACTTTTCGTTTTTTAATCTGATTTGGCAATTAGAGTAGACAAACAAAAGAAAAAATTGAAAAAAAAAGAAAAAAGCTAGACAAAATGAATTTTTTAACCCTAAAGATCAACTACTCTATAGATCAACACTAATTCAGGGGAAATTAAAAAGGGTTTTAGATGTCTGATTTTGTGTTAAAGTCGTTTTAAATCGGTACACCTCAATTGAGTCCCGGACCCTATAACTTATGAAGGGATGGACACTTTTTGCTACTCTTGGTACCATTGGATAGGGCATTAAATAGGCTACAATATACCAAAAAATCAAAATTCCCGACCGACTGGTAAAAAAGTTATGATCGATAAAGTGCCGAAAAATCCGATTTTTTTGAAAAAGTTAGTTTTTATATCATAACTTTTTTATCAATGGGTCAAAAATTCTGATTTTTTGATAAGTTGTAGAGCTTTTGATTCTCTATCCAATGATACCAAGAACATTAAAAATTATCAATCCATACTTGAGTTATAGGGCCGGGACTCAATTGAGCCGGGACTCAGTTGAACTGCTCCGGTTTTAAATAGTTCCCCCAGTTCATTTATTTCAAAATGGTAAATACAAAAAATGGTCAAGAAATTTTTCCCATAATAAAATTTATTAACGACTGACCATTTTTAAACTGACTATTTGTACAGAAAACAAAATTGGTAATTTTTGAAGTGGACCAAAAAGGACAACCAGTCATTTCCTTTTCCAATTAAGGTGACCACCTATCCCCCCTTTTTTTGTTTTCTTTCTTTTCTTTTTTCTAATTGTCTCCTCTCTTCTACATATAATTTTTTTTCTCGTCAGTCAAAGTACACCGCGAAGGTGTATTGTTAGTTGGAAGAAAAAACAAAAAAGACAATAAGAAAAACAAACAAAAACACAATTTAGTTGGTGTATTCTGATTATTTCCTTATTAAAATGGACGTTTCATTGAAACGGACAATTCACTGACAAACTATCAAATCACTGACGGACAATTCACCTAACGGACAATTCACTGTCAAACTGATTATTACTGACGGACAATTCACCTAACGGACAATTTACTGATTTTTCGGCCTTGCAGAATAAATGTGTTTTCCCTCCCATCTTTTTGATAGTCACAAGCCAAGATCCATAGTTTGGTGAACTGAAGATTCTAATAAAGCCATATTTTATTTTAGCTAACAATTTTGTCAAAATCTCCCTATAAAAATTTTAAAAAACCTTTCAATCCCTACTATATACTCAAATGTCCCTTTTATCGAAAGAGAGAGAGAGGGCGTTCATATTTTTTCTTTTTCTAATTTTTCTTCTTTTTATAACTTCCTCATTTTTCCTCCAAATAAAATCGATGTTTTTATTTTCTACAAGGGCAGACAACAACAAAAAGACCAAAACACTTTTTCTTTTTCAAAGGAAAAATGACCAAAAGAAAAATGCCAAAAATACAAGGAAAAAATTTTTTTTAATTTGGCTGCCAATTTTGCTTTTTTTTCGGCTATTTTTTAAGACTCTTCTATTTTCTGTGTTTAGATGAATAAAAAATTTTCTCTAAATTTTCCCTCTAAATTCCCCTCTAAAATCCATTTTTCTCTAAAATAATTTTTCTTTTTCTCTCAAATTCCAACACTATTTCTTTTTTCTCTAACCTTTCTATTTTATTTTTATCTCCTTTATTCTCAAATTAAAATTTCTCAAAAAATTCTTTATTTGTCCGAAATGAAATTGATATTTTATTTATTATTTTTTAAAGCTTTTGACCATTACAAGAACACAAAGACCACCCACAAATTCCACACACTGCTAAAACCAACGAATAAAAAAGATTAACAGAAGCTTTCAACGAAAAATTACCGTATTCGGGAAAGGGTTGTTTGAGTCTAGAATAGTATTTATTTGTTTATTGACCTACCAATTAATTGGTCTAGAGATTCCTTGAATATTCAGAACTGGACAGAGGAAAATACGAGTCGGGGGACTAAAAACAATTCTCGAAATTTCGTTAAAGTCTAGAACAGACCCCCCAATTTAAAGCGCTAAATTATGTTTGTGTAGTGGAAAAATTTAATTGGATAGGGGAGATGGAATAGAAGCAAGCATCTAGTAGGAAGAGGCCACAAACACAAAAGAACACCCTCCTAACTATTGTCCATCAAAAATGGATTTTTTTCAGTACTGAATCGTACTTATTTCAAACCCCAATGGAGGGTACCTTTATTCCTTTATATTTTCCCTTCAAACCCTCCAAATTAGTGTCGGCACACATTAAAGCCTAATTTTTGAATTAATTTATGTTTCAAATTTTTTTATCATTTTCTCTTTTTTAAGCACACATCTCTGGTCCCCTTAAAGTTTTGTATTTTATTTTTAATCTTTAAAATTATTTTTTTTCCTTCAACACATTTTTCTCTTTACCCTTTTATTTTCTTTTTAATTCCAACTAATTGCTTATTTACGCAATAAAAAATTTAAAAAATTTTTTTAATCTTCTTGGCCTTTTAACATAATTTTTTTGAGTGGTTCTTAGAAGAATATTAAAAAAATAATAAAAAAATATTAGTAATCTTAAAAACAAAATTCTTTCAAATTTTTTTTTGTTTAGCTAAGCCTCCGCTTTGGCATTTTTGTCTAATTTCTCTTTCTGACCATTTTGGTCCCTGACCATTTTGAAATTTTTATTTATAAATTTTCTGCGTCCTTAGGCCTCCATTTACCGTATAACCTTTATTAATTGCCAACCCTTAATAAATTACCTCATTTCCATTAATTAACCCTACAGCGACAGATTGAAACAATAATTACCCTCCCCCCATCAAATGCCCTAAAACATGTTCAATTTCAAACCTCGTATAATTACCTCCCCCCTCGATTAATTACTCCCTCAAGCGGAAGGTCGAAACGATAATTACCCAGGAAACGATAATTACCCACGATACGATAATTACTCGAAACGATAATTACCCATTTGTACTCTGACCATTTTACAATTTAATTCCATTTTTCTTCGTCATTGAGGTGACGCGACCGTTATATATTTTTTAATATTTTTAATTCTTTTTTCGGTTTTCCTTTTTAATTTTTTTCCTTTTTAGACAAAACTGTGTGTGTGTGTGAATTCCTTCCAAATTTATTAGATCGATCTAAAACGGCGACGCGACATTTGCGGCATGGCTACTGTAAATAAAAGTCTTGGAAATTATTTTGAGAGGAAATTAAATAAAGTGATAGCCCTAAAGTGAGGAATGAACAGAGGAGAGGATTTTAAATTTTGTTAAAAAATTTTTGGAGGCCTAGAAGGACCCCCCCCCCTCCAGAATAGTCTCCTCTACTAACTACCGTTCCTAACCTATATAAATTTAATTTTAAAAAATTTAAAATTTTTAATCGATAAATGATAAAAAAATTATTGGCTTTCCCCCTCTCGCGCATTCATTTTTCTATTCGATTTTTTTCTCCCCATCGATTTGAGGTCATTTCTAACTACACACATCTTTCTCTTCCCCTTCATTTACCCTTAACTTTTCCCAACCTTTTTCTGCTTTATTAAAGGTTATGGAATATTTAATTTGAACAAAACATTAAAACAAACTTGAAACAAAAACAGAACAACCAAACATAAAGCTTAAAAACATATAAAACAACTTAAATATACTTGAAAACAAACAAACTTAAAAATAAACTTGAAATGAATTTAAACATTTAAAACAAAACATAAAAACATGAAAAAACATTTTAAAACAAACTTTTTAAAACAAACTTTGAAACAAACAAACTTGGAAATAAACATGAAAATAAACTTGAAAACA